TACACACGTACCTACTAAATGTATAAATTTTAAATGCCAGTAATTTTGTACAATGTACATTATAAAATATCCGACCCATATACTGTGCATTACAGAGTTTAATATTAGACTATTTTTTTTCAGTATCATTGTCTGCATTGTCTTTGCTATTACGACCGGAGAGAGATAAAGAATGTGTACTTCCATATAATAAACATGTTCACTATCCGTCAGCGACACCTATTGTCTGTATTACGTGACTTCATACTACGTACAACTACTATTATGTGTTCATCTACAAACTACTACACGATGTTGAAAGGATTAAATTGTAGCCTAGCCCTACGTTATTCTGATGGCTGAGTTACATTCTTTGAAATTTTATAATATCGGTTCAGTATATCTTAAGTGAAAGAGCAACAAAAATTCCATATATCGACAAAACTTCGAAAATATAATATTATTATGATAAATTTTGTTCCGAGGTTAACCTTTATTAAAAATTTAAGAGATAGCGCGGCTTTGCAATAAAAGGTTTTTCAGCTTCGTCCAGAGTGGCCTGATATTATGGATAAATCATCACCCATAAAATAAAATAGTTTATGAAAAACGTGTAAAGGTGCCATATATTTTGTAAAATTATAAATAAAAGACGAACAAACATATGAATATAAATGCTTCCATCTTTACATGTTTCTACATGATTGATTAATTAATAGGAAGGACATTTGGTGGTAAAGCCCAGCTGTGATCATGTAACTGCACCTCGAACATAGGCTGGCTCTTCCGGGGAAGTACCGACCAGTTTTTAATGGCTACGTTTCATCTCCCAAGTTAGAGAGCCGGTTGCTTTTCCCTGTTCCCATACTTTCCCTGCCCCCTCCTTATTCCCAGCTTCTTCCTGCCTTCTCCAAAAATCAAGGTCGGCAACGCATCTGCGACATCTCTAATGTTGCAGATGTCTTCTGGCGATGGTGACTATTGCCGATCAAATCTGCTCAAGGCCAGACGGCATTGACGAGTAGACGAATCGTTTGCCACCTTTTTTTATTAACAAAATGCAATAAGCATTGCTTATAGGTGGAATAATTTTAAGATTGTTGTATCCTATGAAAAGAATCTGGATTAATCACTGAAACAAGAAACGAGTCAGATAACATTAAACATGACTCACACATTGTTTTAATTTCAAAATGTATTTAGATAAAATATGCAATCGAAATTCAACAGATGACAAATACATTAAATTCATTAAATACACAAATGATAATATTATTTCAAATACAACGTCTATTCGCTTCTATGAATAACTTATTTTTTTAAAGTAGTGCTTATTTTATATATTTTTTTTTGTAATCTGTCTGTTAATGAATATATTTTTTTTCTAATATGGTTAACAGTTTTAACTAAATTATTCTTATTATGCCTTTAAGTTTCTTTCGCTTGCGAGGGTGGAAAGCCTCATATCTGTTACAAAATCTGCTTTATTTTCTTTAAAGATATGCAATGCACTTGGTACATAAAAATATTAAAATTATTCCACAGCGGTTTACTGAAGCTGATATATGTTTCTTAGGTGCACATCGTAGAGTTAGATCTAGTGCAATATAACTACAACATTAACATTTAATATTATAGCTATTAAATTTTATGATTAATCACAAAATTGTATTTTGGCTAAGTTTATTGGGATATCGTTAGTCAAGAGTTAGTTACAAAATTTACTTTCGAATAACCTAATATGTATAGAATATTTCTATAAAAATATCTTAGGCATAAGTGTAACTTAAAAACTTGTTAAAATTAAGAAAACCTCAATTAGTCCACAAAATTAATCTCCTTGCAGCTGTTAAATGGAACTTATATTATACAATAGCATGATATACATATGTACAGGGTGACTGGTGAATTACTATCAATATTTAAGGAGAATACTCGGTACATGATTCTCATTCGAATTATGTAAAAAAAATAGGTACTTAATTTTTGACCAAATTTCCGTTTAAATAAATAAAGTGTGGACACGTTCCAAGTGTTCCAAGTGTGGACGCGTGCGGCGGCGTGCTGATACAAAAACCATGCGCCGCACGCGTGTGTGTGGGGGTGTGTGTGTATACCTAATCTGTAGGGTGTTCACACGATGCGTAATTGATTACATAACTTTTGGTTAACTTTACTTAGAAGTTTATTAATATTTTTGTTATATTAATTTTTATTTTGTCATATATATGATCGTCAAATATCACGTCCTCAAGTACGCGATAGTAATTCACCAGTCACCCTGTATATACATATGTAACTTGTTAATACTATGTGTACGCAATATTGTGATTTATGTTATATGAAAACTTAGTATCTAATATATAAATATAAATACTATGTACAAAGGCTTTATGTAAAGTAATTGTTAAGTATTAGACATTCACATATATATCAAAGTACTAACGAAATTTTTGTTTCAGGAAAAGATGATCAAATATGTACGTATAAGTCATGCTAGGTCAGAATTTCGAATATTTCCATGTTTGCTTGGTGAAGATAAAAAATTAATTCTAAATGCTTCTATTATGATTTCATGTACATTTTTATTTATCTATATGAAATCTAATCCATCAAAAACTTTCTTTTACAAAAGCACTTATAAGATGACCTATACTAATTCTAGTCATGAATACTCCTGAACCATTTTTATAAGAAAATATATTTATTTTTTGAAAATAATAAGGGGATAAAAATAAAAATATGTTTGAAGGTATTGCTTTATTTGTTACATTTTAATAATATAATAGCCACATACGGTTCAACCTTTAAATGTTTGAGCTAAAACATGTATAAAATTATATCTTAAATAGTCACAAATCACAGGAAGGTATAAAGTCGTTAGAAGAAAAAAATATAACACTGTCTAATAAAACTTAAAACTAATAGAGTAAATATCTAATATATCACGTATAATATCATTACCTATAATATCAAGCGTTAAATTTCCTACACATACACTACACATAATGATATATGATACTACGTACAAATACACTTAGGCTATATTTTCTAGGCAATTCTATTGAAAGCATTATCCCGTACCATAGGAAGCCTATTAATAGAATTTTTTGCTCTACCGAATACTCTAAAATCTAAAAAATAAAAGCGACAAAGATACATACAAATTAAGCTATACAACACCTACACGAATATCACAATATTTCTACTTAATACAAAGATGAAGATGTGCAATAAAAAAAAACACCGACTACAGACTTATCAAACTTACTATTATATAATCGCATCCTCGCTGCGTGTGCGCATGACCGCATCATAATTTTCCAATTCGACTTATGCAGTAAATTTCGCAATATGTTATTGCACAAATAAATAACGGAGGTAGCACCTATACAAGAAACGTCTGACACTTTTAGTGCATCAACACAATCGATATTGTTGAAAATTTTATCTAATAATTACTTGACAACTACTCTATATCCTAAACATTATAACTACAAATAAGCCTTTCGTTAATACAACTCATAATTAGATACTATAATCATTACATAAAAATAATTACATACTAATGACCTACTATGATTAAACTTTCTAAATAAGATAAAACTTTTTCTGTACCGTTCATAGGCATATATATGGACACGAAAAAAATATATGTACATCTTACATTGATATAATTTTTAATCCCAACAGAAGTTCAAATACTTGAAACAACTATCAGTAGATTACTAATATTTTATTAATTACTTATAAAAAAAAAGAAAGACATGCTGCGTATTTGTCAATCTATTGACAACTAAAAAAACGTATCTTGATCAGCATAAAATCTCCAATAAATGAATTTTACATTAACATAACAGGATGGTTGTAGGTCATCTACTTGTTTTTTAAAGTGACATTGTTTTTTTAAGTTTATTATAGAATAATAATATAGTTATCTATAATAAAAAGCCTGATCTGAAACCAGTTTCCGTGTATATGTTAATGTTTTGGCCAGATAAAATAAAAAAATACCTCCAAAATACTTATTTTTTTATATTAAGAAGTCTTCACTGACGTAAAAGATTATCATTTCAGATCGATTTTGTGATTTCTACTATTCAATCACTTAAAAAAAATATTACGAAATATACTCGTTTCATTACTGCATGGCGTTTGTCATTTATTAAGAAAAAAAACCGTTTGAATAAAATTATAAATAACAACTCAAAGAAACACTTATGTAAGTAAATATGTATATATCAATAATTTGTTCATAAATTAATTATATATACGGAGCAGATAATCATAACTACCAATTAAATGTAATAGCATCAATACGATTACATACAATTGGTTATTTTATGGCAACTTATTTAAGAGAATGGTGTTTCAAATGTCTGTCAATATAAATTATGTGTTTGGATAGTGATGAATGAAAGTAACGAGCATTAATTACTAAACGAGATTATATGTATATATATATATATATATATATATATATTATATATATATATATATATATATATATATATATATATATATACATAAAAATAAATGTAGTAGTTTTTTTGTTTATAATATATGCACTTAATAAGGAAACGGTTAGCTGGTATTGAAAAGTTTGTGAATTGTCCTACAAACTACATTATTCTATAATCGATACATTTTATATTAAATAGTTTTCTGAATTAATTTTTAAATTTTAGCTTAATATAGATATTTATTATAAGGGAAATATACAATGACAAAATAACAGTATTAAAGACTCTAAAAATCAACAAGTTATATAGTCACAATTACAACCAAAGATTGCAGAAATTGCTTATGATAACTAACTGTAATCAGGTGATAGGTTTAAAGTCTTTTTACATAAATAATGCCCTCATTCAGACTGGCATTATGTGTTATTTAGATAGACATTTCTATATAGATAGGGATGTTCGTTTACTTTATATATTTCAAAGTTGACTTAGAAAATATTAAAAATAGACATTTGGAACATTTATTAGTACTAGGAATATTATTTTGAACGTTATTTATTACGGAAGAAGTGGATGGCCAGCGTCCGCTTCCTCTGAACGAGTGAACATCGACGGAGTAGGTTCCCCGTTCGCTAGTAACTCGCCGTTTTCGCCATTGTTTGTCTGAAAGAATAATGTTCATATTATAATTTAAAATTAAAAACCTCATACTGTGATGATTAGTTACATTATACTTATTCATTAAAAGAACTCTGCAGAAAAATTTGAAAAATATAAAAAACTATATACATCAAAAACTAAAATGATAACTTTTCCCTAAAAATCTTTGACTAAAAAAGATCTTTCCCCCTATACATAATATTTATACATACTGTCAGTAATTACATACGAGTGAGTGCGTTTAGCTAACTATTCGCGAGTTACATAATTTTGATTAATTTGTAAAGTTAGGTTTACGCAATAGAGTGGATACAATTATGTAAAAATTTCATTAGGGGATATAATTTTGAGAGTAGTTTTTACACTGTCTAGTCACCTTTATAGAAACACGATAACATGTTATTTAAATATTGTTTTTGTCTTGAATATAATTTAACATAATACATATAGATTATAGCTATTTCATAACTAAAGTAGCAAAAGAATTATCCTTCCAAATAAACACGTGTTTTTTTCAAATAAACAGTCAAATGTATGCATAGTATCATACTTTATTATTTTTGGTGATATCATATTTCGTATAAACATTTATTAATATCAACAATTTATTCTATATATGTTAATTATAATATTATTTAAAGCTACTTAATAATTAATATGTTATACCATTTCCAAAGCGGTTCCATCTTTCATAGCTAGTTGTATTACGTCAACAATCCGGACTGCCTATCCGGACAGGGCGACCGGGCCAGTCGGCCTGTCCGGGTAGACTGTCCAGATCGTAACGACCAAATTCTTCTTCCTAGTATCTCGTCTTGTTCTTTGTTATCTTCAAGAATATGTTCATGAAGATCCACTGAAAACTTTATTAGTAAATATCTTACCTAATTATATATTGATTTTAAATTTTGCAAAACATTTTCTTTAAACATCGTACAGTTTTTAAACGTTAAGGTTAAAAATTATAATACTCTTTTGATTTAATAGCACATTCGGTAAAAAAAATTCCTTTAAATTTTATTGATTATGTGTGAATATTCAATTATTACAACATAATTATTTGACTTTTTGTAAGTTTAATTCACAATTATAATCTACTGTTAACACACGTGATCATAATCTAATATTAATATATTAGTTAAAGACGTCAGACAACGCTCACAACTTAGTTTAGCATCCTATAGCATGCAAAATGCTAACAATACAATTTTGGATTTTGTACTAAAATACGCATAAATTATTATTGGCTTGTTTTAAATAGAGGGGCTTTGTATGTAATAAAATTTAAAGACGCGAAGTTAGAGATAAAATTAAATAATATATTAATACTTCGTCATATTTTACAAATTGACTCGGAATGTTAATTGACCGCAACATAAAAATACATTATGATCAAACAGAAGCGTCTCCTTCAAGGTATTAGATTCATCCAATCTAACCACAATTCAGGTCGGGGTTAGGCACAATAACATGCCAACGGGCACTTTATACTCGCTACTATATAACATACAAAGGTACTCATTGTCTTATAATTGTTAGTAAAGTTATATAAAATTATTAAACAATAGTGATTAAGTTTTCAGCATTTCTTATCGAACTTTAAATGCACATATTTTATGGATAAGAAGGATATATTAAGAAGAATATTAATATATTTTCGATGTATTTAGGTACTTAAAAATAACATATTAGTATTATTATAAATTTAACATATACGCCACTCCATATGAAGCAATTAAATTTAAATTATGATAATTAGGATACAATAATAATGTTATATGTATAATATTTCAACATATTTAAAAATTTTACAGACATGACCACGGTAATAGACCTAGATCGATATTGATCGATGTGTTGTGTTTTAATTTCGACAGAATGTAGTAGTGATATTAGTTATAAAAATAGGCCATCAATTGTTATGAATAAAGGGTAACTCACGGTATTATCTATGTCGCCTTTCTTTCCTTGCAGGTAGTACGTCATAAGCTGCCCCTTGCCCTTAAAACGGCGACTAGCCCACGTTGCTCGAAGTAATACCCAAAATCTTCAAGGATATGACAGGTCTCTTCGGTCACCTAAAGGGAATGTCATCTCGTTTGTCATACTCAGTGACTCGACTTATTACTGACCTCATAGCCATTGTAATTATACCGGATTCGTTCATATGCACCTTGAGAGATATTACAATGAATATTTAGAAAGGACTTATGGATGTTTGTACTTCTAAGTCATGATTATTTTTTATTTGTTTGTATTTTTATAAGGTTACGATTTTAGAAGATTTAATATAGTGACTTTACATTTTGAAGGTAGAATAGATGTTAATGATATTTACTGTGCATATATCCTGTCAATTCTACGCTACTGTTATATTTGTATGCTTTTGTAATACCATGTTTCAATGAGTTTTTTTTGAGTCTCGAACAATATTGATGGTTAAATAAAAATAACATAATGAATAGCGCGATACCTGTATACATCCAGCCTTGCCAGTGCTTTCCATCCTGAAGCTACATTCACGGTGTTCCCCCATATATCATAGTGGGGGCTTTCTGGCACCAATGACGCCTGCTGTGATCGGTCCGTGGTTACAACCTTTTTACACCCATTGCGAAGTACGAAATGATTGAAAGACTGCTCGTTGATGGCGGCCAGAACACGCTGCAGCTCCAAAGCAAACTCCACCAAACATTTGCCAGGTGAGCCCAACGAACCCAATACACCATCCAGAAGGCTAGTTACAATGAAAATCTGGTTAATTTAACATTCTGTGTAGGGGATTGAAAGATAATTAAAGCAATTTTCTTTTTTTTTTTTTAGAATATCCAGTGACACAATTGCTATTTTTAACTTTACTTACATTACAGTAAGAAAAGTATTATTTTTGAAATATATTCATGTCTCTCAAGTATCTCGAAAAAGAATATTTTTATTCCAGACGTTACCTGCATTTGTCGCGTAGGATTTAGGCCTGACGCAGCCATGTATGTTGAAACTAAATTGTCTTTATTTTGATGATGTCCTTACTGAATTTGGCATCTTCAGGAGCTACGAGATATAAAAAACGTATAAATATACTGTTTTACTTTACAAAGAAATACCTTATCTCATTGAGTTCCTATCTTACAGATATTTTGATGATGATATTTGTGTTGAGGATATAAAAATTACAAGTCTATTGAAAAAGTACAATGAAAGCTACTAGGTTTTTAATAAGTAGAACAAAATGAATTTTGTCTTTCAACAGATCTAATTTACTATATAAAATATTTGTTTTTAAAACAAAAGTCCATTTAAGTATGTCCCAAAAAAGTGTGTTACTATTATTAAATAGAAAAAAAAGCATCTGACATTCTTTGACGTTATTAAAATATTGTGAAATCTAATAGAAAACATGAATATGGATTTATTGATAAAGTTCAAGTGCGAATTAAAATTGGCTATAGATAAGATTGTAAACCTTAACGGAATGTATTAAAATAATATTTCATCTTATTGATTCGGCATTCCAGTCTTTATTACAATAGTAATGATAGAAAACTAATCAGATAACACGAAATATTTCTTGAATTCTGATCTTAGAAAGAAAGAAAGAAATTAGTTCTAAATATTAAACATTACAGATTCGTTATAGTTTAGGGTTATTTGTTGTACAAATATTTCTTTTTTACTTCGTCTATATAAAATTCAGCAACAGAATAACAAACAGACACTTACGAGATCAAAGTCCGATATAACTTCGTTGAGAAATCGTGAAACATTCTAGGCCTTGATTATTAACTGTTTTCTTCCGAGTAAAACTCTGGAACAGGTTTAAAAACAAAACCGGAATTAGAAAAATACTGGAATTTTATCGTAAACGCATTTCGATTACACGTGTGAACAACTTTATAAGTTTCCGCCTTCGTCACAGGCATCTAGAGGTTGACCGGTGAACGAGACGGAACGTGTTCTCTCTTGGACAAGGGCGAATGTAGATCACTAATCTATTAACGTAGAAAAGTAAGTAACCACTTAAGAATTTTTAAATTAATCGAGAGCCATTACTCAAGTGATAAAAACAAAGTCGTGATATCTATTCATGAAATAAATCATTTTATTGCAAGTTGATACCGATATATGTTAGGAAAATTGTATTTTAACGACATCCGATTGTCGTTTGGACAACAATCTAACTTAAAGATAATCTAATTTAAAGATATTAATTCGTGGTAAAATCAGGACACCTGTAAAATTTGGCCATGGAGGCGAATAGCACGCCGACTTCCGCGTAACTCTGGCTGTATAAATCACGGTGATGATGACGTGCGCCCATGAAATGCCTGGCCACGTGTGGTGGGCAGAACGTTGTGGACCAGTGCCTGGTTGCGTCGCCGTAAGTCACTCGCTTGCTCCGCCTGCGCGCGCATTCTCTCCCCGCGCGAGTGCCGTGCGCGCTCCAGAGACTCGCTCTGAACAAATCATACTATTAATAGCGCAAAAAACACGTCTTCCTTAATAAGAAACTATACTCACGTATCTGTTGTATATGATGAGTGTGCCACCGCTATGAAACAACAGCATCAGGATGTGTCTTCCAGTGTGAATCTGAGCCCTGTCATGAAAAATATAACTAATTTACATTTCGTTTATTTTTTATTGCATATTTTTTAATGAGGAAGTATTTGTAGAAAACGCATAGACTCTTCCTAGGAAATAATTGGTAAACATCATATAAGCCTTGTAAGACTACGAGATGAAGGTTAGATTTAAAACGTTTCTTGGACTTCCATTACTGGAATGTTAAATAATTATTATTTCTGGTAACTATGTAAATATACACTATCATAGATTAAATAAAAAATATAAATTATTTAAAGCAGATGAAAAAAATGATTTTAACAAGTGGAAAACAGTGTAATATAATATCGGTATGGTGACTTTAAAGTAGGACTACTAAAATGACGTTATAAAACATATTTAATTCAATTACTAAAATTTACTAAATCGACTGTCAGGCATAGAAGAAAAAAAATAGTTATAATTGAAAGATTTTCTTTAAATGGTCACTTTTAAGTATGAAAATAAACACCATCAAGTTATTCTTTAGAATGCTTATATAATAGGTTAATTATATTATACAAAAAATATATATATTTTCAAACTGAAAAGGAATTTATTTGAGATTCATATACTTAAGTTATTTGGGAAATTCTCCATTTTTTTTATTATAATAACATATTGTAGTTTTGATTGAGAAAATATTCTACATAATAAAAAATCCTCTACATATAAGTATAACCAATTAAAAAAAAAAATAGTCATCAACAAAATTAAAAATTGTCCGTACAAAATGCATATATTGGAATTATCATTAAAAATAATGTTAATGTGAATTCCATAATAGAAATATCTTTAGCAAAGAAGCCAACATTAGATAAAAACTAAAACTTTTAACTTTTCCAAGAACTAGGGTATTGCTATTTTTGTAGGAACTAACAGCAGATTTAATAATTCTTCTTCGCAGTCATCGGTGGCGTTGTAGGCAGACGAAAGGGGTCGCGGTCGAGGGTAGGGCGAGATGTTAGTACCGCGGGTGTTAGAGCGGCGGTTACAGCGTGAGCCGCCGCTAATGACCCCAGCAAAGCCGCTCGTGCACATCCACCCAGTGGAGAAACCCATAATGCACCACATAACGCACCCGCACCCACCTGATCAATATAAATAACTTATTAACACCCATAATTTTAACATAATTCTTCCCTTACTTTACCTTAAATTTTATTTGCATGATTTAATATGTGTGTTGTTACATTAGGAAAGATAAATCAGGAAAGATAAATCAGGAAAGATAAATCAGTACTTAATTGCAATAACAGTATTTAGACAAAAAAATACTTATAAGTTATAACTAAGTGTCTGTTTGAATAAATTGCTGTACCTAATAAAACTTGGTATATTTTAGAGATTGAATATTCGTTATTCTATGTATATTGCCTTGCATAGTGTTGGGCTTGGTTGAATAATCCTCTTTGGATTAAGACAGGTAAACTCTAAAATAGAAAATCCAGTATTTTACTAACGTGATAATAATATGACGGGTGAATGCAACGTCGGGCGCCGCTATGTGAAGGGGCGTCATCTCTCAGCCCGTCTTCTGCTAGCATCGTTTCGAAGTTGCCACATATAATCTGTAAATTTTACCAATAGAAAGCTTACTAATTACAATTACTAAAAATATATCGTTCAACTTCCTTTTGATGAATAAATTCTCCTTAATGAACTGTTTTTTTTAAATATCCGTTTTAAAAAAAAGCAATCGATGGCAAGATAAAGTCTTGTTTTAAAAAACAGGATAGTTAAGACAGAGGAAAACATATTTGATCTTTTAATCCTCGCTTTATTGTATCTGGTATATGTTGCAAAAAAATATCAATATACATTTTAATTTTTTACCGAGTTATTGGCTCACTTCCAAAAAGTTAATGTGTACTAAAACTTATGTCTTACGTTTTCAATAATTCTTACAATAAATTACATGTTTTTATTTGATATTTGAAATGACTCATATAAATTAAAGTATAAAGCAGGTTCCTTGCAACAAAAACAATTGTCTAGAAAAATAAATAATAACCTAATGTAAAGAAGAATATATAGAAAATGTAAAATAATTTAGTTCTGTGATTCTGACCAACCTGAGGTAAAGAAGGTAAGCAAGTATCAAAAATAAGCCATAAATTGTACTTTATCCACGACCAGCAATGGCTGTGCATGAAAAATACTCATTATTGATTTTTCATAATTCCTCGAAGCCCTTATAAAATTTGAGACCCAGTCTTTTTAAATTATTGTTATAAAATTATATATTAAAGTTCAATTTATATACAGTTAAAAAAAAAAAAACATAAAAAGAAAGGGCTTCACTAAAATAGCTAAAACATAAAAAATGTTCTTATGCCATCAAGTGTTTATTTTTGAGAAAGTAGAGTTGCTTTAAAGTGTTACGATTTTTTATCCTATTTGTTAATTTGTGTTAGTGATTCTTAAAAATAATAGTATTTATATGCTTATCATCAAAATATTGAAGCTTATCATCAAATTATGAAATGGGGGTTTTCTAAGAATTCTGGACATCCTAATTATCGCATCTCATCATCATTAGTAAATTTTCAAAATACTCAATGTTTTAATAATTGGAATATGCCAATATTACGTTTATGATATTTATATATTTCATTATCTTCGTAACAAAAGTGTACAGGTTTAACACACTTTCACTTTTTAGTTTATATTTGTGTAAATGTTTGTATGTTTAAAAATAGAATGCCCTTGAGACTGTGGTATTTGAACGTTATAGAAATTGAACATCAAATATAATGGATCACTCTTTGATATTTCATTTTATACTCTAGGTAGATAGATTTGAATTATTAAAATATTAAATATTCATATGTCATTGAAATAGAATTTCAATTTGCGTGGTGTAAAAACTGTTGCTCAAATTGAATATTTTTATAACAATTTAAATATTACTTATTTATTAATAGTAATATTTCGTAGGTTAGAAGAAATGATCGATCACTGACAGCAAAAATAAAACACTGTGTGAAACAATTACCCACCAATGGAGCAATATTGGCAGCGACAAACATCACAATGTTGAACGTTCCACATGTCAGCTTCCAGTAGGGAGATATAGCTTTTTTCTGAAAATTCATTTTCATAAATATCAAACCAACATTTAAATAAAATTATAAAAATATTTTCTCACATCATACCTTATAATGAGCATATCTATAGCAAGCATAGTATGCGACGTTAACGAGTCCTGTTTCAAGAACCAGCGCAAGATAGACGGCGTGTAAAGACCAGGTTGATGGAACAGCAAAGCTGGCTAGAGCTACAAACAGCGGGTAGCAACAGTAGCGGAGGAGCGCAGACAGCCAGGGGACAGGCATCAACCCTCCGCGCGCATAACAAGCCTCCGCCGCTTGGGTCTTGAAAGTCAGGCACAAAGTCGTCGCATCCGCTAGCTCCCTGAACAGAAATTTCAATGAACTTCCTTCTTCTTTTACTCCAACAGTAATTCACGTATAATAAAATGCTGTGATTAGTGCCCCAAGGCGATAAAGGAATGCTTCTTGCATTTATATTTTGTTATATATTTTTCTATACACATAAAGCATTGTTTTAAAAGTCAGATTTTTAAAAAATAGCATTGGAAACACTATTGATAAGCGGATGAAGAAAGCAAGAGGAAAAAATTACTGCTAAAAACAACACTAACTGTAAATTGAAAACATATTTATCATTTCAAAATAAACTCATACAAAAACTCACTTGTTATCATCTCTATTGACGAGTTCTTCCTCTAACATTGCGAGTATTTTGACATCCTCATTGTCCTTGCTCTCGTCTTGCGGTGATAGAACCTACGAATAATGTACGAAGCGTATCTATGTAATCGACAAGCAACAAATCATTATGGACGCCCATGGGTCAGTTGTAGAAGTGCACAAATGCATAATGATCACTTCAATCTCGATGAATGATTACATACTTAACTTAAAAAGCAATGGTTATCGGGAGGGTAAACTGTAATGTAAACTAGCGCGGGCCTAATGCCCCAGTGTCCTATATTCGAGGGGGCCGGATGGGGCCCGGGCGGTCACTCACAGAGTCCTCATCGTCGTCTTTCAGATCGGAGAGCGCGTCGCTCGCATCTCCCTCACCCGCTTCCCCGGCTGCACTCTTATCTTCGCCGTGAAACTACAATATATAATATTTAAAATAATATTATTCTTCATTATGTACTAAAATGATTATATGTATATTTTCAAATTTTACAATTGCACAATATATACTTTACTTCAATACCTATAAATAATTAATTAAAATTTATTCAACTTAATAACATATGCATAGACTATTTGTTATGTAATTATTAAATACATGGCCATGTTTAAATAATTTGACAACAGTAATTTCCCACAATGGAATAATAACGATACAGCTAGCGTGTTAAAAATTCAACCCCACATTTAGATTTGATTTTGTCGATAGCACGAACACCATTCCTAACTACGTTTTTTAAAATCTTGATAAGCTTTAACCCTCTTACTTCCTTTAAAACTGTTAGCATACATACTAAAATCAATATCCACCCTGTGTAAACTTCTCAGAGTTCGTAATGATGTTGCTCTTAAGTGTTTTTAAAACGAGGCGCTCGTCTAAAAGACTCCATACCTATTATACAAGATACTATAACACTAATTTATATAGATATTCCTTTTTATAAAAACAACATTAATAACTAATAACATTATTTGTTTTCAATATTATTTTTATATAATTTTCATATATTAAAATCGATATAACTCATAAATATGAATAAAGAATTTGTATAATGCAAATCGTTTTATTCTATCTAATAATATAAAAATATATTAGTATAATGTCGTAAACGGAGGCTCTAATATCTTTTTTTATTACATTGATTTGAATAATATTAAAATGTTGCGATATATTTAAATACCCACCGGTTTCAATACCCGTACTATGAAGTATGTTTAATGCCGGCCTGTCCGCAGCATCTCTTCTTCTCGTCGCTCGCCGTGAGCCGGCTCCACCTCGAACTCATCGTTTAGAAAAACCCAAGGTCACCTCCGAGACGTGAACGCGACTAGAACAATACAACTTTTATCTAACGCTATCTATACCGCGACAGAAAACTGTCTACTTCATATTTAGATAACCTTTTTTCTTTTCTTTTTGATTTTCTATCTTATATACGTAACTTATTTTATCTTTATAAAGTTACAAAACCACTTCTATACATATCTCCTGAAATGGCTCTATCTTAAGTCATAACTCAATTTCGACCTCATATTTCGTAAATAAAAACAAATATTATACCAAATTGCACACAGCAACTCTTTATTGATTCCTCTTATTGCTTTTAGTTTTACGTATTTCCAACAAATTAAATCCCAATACCATTTACAAACTACAAAGCTCGGCGATGTGTATTTTTTACGACATCCAATATCATCCGCTTATAAATTCTATTTACAGTATTTCTTGTTATTATATGACAACAATTTTAAAATACAATATATTTCATATAGTACATTATTGTATCCACATCTGACTCTTTTATGTTGTAATCGGCTTTTAAGTTACTTCGATTTACGCGTGTAAGCCGTGTATGTTACGAATAAAGTAATTTATAATTTCAATTTCTTAGATAAAATTTGTTACATAATATAAGCTGGATTATGGTAAATTTGATTATGAAGTGAATATTAACACAAAGAAAAGATATATATTATAAGTTAAGATAATGGAATAAATTTTCAATATCAGATGGAACAAACCCTTTAAAAGTAAATCTTCATTATAGGAAAGTAAACAAAAATGTTATAGAATTCTATACGAAAAGTTTAATAGATTTTAAAAATAAGCGCCGCCGCTGTTATAGAAGCTACAATAGTTGAATATTAAAACTGATTTAATATAACCTAGTTTCTGGTACGTCCTCGGCTTATTTCAGAGGTCAGGCAGCCGTTCCTTGGGAAAACCGGATTTTTAAATTACATATACTGCTCATATAACACAAATAACTTTAAGTATCTTATAACATAATATACTGTTTTTTAAAATAAATATTGTAATACAATAATAAAATTATTGCTACATTTTTTCTTAACGAATTCAACAAAACCGCGACTTTTCGAATAAATGTGGTAATTGTATTCAAGGGAGACCGAGATGTAGGTTAGTGTCAACTACTTTTAATTAGTCATCTACTTCCAACAGTTTCTTGGCTTAAGGGCAGAAAGCTTAAAATTCAAAACCAAATGAGGTCATAGACAACTAAAGTAGGAGTTATTTTTTTAAATATTATGTATTTTATTTCAATTGCCTCGCTTATATAAAGATATTTGTACTTTATATAAATATATTTGTACTTTCAAGTAATACGATATGGACCATATCACATCCAATATCGTTATTTGATTTGAAATTTCATACGATTGTCTTAATAGTGCCCTCGACTAGCCGTGCTCGTTAAAATTTATTAATTGAAAGTTCCATCGAAATAGAGAGTAAATAAGCAAGAAATGTTAAATTGGTATCTGTACTGTTAAAAAAAACTATATTTTTTTTAAGTTTTAACAAAACCGATCAAATAATCACATAAAAATGCCTTACATCGTCCTGAAAATATCTGACACACTGCTGAAAACGATATTAATAAAATATAACTAACTGACTTTTTGAATGTAAAAAACCTTTATCAAAATCGGTCGATCCGTTTGAGAGTTGGCTACAAAGAGGAATACACAACTTATAAACACCCCTCTTTTAAATCCGTGGTTTAATAAAAAAAAACTAGAGCTAGTTATTCGGATACAGAATTCTTTTCTAAAATACTGCTCTACCATTAAGTGAAGTTAAAACGATGTATAAACTAAACAAGGGAAGCATAAATTTCACGCCCTCAATAGCTGCTTAGTTTCCGTTTTGATATGTGCTTCTTGATACTTGTGTAGGGAGATGCAGGGTCAAGGTTTTCATGAGATGAACAGATTTATCTTTACGATGAGACTAAGTTCTACATTCAATAGTGACATATATACCTATAAATAAATATAAATTATGATAACTTAGTATTTATATATATATGTTGCTTAAAAATTATAATTGACTAATTCTGAATACTTCTGAACATTTAAGATTATGGCAAAGATCAAAGAACGAACCCATTGTTAATTTTTAACTTAATACTCAACCACGTTGATTTTATACCAAAAATTGTCGAATAATACTTATCGGATTCCTTCACAGAGAGTAGACATGTTTTTATGATTTAATTGTTATTGTATAGTTTGACATTTATACATATGGTATAGTTCTAGATTCATCCGTATTTTTAGTGTAAGAGAGTGTGAAATTGTCAAATTACATAATTCTAGGTCAGCGAAAAATACATATATCAATTTCAATTATTTATATAGTGTATCTAAGTGTGTGTGTGTGTGTGTTTTTTGATATATTTAGTAATTTTTGTTCATTAACTTAGATTTCAAATATTTGCCGTGCTTGGTAGGAAACCTAAATAGGGTTTTAATTAGAATTTCATATTTCTACGCAATCCCAATGAAATATTTGGACAGGCAAACGAATAATAAAGATATATAGCAGGGTTTCCAAACCTTAATTTACCACAGTTCCTGAAAACCAAAAATAATATTTTCATTCCCCTCCTAACAACCTCTAGCCCCTACCTCCCACTCGGTACGCTTGACAATTTTTTACTCCAATTATCTTCATATTTACATTCCTTAGTTTTCTTTTGATTATTAAAAATGTACACAATTCATTGATCAAACGGAAAAATTATAACGTATCACGTTTAACAACATTCAAAGTAATTTAGGAATAAATAAATAAAGCTTTTTTTAATAGTCATGAGATAATTGAGCTCAAATACTTCATAAACACTTGGTAAACTCTAGTAAACCTGTCTTTGCTCAAGACGGTAACATTTATAGTTGTTACTTATTGACTGTTGTATAATAGCGATTAAATTACTGCGCAAACAGTATTTGGTCTATCTGCAGTTGGTTATAGATTTTTTCTTTCAGAAAAGCAAGACTTACGTAATACAGCCTGGGGCTGTATTGAATAAGCATCTCCCTTAATTCGGAGCCCCCCAGTTGAGACCTCTATAAAGGTTTTCAGTTTAAAGAACTTTATTCTCATTAGGACACCGTCATTTACATGAGAACTTATAACTAACTTATAAATATAACAATTCGTTCGGATCAGCAAAACAGATGAAATAACAGTTTCAATTAATGATTTTAACAGAGTATCGTATACACAGAATATGGTTATAAAGTCGAGATTTAAACAAAGAAAAATTTGTTAGAGTTTTTACTTGTTTAGGGTAATTGTTATAAAGTTTTGCTCCCTCAAAAATAATCTTTTTTCCACTATTAGTTCTAGTTTTAGGCAGTATTAGACGGCTAGCACGTCTAGTTGCATATTTGTGTAATTGACCTTTGATTTAGAAAGATATTTCAGTATGTATTTTTTTGTCTAAGATTTTACGTATAAGAATACAAGTAGTGTAGTTGTGTAATTACTTAATATTCATTAATTTGGTTTCTTTAAAGACTTTATCTGAAGGTGTTAAATAAGGGTAATGAAAAAGTAATTTAATTAGTTTTTTTTTTTTATTACGGAACCTCAAAAGTCGGACTATAATTTGTTTACTAAAAATATAATTGTTATTCTACACAAAAACCAATCTAAACGCTGAGATACCCAATCAAAAAACAAGACTGAAAAAAATATATAAACAGAAAAAATTATGATTGGGATTATTTACTCACAACTTATTAAGAGATTGAACTAAAATAGCAACCAAATGGAAACGTAGAACTGCGTAAATTATTCTGCAAATAAAATATTAGGAGAAAAACATATCCGCTGACTTTAATACATTAAGATCGGTCTCATAATATATGGACAATGTTTGAGAATGCGAACAATGGTTAATTTCGGGATAACAGACGTTCCACCCTTCGTATTTAATCAGTAGTTTATATTTATCGCCACATATAAGATAGATGATGATATAATAATGCTTTATGGCACGTCCATCAACAACTGAAGTGGATTAATAGGTTTCTAAACAATCAACAGTCTTCAATTTTAATAGCTGCAACCATAAATCCTGATTTCAGAAATTAATCTAAACGTACTGTTGAAGACACTGTTTTATAGTTTCGACATATAAAAACGTTATTACATTTTTATAGTATAAAACTATAAAAATAAACTTAATTAATATAAATCCTCGAGTGCTATCAGAAACCAGGTCGACTGTCATAATTCATGCGATATGATCAATTTGTTTGGATTCCACACTTTTATTGTGAAAAAATGTGGAATGTGATCTTTATAATAAAATGTTAATACCGATTACTTTCATATTCAAAGAAGATGGTTCACAAAAATTAAAAGTGACTGTAATATTTTGTTTATGATATAAACAATCGGCTTTATTGTGTGGTTAATATTTTGTAGATGTTTGTATGGAATCCTTAAATTTAATACTTACCCAGCCATCCCGCTGCTTTCCATTTTGTTGGCAAGTTCGACATCCCGAGAGTAAACGTCAAACTGCCACTGTCGTTGTCCGAGCACTCCCGCTAGCACGGCACCCGTGTGGATGCCCACGCGCATATCCACTGGCGAATTTGTTGTTTGTTGAACATATCTGTTATAAAGATTTATAGTTGTTATATTTTAAAACGTGTACGTTGTATAAAGACATAAAATTTGCCCCAACATAATTCAGACTTCCATGGAAAGCATTTTAGTGATCTTACGTCGTTTATTTAGTCTGCCCAAAGCTAATTCTACTGCAATAAAAAAGTGTTTTCATATGTAGGTATTTGCACTTTTTACTTATTGTCATATGTGTAATTTTTGTTTTCAGTAAACTGTATCAAATTAATACCGCCATTTTAAAAACATTGACCATAAAAAGTACACACTTAATCGCCTTGACCATAGACAGTCCCATGTGAACACATAAGACAGCGTGGTCAGGTCTCTCCACCGGAGCGCCGCTGATGCAGTAATAGCAATCGCCTAGAATCTTGATCCTTAGTTGTTGGTATTTCTATAAGAAAACATAATATTATAGAATATAGCATAACTATCAAATTCAAAACAAACTATACTTACCTCCGCAAGTCGGTCAAATCTTGCAAAAAGTTCGTTTAATATGGCTACCAATCTTGCGCTGAATAGGTTGAGGATATAGCCGTAAATCCCACGATGTCTGCATATAATATACTGTTACGGCAAAATAAAAAAATTATAATAAATAAAACATAAGATTGATAAAAATAATTATAAATAAGCCTATAAATGATATTACCCACCTAACATTTTCATGACGGGACATGTAGATTTTCTTAAACTGGGTATCGATAAGTCCCAAATCTTTCCGCATTTGTACTGCCACATGTTCAGGAAGCACGGATAGCAACAATCTTTCCTAAAAGAAGGTATAGAACGTTTAACACTATTGCAGTCTACTTTGCACGACTAAATATAAATGTTCTTTGTATCGTAGAACTTAATATCTTAATAATTACAGTTTGTGTTTCAAAATTCCATAAATACTGTATTAGTATTGATTTTATTCTTACATAAATTAAAGCTTATTAACGAAGTGCCATATACTCGTAGTTTTATTTAGTAATGTAGATTGTCTTACTATAAGTATTACAGTATAGTGAATTATTGTACAAATATGTCTTAGTTATAAATATATACGAAATACGCTCTAATTAAATAATTTTATAGTAGTGAAAAAACTTTTATAATGTAAAATGTTAGCTTACTTGTTCTTTGCTTTGTTGTTCAATTGTAAGTTTATCGCGTAAACTCCGTTTTGTCTCTTGAAATGAGCTCCGCTGTTGTTTTTCACTTATTGCATATGCAGTTCCGCCCAGAAATGTAGCTCCGAGTAAGAGGCATCCGTTCGCTATTTGCTGCCAAAGAAGATAAAGTTATTTATATGCTTTGCTACTCTCAAATTTTAGATACATATAAATGTCTTGTATTCACCTGCAAGTAAAAATCGCCGGCCAGTCTACTTTCAGTAGTTGTAGCATTATAGTATTGAATAAGTAAATACGCAGTGAGTGAAAGTGTACTATATAATATAAGAAGTATATAATGGAATGGTAACGTTGCAAGGGTAAAATATTGCAGTACAACGGCCCAACCCAGCAATTCATTATACGAATCTCCAAGGCGTCTGGAAGTGCTCACAAGGAGTTGAACCCACAGTGTAATCCATGCGATATGATTTAAAGCTGTTCTTGCTTTGCGGTACAGAGCGTAGATTACTGCCAAAATTAAATTCAGCACAAGGGAAATTGCGACAGATTTATAAGCGAAATGCAAATCACGTTCTCCAGGCACAAGCGATGCAAACACTTGAAACAAAACCCCTGTAAGGATCAATCGGAGAACAGCCCTTTGTCGTTGTTGTTGTGTGTAGGCCAGATATAATTTTTCATCTGATAAATCCGAAAATCTCCATGGTGGGACCATCCAGCAGGAACACTTTTCGGTAGTTCGATTTTGTACAGTTTTCTCCATAATTTTACCACTTTTCCATATTATTGCCAACAATATTCAATTTTTAATGTTTAATTTTTTTAGATTTTTTTCACTTTATTAACACTTAGACACATTTTTATTTATAAAGGCTTTCTCGTTGTTGCACATACATATATGTTAGTATACCTATCTCGTTTAAAGACAATTGAGCACTTTATTATGATTTTTTTATTGTATACCACTTATATTGTACAGAATACCCGCGGAAAAAAAATATTTAATGAAATTAGTAAAGTTTTATTCACTTAATATATATATTTAGCTTTAAAATTTCTATTTATTATTGCTTCTTTCATAAATTTTCGAGATTACAAAACCCAGAAAGACATAATCATAAATGCACAACTTCCCGTAAATAATGCTAAGTATACTCCCAAATCGAAGTCGAATTAAGGGATTTGAGGCTCCCGTTCAATGAGTACTCAAAGAGTAAATTTATTTTTCGTAACGTAATATTGAGATAGGATGAGTTACACTTTTTGTCGATACTTCGATTTCATTATACAGAACGTTTTCATAAATAAACAATTTATATCAGACCACGTATTGGGTTAGCGATTGAAAAATAATGTCTAATACATCGGCTAGGAAAAGTTTAGAGAATATGAACATCAAGCGGAGACTTTCCGTTTGCACGGGCACGATGATCGAGGACGCCTGTGTAATGAATAAATTACACGCTGAAACATTGTTCCGATATCCGTTCATTAACTCGGCCGTCTTCTAGACGTATGAGGTTTTATATATGTCGTATACGTTACTACAATAGTCAACTAATTTCAATATTGACAATCGTTTTGACTTACTTATGGACAGACTGTGAAAAACACTGTTCATTTAACAACAATTGTTATTCGACATACTTTAACGCATTCCTCGTAAAATGCTTCCAAAAATTTGGTTACTTCCAACAAGTTTCATAATTTGTTACCTAATTTTTATCACTTAACACATATTTCCTTTTGAAACTTATAAATAAATAATTTCAATTATATCCATTAATTCTTTATTAGATTTTCGCATAAATAAAAACAATTGTTTAACCATGCCATAATAATTACTGGGTAGTTATTATGTGTCATTTATCTTAAACACATATTTTCTAACGATATAACAATTAATAAGATATGTATCAAATGATATTAACGTATTACTGAATGTTACGAGAACAAAGAAAATTGTGAAAATTATTAAGGGAAATATCTTAGCCAAAAAGACAATATTACTGTTGGAATTAATATTTAAGTATACGCCGTAATAAATTCATTTCAACAAAATATTATTACCAGAATTGAATAAATGATTAACGTAAACAAATATAATATGCATTAGACGTTGTACGATAAAAAATCCGATATTGTGCTCACTCGTATTATGTTACGTTTATTTACACTTCACGTAAGCTATGAAGACGTTAACCAATTCGATTATATTCCATATAAATATATACATAATATGTGTTAGAATTACTCATATACAATAAATTTCCCGCCGAAATTGCGATTTCAGTGATGTAAGCAGGTAATCTCAGTAATGACCCTTGTCATACTATTGACCCATTAACATTGAGAGCACTTTCGTTAGCGTTAAGGTACTAGAGGGAGGGGTTATTAAGATCATGTGGGATTTTATTGGTAAAAAATATATACTGTGGTAATATTTTATTATCCGGAAATATTGAGCGGTAAAGGATGAGAGGAATCGGGATACGCGGGGATCGCGGCAGCGCAAGGCGTTTTGCGCACGTGCTCGCGCGCGACTGCCGCGCCAGCCGCCGCCCTCCGCGTTAGCAAACCATCGCCCGCCCGATCCGCCTTACCCTCCCTTGCAACCCACCCTGGACCGCCAGTCAATTCATTACATCGATTCAAATTATTTCAATTGATATTCCAGCAACGCGCGGAAAAACTCAATCTCAACAGAGGTCAAAGATGGGTTGGGCTTAAACAATCAGGTAATTAGAATATATTTCGAAATTATAAATGAGATCAATAATAACTCTCATTAGAATTGTTAATTAAATTAATGAAATTTATCAACAATTTCTAATATATTTATTTAATTAAAGTATAATTTTAATAATTAGTCATAACTAGGTAGGTACTAAACGAGATAAACATAGTTTAGAGTTTTTATATAAATAATCTGCAGAACGGTAAGTATGATCAGAATTTTAAACACAAATGTGCATGTTACAACTATGCTAAACAAATCTTATAATGAATGCTAGGTAAATAAAATGACATTAAAATGCCATTAATGTTTATATCGTGTGTAATCTATGGCAAAAGGACGGAACTTTACTCGTTCACGAGGGTTGCATACGTTTAGTTTTTTTCTCTACATTGTACGAAACAATACAGAAACTTTAACTATTCATTTCCAGTAGAAAACTTTTATTTAATGCCTGCAATTCAAAGCCGATAACTATATTTTTTATTAAAATGCCACTTTAAAGTTTTTGTATCTACCTATAGGTATATTAAATTACTCAGTTGAATAATTTCAAATAAAACTATTAATAATATGTATTAGCTTTGAAATGTATATAGGTACTTAGGTCACGCCAAACAACATGTACACAATTTTTAAGTGTGACAAAAAAACATTAGACAGATGTTAGCTATGCATTATTGAATCCATACGTTGTGTATTAGGTATATTACAACGAAATAAATAATGATTAGGAAAATTATGTCGGCGCCTTCTTCATCAATGCAAGAATAATTCTAGTGCTTTTCGTGATTTCGTTGATAAAATTATCTATCAAAGTCCAAAAGGACAGGAAAAGAAAAAACTTTGTAAATACATATTAAAAAACCATCATTTTAAAAGTTATAATAACTGGTTACTTGCACAAAATCGATTTTTGCAATATAAGTTATAAGAAACGATCTTAAAATGACTCATTAAAACATTTTTCAACTACTTTTTAGTTAAATAAAAAGTCTAAGAATGTTAAAATTTCAGTAAATCTTTCTTCTTAACAACTTGATTATACGTGATAATTCTAACTGTATTGAGTCTAAATCATAATACGGCGAGTACCGATGCTACCGCAATGTAAATCGTTCGTTACCGAAACATGAAAAAAACGCCCTGTTTTCTCTTTATACCAAAATATATATAATTATTGCTTTAACGATAGCCAATAATCACCAAGTACTCGCCTTTTACCTGAAAACTGGACCTGATAGATTTAAAAAATTTTACAATCATTAAATTACCTTTCTTTCCAATTCTACTAAATATATGCGATAGCATAAGGGAAACAAGCTTTTTCTCGTGCTTTCAAACTTTTTTCGTACCTCATGAAGACAGTAAAATTTTTAGGAGATTGCCACACACACACACATACAGTTTATTTACATGATGCGATGGCTAGATTTGTTAATAATCTTCTTATAATTTAAGATTTACAACAAATAGTAATGGTAGTTTTATCATGATGTTTTGTCGACCATACAACAAATTTGAAGATTTGTTCGTCTGTAAGTAAAATGTTCTAAAATAAACCTTTATAAAATAATCTTTGAAACTTTTATCGAATTAAATATGATTATTGCATTGATACCGGTAAGTATTGCAAAGTTTTTCTTCTGTGTCAACACCAATTTGATGTCTCACAACTGTCAAATTATTTGACGATTGTTTTTGTCAACAATATATTCGTTAAAATAAAACTGTATTGTTCTATAATGGAAGAAAGATTGATATAATAATGCAATCTTCATGTTATGTATAATTTATAAGACTTATAAAAAAGTTACAATTTAAGAGAGACACTGAATAACATAACCTATAAGCACAATCATGGATATCGAATTTATGAAACCAGTTAAGCCTTTAGTTTTCAAGGCTTTAAAAGACGTCGATATTGCAACTTTAATAAAATGCACACCGGATGAAATAAGACCGATCATACCATGTCTAGTCCGTATGGCTCTTATAGCACCTCTTGATATAACTAGATATTGTGCTGAAGCTAAGAAAGACATCCTGACTCTACTATCTGGTATTGATCTAGTAAACTTCATTGTATCCTTACTGTCTATTGAATTCCATGCTCTAGAAGTGGATCTAAAGAAAGAACAACAAATGCGGTAAGTTTAACATAAAGCAATTAAGGTTTTATTGTTTATCCTTTTGTAGTTTTGATTCTCTGATAATTTTTCAGACTGTAATTTTTATTATTTTTTTAGCTTAAAAAGTGGATCCCAGAATACTGAATCCTTTCTAATACAGAATGTAGTAAATGGAATTGCAAATGATTTTGAACAATCTGATTCTGCAAGAAGAGTTCGACTAGTTCTCTCTGAGTTGTTGCAGATGCAAGCACAGTTGGCAGAGTATAATCAGAATAAAAATTCAAATTCTGAATCTTCTATAAAACCCTCTGAACTATTTGATAATGAAGTGTATCTTGAAGAAATAACTGATGTTATTTGCATAAGTCTTGCTGAATTACCAAATCTGTTAAATATATGTGAAATTGTTGAAGTATTACTGCATGTGAACAAAGGACCAATTATTATTTCTTGGGTTGTAGCGAATATGCCGGACACACTTTTAGATGGTACATTATAAGTATAAATTAAAAAAACTTAAAAACATTTTCAATATACCTGATACCTTAAATTAATATATTTAATTACAGTGGCAGAATCCTTGGTTTTAAATGCTGAAAGAGGAGAAGAAGGTGGGATTAGAGCCAAAACGTTATCCACATTATGTGACGCCTGTCCCTATATTGCAACAGCTGTTAGAGCAAAAGCTGTATCTGCTTCCAGACTACCATGTTTAATAATAAACCTCACTTTAACACATCATCAAGACTTGGTAAATTGATATAATTTAGAAGATATTTCTAGTAATAAAACCAAAATCTTTATATTTCAATATCTGTAACCTTTATTGTTTATAGGTATCCTTCATATCTGGTTTGCTATTGGGTTCAGACCAGAGTACCAGAGCATGGTTTGCAACATTCTTACGTAACTCCCATAAAAGGGGGAAAGGAGATGGTCATGCAATATTAGTGAAGTTGCGCCAAGAACTTCTAATTAGATTAAAAGAAGCTTCAGCTGGGGTTGATGCATCTGCATTATTAAGATTATATTGTGCCTTGAGAGGAATCGCGGGAATAAAATTTCAAGATGATGAGGTGTCCGGACTTTTACGACTTGTGACACAGAAGCCACCACCGACCCCAGCTGGTGTGAGATTTGTTTCCTTGAGTTTATGTATGATCCTAGCATGTCCTTCACTAATGGGTTGGTAATGTTTATAAATTTATTTATTTTTTTATTTAAGGTCCTTGTTATTGTAATATTTAATATTTTTAGCTGCTCCTGAACATGAGAAGAAAGCAATTGAATGGGTACAATGGCTTGTAAAGGAAGAAGCTTATTTTGAAAGGTACTAAAAATAATAAATCACAACACAATAAATTATGAATAGGAACATTTTTGTATTATTCTAAAGAAATTTATTGTAGAGGGTTACTTAGACCATCTTTAATAAATCACAATCCTTTAAAAGTGTCTTAATTCTATTATTACAGCAATTCAGGCGTCACAGCTTCGTTTGGGGAGATGTTGCTGCTAATAGCAATCCATTTCCACTCTGGCCAACTGACGGCCGTCGGTGAACTAGTCTGTGCTACTCTTGGCATGAGGGTCCCCGTGCGACCCAACGGACTGGCGAGGATCAAGCAAGCCTTCACACAGGAAATATTTACTGAGCAGGTAATATACTAACTTGGATTTATCTTTGACTAGCTGCGCCCCGCGGTGTTACCCGCGGATTTCCGGGATGTAAAGTAGCCTATGTATTATTCCTGGACGTCAGCTTCCTGTATACAAAATTTTATCAAAATCGGTTCAACCGTTTGAGCATGACGAAGTAACAAACATACACACACACACACTCATAAACTTTCGCAATTATAATATTAGTAGGATTATAAAATAATTCTTAAATCAAAATTATTAGGTATATGGATACTAACTTAAGATTTTTTATAATAAAAGTATAAATAAAATTTAAAAATTTGGCTAACCTCTTTTACATTATTATTATAAATTCGAAATAGAAATAAATTATGTGCAACAGTAAATATTTATATAAAGTCATTTATGTACTTACCAGTTTTTCTAGCCTTATTTATATGATTCTAGTACTTGATCTTAATTCTTATTGTCGAAAATGTCTTCCCTATAGAAAAACTAATTTATCTTATCTTTTAAAAATCATTTGTTCAAGGTCGTTACTGCACACGCTGTTAAAGTTCCTGTCACTGCAAATCTTAACAGCAACATATCCGGTTATTTGCCTGTACATTGTATTCACCAATTACTGAAGTCGCGAGCATTTTCAAAACACAAAGTGCCCATAAAAAATTGGATATATAGCCAAATTTGCAACTGTATTGCTCCCTTACATCCAGTAATGCCAGCCCTCGTCGAAGTTTACGTCAATTCTATTCTGGTTATTAATAATAAAGGAACAAACGAATACTTCAATAAGCCAATTACAGAAGAAGAAATACGCAGGGTATTCCGAAAATCTATTTTTGGTGTTAATTATGACTCAAACAGCAAACCATTCACTTCTATGGATATTGATAGTGAATCCACAGTTGACATAAACATTGAGAAACCAACTCTAGCCTCACAACTATTATTAATTTATTACCTGCTTCTGTACGAAGATGTAAGATTGGCTAATACAGCTATTCTGATTGCTAATGGAAGAAAAGTTAAAAGTTATTCAACAACATTTCTTTCGGAATTGCCAATAAAGTATTTGCTACATCAAGCCCAAAAGGATCAAATGAGTTATGGTGGTCTTTTCAGCCCGCTACTTCGTTTGCTTGCGACTCATTTTCCGCAACTGTCACTCGTAGATGATTGGATGGATGACCAGGTCTTTGGAGATTCCTGTCGTCACCAAATAGACATTAATCTTTCAGAAGTATCTATAAATGAGGCATTCCAGTGCATTGAAGAAAATCCATATAAAACTGGTAAAATATTAAAAGCCATGCTTAATAAAAATCCTACTGACATATGGCCTTTCGCAGAAATATTTGTTAAATACGTGAAGAGTGTGTTAGGAAGTAGAGTCCCAAGACATATACAAGAACTCTACAGAGAGGTTTGGTTGCGTTTGAATACTGTTCTACCCCGATGTTTATGGATATTAACAATTAACGCATTGCTGGATATAAACAATGGATGCGGAAAATACGTTACCATAACACAGGAAAACGTTTTAGTTGATCCTTTACAAGTCCTAAGATGTGATATAAGAGTATTTAGATGTGGCCCTATATTGAAAATAATTCTTAGGATTTTAGAAGCGAGCTTAGCTGCGTCGAGAAGCCAGTTAAGTCGTCATTTATTGGACAAGCCCCTTCTTGAAAAAAGCGGACAATTGACATCAGACTCCGAGAGAGAAGAATTGAAAAATGCCTTAGTTGCCGCACAAGAAAGTGCAGCACTACAAATTTTACTAGAAGCTTGTTTGGAGACTGAAGAAGACCAATCTAAACCCGAACTAATGTGGTCTTTGAAAGAAGTTCGAAGTATAATATGTTCGTTCCTACATCAAGTGTTTATAGCTGAGCCATCACTCGCAAAATTAGTACACTTCCAAGGATATCCGAGGGAATTATTGACAGTAACCGTCCAAGGTATACCATCAATGCACATATGTTTAGATTTTATTCCTGAACTTCTGAGTCAAGCTTCTCTAGAGAAACAAATTTTTGCTGTGGACTTGGTATCTCATCTGTCAATTCAGTATGCTTTACCAAAAGCTATGTCCATCGCGAGGTTATGCGTGAATACTCTATCCACACTCCTATCTGTTCTGCCAAGTGACCTGCGTCTGGAACTTTTTCAACCAGTTTTAAAATCGCTCGTACGGATTTGCATAGCATTTCCTTCCTTACTTGAAGATATAACATCGTTATTATTACAATTAGGTCGAATTTGTGAATCTCAGGTATCACTTGGCCATTGTTGGAATGATACAAATATATTGGGCGAAGGCGCTTATGTATCGTCTGAAGTTCACAATGACAGTAAAGTATTACTCGCCGAGGTTTTATGTAGAGACATTAAATCAACAATGTCAGAAATTATACAGAAAGCACTTTTAAATGATAAACTGTATTGATATATTGTATTATTTGATATATTTTTTAAAATAAAATCTAGTACTATATTCCAAAATTTTATTTCTCTTTAAGAGACTAACTTTGGATCTAATACATTATATGTAACATATTCAGTGGTTCAACTGGGTTTTGTGTTTCAAGTTGTCTGTACATCCAAGCACATTGATTTCTTGCAACTATATTACCAATGTCATTATATAACTGGGCCTGAAACAAAATTTTCTTTACTTGATTTATGTCTATTAAAATTTAGTGAGAATGTAAAATATATTCGGAAGATTTTCCAATTGCAATATGAATAAAGACTTTCTTAAAAAGCATTCAACAGTTATTATGACTTATTATATATCAAGGATTGATATATAATAAGTCATAATAACAAGTTCAAAAACTTAACCACTATGAGTGACTCAGTTGTTACTTCTTATTAAATTTGAACAAAAAAATACTATAATTAATTAATTTTAATGACCATTATGTGCTTGAATTCTGGTTTCTACATCGCTAAAAAAGAAAAATTGATCGATCGATAAAACAATTGTTACGTTTTGTATACATCATATTGTAATTTTTACCTGCAGATACCACGTATGTAGTAACCTGGCCTCAGCACCAACTTTTGAGAAGTTTTCTTTAACTGTATCTAGTGCTTCACAGCAGGATTGCAACACCTGGTTTCGAGCTTCACCCGACGGCGGAGAGGTCGCTATTCGACACTTTGTATATAATAGCATACCTAGAAAATAAACCACATTAAAAAAATACTTAAACAAAATACTATTACTAAATGTACTTGTACAATACCTCTTGCCATATCGTAAGCGCTGCCATGTTCCATAATCAATGGCAACACTTTCCTCGCTAATATCAAAGCGTTTTTCGTAGAACCCATATGCAATTGGACATTAGCCGTGTGCATCTCAGCTGTCGCAGCTAAGAAATGCAAGTGATATTTCTTCGCCAACGACAACGCTTCGTTTAATAACATGATATTAGTGGATCTATTATTACTGAAGGTGTGTTGTACTTCTGCCATCATTATCATAGCCTTCAGTCTCAGTGACATGTAATGCAAACTGTCGTCCTCGGTTTTACAGAAGTCTAGTATATCGTGAAGCGTTTCTAAAGCATCAGTGGGATTCTCTTTAAGGAAATACATCTCCGCTCTCAAGAGTTGACTTTCCCACCGATCGTACGATGCTAGCTGTCTTATACTCTGATCTGCCTCCTCCCATTTACCTGAATAAAGGAATTAAATTTTATTGTAGAAAGTCATATTTTTAACGTAAAAAATGATAGTATCGAACTACAAAATACAAATATATTTAATGAGAAGCATTTGATCTAATGCCCCCAATATACATATATGTATGTATATCCTGAGTTTAATCTATGACACGGTAACCACGAAATATGAATAGGACCATTTGCTTTTCTTGTCCTAATTACTACAAACTTCTATCACGATTTTTCGATATTAGTAAGTATAACTTACCAGCTCTCAGTGCATATGTAGCGTGATGTCTAGCGGCGGCAGCGCGGGCAGCCGGTGAAGTGAATAGCGAGGCGAGTGCTGCAGCTAGCGGGCCCGCGCCACGCCAGGCCGCCGCGCACACCGCACCAGCCCCGGACCCCTCCGACCACTGCCACACACTGCCAGACCCCACCGTACATTCTATAAACATTTTATTTTTCAGCACATCAGAGCCCACTGCTAAGCAAAGGCCTCTTTCTCTCGTTTGAGCGTTAATTACCACGCTTGTTCACGACCGGTTGGTGATTTTAAACTTATAAGTCAAGGTTTCCTCACGATGTTTTCCTTCACCGTCCGTCATTGGTGTCTTAATTCTCTTAGAAAATACATATGACTCGGAAAAAGTCACATTGGTACTTGCCTGGGCCAGTATCGAACCCGCGCCCTGGGCAACGAGAGGCGGGCCCTTTGGCCACTAGCCCACCACTGACTATAAACATACCCAACATTAAACCACGCTCATCCATATAGGACGTTACAAAAACATTGAAGGGAAAATAACATTATAATCATGTGCTTTGGTAATTCTAGATCTCTTGATATACTCCATAAGGCAATTCCTTATAAATAAATTTGGTTACTTACTTGTATTTAAATTAAGCAGCAGTTGACAGTTCACAGAAGCCATTTCCGTTTTTCCATATAAACCCCAAAGCGCCGCTGTGTTTGCTAAGCCGGCCATAGTTAAATCTGTCATCGAATGTAGGTAATTGATAGTATCTCCTTTACTTATTATCTGAAAAATTCAATTAATCAGACTTTGCAGGCTAAATAGTTACCAGTAAGTTAATAAATTTTTATGTTCAAAATTACCCATATATTAAAAAAGAGGGCGCATTCAAAATAATAAGAAACAGGCATTGAATTAAGGATATACTAAAAAAACTTGTTGTTAGCTGCTGCTTTGTCTTCATAATTAACCAACTCAAGTCATGACTTACTTTTGTGGGTTTCATTCAATTATTCGAAGATACCTACCTACTTAAAGAGTACTTATGACACTGAGTCAAGAAAACACATTTTTAGTATAAATATATCTTTCAAAATATCCAATAAGTTTAAAAAGAATGATTCTATAAGTTTAAAAAGAATTCTATACACAAAAAAATTCAAACTTCGAACCTGAAAGACTTCTGCCGGCCTGGCAGCATTCACAGCGGCGTGCTGTGCCATCAGTTGTACGGCTGCGGCGGCGGCGCGAGGCGGTCGTGGCACGCGGGCGAGGAGAGCAGCGCGACGTGCGCGTCCACCAGCCAGTGCTCCCCAAGCCGCCGCCGCCGCTACACAACCACTATCAGCCGCCTCCTGCGCACAGCCCAGAGCCTCGCGAACACCTTCCATAGCTACCGACCTATCAATAGTAGAAGCAATCTCACTAATTACCACTAACCTAAATTATTATACAGGGTGACTGGTGAATTACTATCGATATTTGAGGACGTGACATTTGACGATCATATATGACAAAATAAAAATTAATATATCATAAATATTAATAAACTTCTAAGTAAAGTTAACCAAAAGTTATGTAATTAATTACGCATCGTGTGAACACCCTACAGATTAGGTATACACACACACACGCGTGCGGCGTGGTGTTGTATCAGCACGCCGCCGCACGCGTCCACACTTGGAACACTTGTAACGTGTCCACACTTTATTTATTTATACGGAAATTTGGTCCAAAAATTAAGTACCTATTTTTTTACATAATTCGAATGAGAATCATGTACCGAGTATTCTCCTTAAATATTGATAGTAATTCACCAGTCACCCTGTATAACCGTTCAAAGAGGAAACTGTAAATAAAACTCACTTATGTCCAAACTGTGTATGCATTGCCGCTCTATTCAATGCAGCATATCTAAAGTTTTTATTTCTATCATTCAATGAACTTCCGTTGCCGCACATGTTGAAAACAGCTCGATCAAAACAATTGTAAAGAGAATCTTGAGCTCCACAAAATTCTTTCATTCTTATGCAGTTCAGAAAACTAAGAAAATGCTGTAACATAAAAATGAGACAATCACAAAAATTATATTACACATTCTGAAAGCATGTGAAACTCGATTAACTTGGATATTTTAAACTTTTTTTTAAAGTAGAGATCATGCTGCAGGAAGAATATATAAAAGGGAAAGATTAAGACTGTTTAGTATATAAAAGTATGAAAATGCTTAAAATTTTGTGTCCATAATGATAAACAATATTTTTTTTATAAATTCTAATAAGATGTATTTTATTTTGATTCAATGAACATATCTACTAAAAGAATCATCATGTCTGTTTAAAATAACTTATATGCATTGCTGGACATTTTTGCTATGAGCACTGCACAAAATGCACATTTAATCCCGCATATTTCAACTTAGCCTAATTCACTTTATATGAATATAATTCAATATAGTCGATGTCGCAAAAACATGTAACTATATGCATAGATTAAAGTGATTAAACCTAAGATCATTAATGCAAAATAAATCAAATGGCTGTTAAGTCATCAAAAAAACCTGTTACTGGATATATAAGCATTTAAAAAACAAAAAATATTTGTTAAATAAAACATACAATATCGGGATATTCTGGTAAATCATTAATTATTTGCATGATTGTTTTCTGCAGCTGTTTGGGTGCCATTGCTTTTTTTTCATTTATCTGCAATAAATTGGCTTGTTGAGCAGTAAAGAGTTCCGCTTGCTTTCTTGACCACTGACATTCTTCAAAAGTACTGAAAATATAAATAATTTGTATAGACATTATGACTACAACTTCATACAACAAATACATGAGAAATTTTCAAAATCTGGCCAACCTGTCTCTATCAATAATATTCATCTTCATAAATATCTCTTGGGGCTTAGATTCTTCTGGTAGCAGTGATGACTTTGATGTTTCAGGTTGTGATTCCATATTGTTCAACTTCTACAATGAAAGGCAAGTTTATTGCAAAGTTATTACAGTAGAAACTCGATTATCCGGCCCTCAGTTATATGGATTCGAGATTATTCGGACTCCGGATAAGTCCGGACAAGAAAGGATTTCAAAGCGTGAGAGAGTGGTGCTGTTGAGAGTGGCTTACGTCAAATGACAATAACCAAATATTCTAAAGCAAATTAAACTTATTATTTTATTTCATGATTAAAATCTGCAGTTTTTAGTACATACAGGTACTTTTTTTTAATAAACTAAATACTACATTTGCACAAAACCGGTTTTCTTCATACATTTGATTATCCAGATTTTCGATTATTATCCGAAAGGTTAATCAAGTTTCTACTGTATATAAATTAGCATTTTGAGGATAGACAACTCCAAAAAACAAACATACCTCTTTGCTTAGCGATCTCATCATCAGACCAGGTCTCCCTTTCTGATAGTAAATGCAAAAAGACTTATACAGGGAAGCAACTTGCACAAAAGTAAGTTTATCTAAGTATAGTAATATTCTTCTTAAATAAAACCCTAAAATATAAGTTTTGTATTAATGACAATGCCATTAAGTTCAAAAGAATATAAAAATTGGTATCATTTCTCTTCATTTCCATACCTAAAACACTGCATCGGGTTATAATGCAAGGATTTGTTTCACTCTGTTCCATCATCAGTTTATTAACAGCAGAAGTCACACAGTCCATAAGTGCATTAATCCCATTAACATATATGTTTTGCAATCTCACACAAAAATTCTGAAGGTGAACACTTAACAAGTTATATCGTCCATCAGTTAAAAGTGCCTCCAGCTCTTTAAATTCCATATCAGGGCACTAAAAGACAAGTAAATCAATTAAATCTACTTTTTCACATATACATTACCATATATTTATTGTGCTTACCTGAATTAACTTCAGTGCAAGAATACAAAAGTCTTTTCGATATTTTGGTGCCATTGTAAAATCGATCATATCTTTTGCTATAAAAAAATATTAGTTTAGTTAATTTTATAATTATAGTATAAATTTTATTTTGAATGTTTATTTACCTTCCATTTTTAATAATCCATATTCTCTTATAAAGGCAACAACGGCAATTTTGTGAGGAGTAATATTGTCAACATTACCCTTAATGTTTATAAGTTTAACAAAATCAATGTTATCATTTCCTAAATCCATTTTAACAATATTTGGATAAGGATTTTATATATTTTTGAATATGTTGTTCTATTAAAACTTTAACGCTGGTGTTTAAATATTGTTCTCCTTTCTTGCATGACACTTATATTGTCGCATTTAATGTGAGTTTAGAAATGCCTTTTATTTCTAATTGCATTTTTTGAAATTCAAAACAACCCATTTGTCTGATCTGTCATCTGACGGACCGCGGACGTTAAATACAGATAAATGAAAGCTAATGTTTATTTTAGGTATCTTAATATCAAAATATTGAATTTATAAATTTATCAGTATAGAATATTACAGTTAACGCTGTGTTATTTGATTTAAAACAAATATTTTAATTTTATTTTTAATTGTTTGCGTGTAATAGGTATGTTTATTTTTTGTTTTGAAATAAAGCAGATGGCGCATCCATAGTCTGTGAGGAAAACTTTGTAGTAGATAGTTCATAGTATAAATCGTGTGTTTTTTTATTTATTAGGTTTTTGTTACTTAAATAAACAATAATCTTTTATAAACATGATATTTCTGAAGAGTTAATATTATTTTGAAAAACGTCAATATACTACTTCAAGAGTTTAACAATATGGGAAGACTATGGGTGTTGTTTTTAATTGCACTGTTTCATTTGTTTGTGTTAACTGAAAGTTCACGTGTTACGGTATATCAAGGAGATACACTACCTCATCATGGAAGATGTGAACCAATAACGATACCTTTCTGTCAGCAAATAAGATACAATCAAACGATTTTTCCCAATTTATTAAACCACGCTAGGCAAGAGGAGGCAGATCTGGCAGTCCGACAGTTTACGCCTTTCATTAAAGTGAATTGTTCACCGGACCTAAAATTCTTCTTATGTTCTGTATATGCCCCAGTGTGTACAATTTTAAACACTCCCATCCCACCTTGTCGTCATTTGTGTGAATCGGCAAAACAAAATTGCTATAAGCTCATTGTGAGCTTTTCCTCGCCATGGCCGAAAGAATTAGAGTGCTCAAATTTTCCTGAAGTAACAGGTGAAAATGTTATTTGCGTCGGAGATAACAATGTCACTCATGAATCTCGAAAACCACCAGAGAATAAACTCCCAAAAGTAGATTACAAGTATAACTATGACAGAGACCCAACAAAATTACAAGGAGCCAAAGATTATGGGTTTGTTTGTCCTGTTCAGTTCAAAATTCCTAAAAGTCTAGATTTGGAATATTCCTTGAAAGTTGGTGACAAAGTGGAATCTGATTGTGGAGCCCCATGTAATGGAATGTTTTTTAGTGAAGATGAAAAAAATTTCGCTAGATTATGGATAGGAACATGGGCCACATTATGTACCATTAGCTGCCTCTTCACTGTCCTGACTTTCCTAATAGACACAGACAGGTTTCGGTACCCTGAGAGACCAATAATATTTTTGTCAGTATGCTATTTAATGGTTGCTGCAGCCTATGTAATGGGATGGAGTTCAGGAGATACTGTAAGCTGTCAGGGCCCATTTCCTCTAACAGTGAGTGGTACAAGATTACCAAACACTTCAGTAATAACACAAGGAACAAAACATGAACCATGCACAATCCTCTTTATGGTGGTGTATTTCTTCAGTATGGCATCAAGTATTTGGTGGGTAATATTAACCCTGACCTGGTTCTTAGCAGCTGGACTAAAGTGGGGTCATGAAGCCATCGAAGCTAATTCTCAGTATTTTCATTTAGCTGCATGGGCAGTGCCTGCTATTAAAACTATTTCAATTTTAGCCATGGGTAAAGTTGATGGTAAGTAGATTCCACATCTGTTTCTATGCACATTAAGAACATTATAATTATTTTAATAAATTTATATTATAAAAGCAAAGACTAATTTTATACTTTCAATAATTTTTATCTTAAACTTATGTGGGCAATATATTACTACTAATTAGCTTTTTAGACAATTAAATTTCAATACTATTATTACGAATCGTATCTTGCATATTAATAGACATTTTTATTTCAGGTGATGTTTTATCTGGTGTATGCTATGTTGGACTATGGGATTCAGAAGCTCTACGAGGATTTGTTTTGGCACCATTATGCGTTTATCTTGTTTTAGGAACAATTTTCTTGTTTGCTGGTTTTGTCTCTCTATTTAGAATAAGAACTGTTATGAAGCATGATGGTACTAAAACAGACAAATTAGAAAAATTAATGATTCGTATTGGCATATTTGGAGTTTTGTATACTGTGCCAGCATTGATTGTTATTGCGTGTTTATTTTATGAACAGGCTCATTTTGATAGTTGGATGTTAACTTGGCATCGTGATATGTGTTCCAAGCCTCTGTATTCTATTCCTTGTCCATTTACACACCATGAGGTAGACAGGCCAAAATTTGAAATGTTTATGATAAAGTACCTCATGACAATGATAGTTGGAATTACTTCAAGTTTTTGGATCTGGTCTGGCAAAACATTAGTATCTTGGCGTCAATTTTTTGATAAAATAAAAGGTAGACGAGTAGAGGCTTATGTATGATAAGGAGAGGCATTTTTCTATAATTATGCTGGACTCAATGGTGATATGATCAAACAAAACTGTTGTGATGTTTATATGATTACTAAAATATTAACTTATGGCACCAGTATTGTTTTGACTTATATTCATTTTTTAAAAGCTGAAGTCAATATTTTTTAGGTAATGATTTAAGTAATGATAACAAGAAATCCTTCCATTTGTTGTTATATGGTACAATTTTACAATTTGATTTTTTTTTTTTTGTTTTATATACAATTTTTTTGTATGCTTTTTCTCTTTTACATCTACAAAACACTTGACATGGGCCATATTTATTTTTTTATACTATTTTTACTCTTATTTTAAGAAATCTTGAGATTAATGATAAGGCTGATTGTGTACATATTCATGAACTTTTGTTTCTCAACTGTTAGTTATGTAAGTACCCTAGGTATTAAAAAACTTAATAAACTTATTTTCATGACACTCAGTTTTAATTTCTATGAAACCAAAGTTTTTCCCAAAAATTGCAATATTAATTGGGTGATATGAATTAACACATTCAACATAAATACTGGTCATCTTTCTTTATTTCTGCAATTAACTGAAATGCATAACATTACACCACTCTTACAGTTGTGCTGAAATGATTACTGATGATATGATTAAATTGAATTTTTTTTTTCACAACTAGCTTAATATGTTTAATTTTTAGATGAAAACTTAATTTAAATTTCACAAAAAATATTACCTATACCCATTTGGAACTTCAATATTTATAATGTCCAAAACATACAAATTTAAAATGCAATTACCATAACCTAAAGTTGCCAAAATTTTAAAGTATGTGGAAAGTACCATATGACTTATTAATAAAGGATTACTATTGCTAGATTAAATTTAGATTACACATATACTCATTCAACTATGTCGATTGTAATGATGAGTTAATCAACATTTATATATCTTTGAAAACTACACATACATTTGCTTTCAGATATAATATTATAAGGAAACTTGTGAAATATTAGTAGAATCTTATTTTATATCATATTTTTAAATACTTAACTGATATGATACAATAGTTTGATTGATTGAATAAAAAAACATGTCAATTGGTCATATTATAGGTAAAAATAAAAAATGCTTATATGAGAAAGAATAACTTAATTTATTGCAAATTATATCTAGATACTTTTAAGTATAAAAGCACATAATCATAACATTCACTTGCACTCCCTTATTTTATATTTATAATTATATAACTATTTTATTAATTACAATATAAATAATGTTGTTGTTATTTAGGCCCTGGTGTATTTTCCCCAAATGTGTAGCATAAACACAGATGCAATGAATAGCAGAGACATGACAAGTACGGGTACTGGACCTCTGAAAATTAAAATATTAAATTAAACTGGATTCAAAACCCATTTACTTGACCATACCAAAGTTCGTAAAATATATATTATAACTCACACTTTGACGCCGGGGGAGTCATCAGTGTAAAAACGCCACATTCCACCGGTTCCAGCTCCAGTGCTGCGATTCCTGGCTGCTGTTGTTGTGGTGGTTGATTTACGTTGTCTCACAGTGCCTCCAGTTGATGACCGTGGTACACCAGTTGCCTTGCTTGGCGATCGGCCTCCAGATCCCACAGATGTAGAGCTTGGTGCGGCTGGCTAAAAGAGTTCATTAAAATTTTATTATCAATGAAATATACTTAATTAAAAATGAATAAATATTGTTTTTCATACAACATACCATTTTTTATATGTATGGTAAAGTATCTGTATATTTAAACTTTGCAATTCCCGTCGCGACTGAATTCGAAAGTAATTTTTAAATTAAATGATATGGAAACGTCAAACTGTACAAGTTGGCGATGTACAACGCGTATTCGTGATACTGACACGTCGTCAAAGAATGCTGCCACACTTTATCACATTATATTTTTAAAACTTTGATTACCATGCTATAGCTTCCGAACTTCCTTTTTAAAATATTCTAATAAATTTACTTAAAACCTAATCTTAGTTTCAAAATCCTAAAGATATTTATAAGTTTTAACTTTTTCACTGTTAATTCTGCTAACATAAACATAAAATATAAATCATAAATCTTATGTGTTGTAAAAGCATTGCTCCAAACTAAACTAAGAAATTAATTTTGAACTACTGATTTTATTATCACATTTATTAAAATTCCAAATTAATTCAATATAAGCTTACTTAAAATTTATAAATATTTTTTTAATTGTTAATAACCTAACCTTGTTAATAAAAAATAAGAAGTACATAATTCTTTCTAATTTTTTTTTTCTTTTATTTTAGGTCCAAGATTTAAAAATTTCATAAAGTAGAAAAGATAAGGTCATAATTTTTCAATTTCTGGCTGATTACCATTTGACTATCATTCTACCCGTTACTTGGTGAAATGAAACAACAGTAACAGCCTATTAACTCTCCTCTTGAAGAAATCCAGAGTATTATTTGAAGGAAATACGGCGCAGGCAAATTGTACTACTCCTGACTAAATCAATTTTTTCTAAGTTTTCGTCACCAATAAATTTTTGCTGCTTTCAAAGCAGTGAGTGAAAATTTTTAGCGCTTGCCTCAATGTGAAAACAGTATTTCACTAACTAATTTGTAAATTGTAACTTTATATTGATACCTACAAAAACTGGCCCATCCTGAAGTACTGACCCTTTTTTTTAGAACACCGAGTTTCCTACATACCTAATAACTAATTATCGCAATGCTTTAACAAGATTTAAAAAAAACAATTTTGTAATAAATTTTATCGAAATTTCATTGAAGGTTTATTAAAGTAGTTAAAGAAAATAAAATCTCGAGATTTTTGATATAAGGTTTAATTGGTGGTTGGTACACATCATACAACTTTAAACATTGTTACTTTCTTTAATCAGAGTCAAAATATGAAACGTCTTTAAAATCGAGAAGTTGTTTAAATTTAAATAAATATTCAATTGATCTCATCATCATTTACCTTATACATGATAGAATTTTATATACGATATGGCCTAGTTAAATTTTACAACATGTTTAATTGAAGTTGTAAATGTTGAATGTAAATAGGGTTTTCAGACGTAAAGCCTGTCAGTTATCTCAATTCTCAACTATTCTAACACTTGATTGACAATTAGCTCAACAGTCAACTTATAATGGTTTGAAAAAGCAACTAGTACCTATTTACTATCTTTCTATCTTCAGTCTTGTAAATAGTAAGCAATCTAACCTATAAAATTGTACAGCAATCATATTATGTATTTTAGACTTTTGAATGTGAGTCGTTTTTTTGAGTTCTTTAGTGCGTGTCTCCAAAATAAACAGTATGAATCATAATAAATGTTATTTAAGATACATTGATACCGAAGACAAAGTAGATATATCCTTTCTATTTAAAGTAAAGGATTCATTTCGCCTTTTTAATTTGAAACGTAAACCATCTGAAAGTATGCAAACCTTATACACTCGTATTGCTGCAAATGTTCAAAAAGCGTGCAGCAAGAAAAATAAGAAAAAAGGTGTGAATGAAGAAGATATAGATGTAAAAATATTGGATGAAAGAAACAATCTTGTTTCTGAAGATTGTACTTGTTCGGAATTATTTACTCTCAATGAACCACTAAAATTAATAATTTCCGAACAGTGTCTAGATATAGTTTTAAATGCACCTTGGGTTATTAATCTTTCACTGCCCAAAAGCATAATGGTAGGTTTCCCAGTCTTTCCTGAGAGTCTCGAGACTCTTTATACAGAAAAAGAACTCACTATATACAACTGGTATAGAGGGAAAGTTAATAATAGCAAAGGCAATGAAATAAGTGATGCACATGTTGAATGGAACTTTATTGTAAGTAGTTTTTCCTACACACCTAAGGCAGAAGATATCGGACTTAAACTAAAATTAGAATGTATTCCAGGTAAAATAAGCCTTACTGAGTATAATTTTTTGTGTCTGGGTCATTTATTTTAATGATATGTATATTTTAAGTGAATGCAAAACTTAGTGGACCTGTTGTAGAGAGTATCTCAAAAAATTTAGTTGAAGCTGGACCTGGAAGCTGTCCATTTGAAACAAGACATATGTTTACACCTACAAAGTTGAATGGCAAAAGGTATACAGAATTTTTCTTATGAAAAGATTATTGTAATATTTAGTAATAACATTTTTATTTCTTTAGTTTCAGATGTGTGTCATACAATATTTTAGCAGATTTATACTGTGACTCGGACTACACTAGAACTGTACTGCACCCATACTGTCCACCATATGCATTGAGCATTGATTATAGAAAACAGCTTATTATGAAAGAATTGAAAGGTATTATATTTTAACTTTGTGTTCACAATAAAATTTTCTTTTATTGCATGAATGTTGAAATTTTAAATTTCAAATTTTACTATTGAAATACATTTTGTAGGTTACAATGCTGATATAATTTGTCTACAGGAAGTTGATGGCAAGATATTCAATAAATGTCTAAAACCATTTTTGGATGGTGACAATTTCAATGGATTATTTTATAAAAAAGGAAAAACTGTTGCAGAAGGTTTAGCATGTTTTTACAACAGGCTCAGATTTTGGTAAGTTATTTAATTGAATAAAACCTTTTTCTGATTTATTATCATACATATTAAAATACTTTATTTTTAATTTTATTGCAGTTTTATAGAAGACTCTCGCATTTTACTAGCCGAAGTGTTACAAACAGAGAGTTATCTCAAAAACACATCTTTGATAAAATAAAAAAAAAACACTGCTTTGACGGAAAGGTTACTTGATAGGTCAAGTGTTGCCAGTGCTACTGTACTGCAGTCAATTGAAAATCCTGATGAAATTCTTGTTGTTGGGAACACTCATTTGTACTTTCATCCTGATGCTGATCACATCCGATTGATTCAAGGTGGAATATTTATTTATTGGATAGGAGAAATTAAGAAAAAATTAATTCAAAAGGCATGTGAAATATATTGAAAAACATATTATATAAAAATTGAGAAATGATAAAACAATGTAAATTTTTCTCCAGAATCCAGATAAACGGATAAGTGTAGTTTTGTGTGGGGATTACAATAGTGTACCCTCATGTGGAATATATCAGTTGTTTACTACCGGCTTGGCACCAAGTTCTTTGGAGGATTGGAAATCAAGTAAGAGCCTAACCATAGCACTACAAAAATCAGAAACATATATTTCTTTATTGAAAAAGTATTCTATAATATTATTTTATTTTTAGATGCAAATGAAGCTGTACATGATCTTTCTTTTTCACAAGATATTTTACTTGATAGTGCATGCGGAACACCAAAATATACAAACTTTACCCAAGGATTTACTGAATGCATAGATTACATTTTTTATGAAAAGAACAATCTCTCTGTTAATCAGGTAAATTAAATAGGGAATCTTAAAAATTTTATTACAGTTTAGATAGAAACTGAAAATATTTTTTTTTTGCACAGGTGGTTCCATTTCCAAATGAAGAAGAGTTGAAAGCTCACATAGCATTGCCAAGTGTTGTTTTTCCATCAGATCACATCGCACTTGTATCAGATTTAGAATTTAAATAAATGAACTTAATACTTTTATGTTATTGTTTATATATATAATATATTTAGAATACAGTTGTTGCATATATGAAGTCACACACAGATGGAAATGAGAATCAATGGGTGTTTCGGTCAAGCATTAAAAGATTAAAAACTCTGTTTAACAATATATATTATTTCTATGAACTAATTTTTAACCAATGTTGCATGGCTTGGTGAAATTATTTTTTAAGCTATTAAAATCGAAACATTTTTTGAATCAACATGAGGCTGTTTTTTTAATTAATCGAATCTTTCAAGGACTTGAAAATAACAATAGGAATGTAAATTTAGAAATAAATTATTAATTTTATACTAGTAAGAACAGAATATGTACTTAAAAAATTAGTTTTTTTTAAATTCTATAATAATTGAAGAGGTACTTAAGTCCATCGAATCATTCGTAAGATTTAATTGCGTTCTAATTAATTGCTAAAATGAATGCAAATTAAAGTATTTTCGATTTTTTTTAAATTTAATTTTGCAAGTTTTAAATAAGTTTATTTAGAAATAACTTTGCATTTCTAATACTTATTACAAGTGTAATTTCACCTATGTTTAGCTTCTTAATTTTCTTTCCGATTCTTGTCAAGGCTAGACAGAGGTTAAGTTTAATGACCTAAGTAAAAAGTGAAAATACACACAAAAGCGAATTGGAACGTTATTTTTTTTCTAACTCATCTAAGATAAAAATTTGCAACCTTATTTATTTTCCCTACAAAATACTGGGCCTCATTTGCATGAAGGAAAAAGAACGAAAGTACGAAAGCATTAAAATTCCCCCTGATTCTGGGATTTTTTTTTATGAGACGTGAAATGGTTTCTGCTAAATTAATGGCAATAGAAATTTGGGCTACTAGAAGACGAAAAAAAAAAAACAAAAGTTAATTCTCTGAACAAATAGAGATATAAAAAGGCAGTTTATAGGAAGATTTAAAATGAATATAAGAAATACATTTATATATAACAATACAGAATTTTTAGCTATTCAAATTAAAAAAATTGTATTGGTGATTTTTATTTATTACGATTTGTTTTTTTATATAATACTTGTTTTTCTGTTTAGCTAGATTCTATGCCGTAAGAATTATATTTAAAAAAAACTCAAATGACGTTTGCCTTGCGCACACACACGAAGGATGATAGCTGCGGTCCGCCGTCCGTGTAGTATTTATTAAAACCTAGTTTACCTTGTGATCGTAACAAGAATTCAGTATCATAGGATCTAAAGCGCCTACCGCTAGTAGCTTGTATCTACATTGGTGTACATATATGCTTGCTTTTATAATTTATATACTCTGTATTACTTACTAGTCTGTATTACGTTACTTCAAGTTTATTGTTAGGATAGAGCAGTATTTCTTTCTCTTTGGTGTGAAACATTTTATACTTTATACATTTGATATTAAGTGTATCAAAGTACTATAATGTATAAAGTTCATCAGAAATCAATTTATAACTTAAACAGGTCCCACTATTTCGTAAATACATTTTTTGGTAAGCATTATTTAGTTGTGTTTTGTCGCTTCTGCCTACGTATCTATTGTCTTGTGTCGTATTTACACGTATTTTTAAATGTTTGAATGGAAAACTCCGTTGCGCTGAATCTATTTTAACTTAATTTAAACAATTACTATATCATGATTTATTAACTGTAGATACTAGTGAACTTAAGATTGAATTAAGTTGAAACGGAGTGATAAATTTAAAATAAGTTTATTAATTTATACATGGGCAATTTAATTAGATGATGTATTGCCTCCGTTCTATGTAATAACATTCCAATATGTAATTAAACATACACTTTTTTTTATAGAATATTACAATATTCCAAGCATGTATTCATATAGTCATAATTTACATACCATTAAATATCTCTAGGTCATAATAACCAAGATGGCAAAAAGGTTCACAAAACATCAATTAATAAGTACCCACAAGTGGCACTCAAGTTGCCTACCAATATGGTAAATATAAATGAAGCTGAAATGGGAAGATTTTCACCTTTAAGAGAAAGAGATATTACTGGTCCTGTTATAAATGTATTTAGCAAAAGAAATGATTCACCCAGAATTGATATAACATCTCAATGTGATCCGTATGCTAACAAGTATGATTGCCGTGGCGCTGTAAGCTTGTCCTCTTCAATGCAGAGCAATGTCCCAAATCCATTCAGTGGGAACCACACTCATCTCAATATGCCAGGCTCACAATGGGGACAGGGCTATAAATATCTGTCTGATAATTTACACAGTGCTCACTATCTTACTCTAAGAAATGAATTCCGTAAAAAAAACAGTTTAACAAAGGTATAGCTTCAGATTATTATTATTAATAATGGTTTGGGGTATAGTAAGAACTCATCATCGTTCATGCAATTTGCTTATGAATTGTTATAATCTGATCACAGTTGGATTAGTCACCTACAGTAGCTGAAAAGTATGTATGTTTGTTGTATATCTGGGGCAAAATGGTTTTCTACATTTCTCAAAAATCTTCATGCTTGAAACAAAATCACCTCTGTTGTCATCTCAACATATAATTAATTATATTGCATTGCTAATATTTTGGTTATGAAATTATATTAACACACTGTTTATCATTAAGTTCTAATATTAGTTTATTAATTTTTCAAAGCATAGTTATAGCTATCTCCACCAGGAAAATGAGTACAGAAACATCATTAAGTGCCAAAGACAAACTAAAAAGAGCTGTTAAAGAGTATGGATCAACAGTTATTATTTTTCATGTGTCTATATCTCTACTTTCTTTGGGAGGATGCTACATCCTCGTATCTAGGTATGTGATTAAAAACAATCATTAAATATTGCCTTTATTTCATTATATTAATGTTACACCTATTATGACATTCATTACTAACAAAGGGTTATCTAGAAAGTATTATGATTTTGTTTATACATATATATTGTTGATAAAACCAGATAATTGTATGATATACATTAATTTATTTCAGTGGTGTCGATGTAATGGCCATACTGAAATACTTCAATATGACAGAGGGTCCGCTGTCGACTGCAGTGGCCTCAAACACTGGTACTTTTGTAATAGCCTACGGAATTCACAAAATATTTGCACCGGCAAGAATAGCTGTAACTTTAACAGCTACTCCATTTATTGTGAGATATCTAAGAAATATTGGATTTTTAAAACACAGTGGTGGTGGAAAATAAATGTATAATAAAAAAATTGTTTTCCTTTATAGAAACCCAAAAGTATATTCAAATCTTATTATAGTCATACATTGACAGAAATAACAACAAGAATCTCTTATGACTAGTGGTCTCTATGTATTTTATAAGTCTACTCAAAGTTTTATTGGTAAAAAAATTATCATTTATTGATGCATCATACAATCCACTTTTACCGTAAATAAAATATAAGAAGTATACGGTATATAACAAATATGATTTGAATATAGAATTAAACAATAACAATAAATACTTTATTCCTTCTGATTAACTTTTCGTTTGACTGATCGGTCCGTTTATTCGTTGTAAGTTTCAAAGAGATTTTTATTAAAGACCGAAAACATCTGTAAGTTTTTACAGGGAGAAACTATAAACGAAATTTGTTGACTTTTTGTTCTAAATTTTTTTTTATTATCCTCTTTGGAATAATTAATATGTAAACCTTAAAGCTATACCTAACTGCAAACATAAATTAGAATAGCGTTGAGTCTAATGTACCGGTCGAATATCTTAGGTTTCTAAAATAGAGTCGTCTATTTTCCGACGTTGAATTCAATAGAATATACCTAATAGTTCAAAATTTCTATGAATAATTATGAATTCTATACTAACAAAATATCTATATATATATTTATCACAAAACCAGTTCATTAAACTTTTAAGATTTATTTGTGTAGAACAGGTTGTTGACTCTGTAATAATTGTATTTAAAACACGTCAAAGTGTAAAATATTTTTCTGATTCACTTTAAAATTCTATTGGTTCATACCCATTGTATTGAAATGTTTAAATATTATTTAAATGAGTTTAAAAAAATAAATGACATTATTGTTACTCTGAATATCCTTTACCTCCACCAAGATTTATTTAAATACAAATCATTTTTCATGGTAGGCGACGGATGGAGGTTTGTTTATTGTTTGACTAAAAAAACAGTTTACTGTATGTGTTAAATTTTAATATTAAAGCTCATTAAATGTTGTGCTGCTTTATACAAGCCTAATATTATTGACTTTTAAATTTGGTTTTCTATTTACTTTTTACTTTACGAAGATAGTACTTAGTACTTACATACCTAACCATTTTAAAATTTATTGTTTCGTATTGTAAGCTTTAATATACATCTATATTTTATTCCTTTCTTCTGGTTTACCGATTCTTCAGAATTAAGATTAAAAATATCTTATAAAATAGGAAGCACTATAAGACTACCTTATATATTTTAAGGATCTTAATTACAATCAATTACAGAAATCTTCTTATAAAATTATTAATTTGAAAATATAAAATTACAAAAAAGTAACTTAGGTGACTAGAAGATTCTTTTCTCTCCACATCACATTAAAGTATAATTACCTTGATTAGTTTAAACTAATTATGCTTATAACATATTAAATATTTATATCTTCCAAATATCCAAGTGATATAGATTTTACCAATTATTTATAATCCCAATAGACATTGAAATGGTTAAATGTGTGTTTCGACACAACCATGCCTTGATAATTCTTTATTAGCTATACTGAATATATTATCTTATGTAGGAAAGGAAATAAATAATATGTTTGCTTATAATGAATAAGTTCCATAACCTCTGGAGTTTGTGAATCTGTTACTCCTATGCTGTAGTCAGGTGGAAGCCGATAGGGACTTGTGCAGCGTTGTGACTTGTGACAGTCGATACCTACTCACGTAAAAGTACGACATTCAAGAAGTTTCGCATTTTATTGCGTACAATAAACGTGTTCAATATGTATTAAGATACACATTTTTAACAAAAAGATTTTTTGTTTCCTTTCTTTTACACCGGTTACTTGTGATGTATAATAAAGGAAAAATATTTTTTATTTTACAATATTGCGTATATAAGTTTATGGCATAGAATTACTTAACATAACTAAGTATTATTAACAAGGTGCACAATAGTTTTGCTATTTACCTTCTTCAGATATTTCTATAATATGGAAGCTTTGGACGTCATACCGCATTTAAGTGAATGGTTAGTAAATAATATTCTACATTTATTTACTTCTTAATCTTCATGTCTATAAAGTTTTAATTCTTATAAAAATTTGTCACTCATAGCCTTGAAATTATGAAACATGTAACTGAGTTACTTGTTTTATTTACAGGTTATTGAGAAAACGAAAAAGATCAGCCAATTCAGGGTTAATTTATTTGCTAGTTTTTTTCATATAGTTATATATTTTATATGGTTACGCATTTCTAGTAATTTGAGAGCAAAATATAAGATATCGCTAGACGTCAATAACATTATAAAAGATAAGAATGTCACGCTCAGTTAAATAAACACGCAACCATATTGTTTATGCTTAAAGATAATTACAATCATTTAATAAATTTTTTAAATACTTACTAATAATTAATTCATTTTATTAGTCATTATTTCTACGCCATCATGTTCCGACGCCTATTTCATGTAATGCTTTTAACTTACACATTATTTTTAATTCAATATTGTGGCACAACAGGTACAGAGACTTAGTAAGTATTTTGTTTATAATATATTCTTGCCTAAAATATTTATGTAGTTCAGGGAACCTTTAACTAATTAATATTTTTTGTATGAGGTCGCCAAACGGCACACATGTTTTTTAATATTCGTTCTCACTTAAAATTAAAGATTTGTAGGTTTGCGTAAATCCATATTATTTGTGTGTATAACATTTCCTGAAACATTTTTTTAAGTTCTTAAAATATTTGTTGAGAAGTACCATATAGATGTTTTACGTATTTATTTTTCGATTTTGACATTCAACCATTATATGTATGTAAATACTTTTTTTAGTAACATTTCAGTCCCGGATGAGAAATATTTGTTTGATTTTACTAAAACCAGCGATGTAGATAATTGGCAAGAACAATCTGATACAGTACGAAGTGTTGGGATGTCAAAAGCAGTGTTTGTGCTTCATAAAAATACCGAATACAGAAGAGCTATATTCTTTGCTTTATTAAATCCACAACCAAATGGAGCCGGTTTTGCTGGTATACGTTCAATAGGAAACCACGATCTTACCGGTTGTACGAAACTACAACTGCTTTGTCGCGGCCAAGGACAATTCAATGGTTTTAAAGTAGTTTTGCGTCATAAGGGTTTAAATGATGAGCCGAATTATTCCTTTGAACAGTACTTCCAGGTTTGTGTTCTTCGAACTAGTTAATGCTGCAATGTTATAAAACATATTTATGTACTTTATATATTTTTACAGGCCCCAAAAGATGAATTTGCGATTCGAAGTTTACCTTTCTCGGAGTTTAAAGCTTACTATAGAGGTAAACGGGTAAACAATAACGAAACATTGGATATAGCACATGTTAGCAGTATTGGACTACAAATGTATGGTGGCGTGTACCAACCTATTAAACAGAAAGGTCCAGCTACTCTTGAAATAGATTGGATTAGAGCTGTATAAGTTCATTCATAATACTCAGTTTTATAAAAAATATATAAATGTATATACTCCAAATATTGTCATAAATTATTTTTACCTCAAAACTCATTATGGTTTATTTCTAAAATATAATATAAAACTCAATTATTAAATATTAATACCTACCTCTAAATGTATAAAAAGATAACCATGGTCATTGTGAAAACCCGGAAACTGCCCGTGTTAGGTAACTGGACTTATTAATTATATAGAAGAGAAAAAAAGACAAGATTTCTGTCCTCTATGAAAAACCGATGTATGTAGGTATGATAAAAAAATTATTGCGCAATAGATGATAAAAACCAGAAACAAGATTAATTATAATTAGCGGTCGAAGGTTTGGGTAGAGGAAGCTAGCAGAATATTCTTGCATGATACAGTAATTTAATATATTTTTTATGCTATAGTGTCAAGGGTCAAATAAAAAGACATTCATATCACATATAATGTGCATTATTTCTCCTCAAATACAGAACACCACTAGATAGATATTCTAAAATAATAATTATTAATTAACGCTAATTGTACGTTTTATCGTTGTTTAGAAGGCAATAATAGTGTTAGTGCAGTCATCGCGTCTGGGAACAGTGAGTGATAATTGACAAGGGGCACATAAGCCGCGGTTATGACCCTTCCAGCAAACCAACGGCCGTGCAATGAATTGACAGACGCCACAGCCGTTGCTATTGTTGGACACTTGCAGTATACGTTTCCCTGTGGAGATGCCTTATCAACGTACACGTGTAATACCCCGCCATGTTTATTGCATTCGCTGATGACGTCATCCCTAATCTCAATGTCCCAGCTGGGGTTTGATTCCCTGCAAAAATTTGTTTATATATTATTGGAATTCATACTAAAAATATTATATATTATAAAACATAATTTATATTAAATGTACATACGATGATGGGTCAAACATATTGTTGAGCATGAAACATTGTGTAGCAATGGGTGGTGCTACTTGTGGCTGTGGTGCTACTAAAGTAGAGCCGGCGCCCATCAATACTGATGCCGCTGCGGGAGGTATCTGTTGAAAAGGAATTAAGAATTTATAAGAAGAATATTTTCAACATAAACATAAAAAATCAATTTTTTCCTGGGGTGAAAATAATAATTGTGTTTTTTATTTTGTATAAACATTTGTCATGGAGACATATAGGTTTGAAAAAATTTAAATATGGATAATTTTCTCATTATATTTTTTAAAGTAATTGATTTGCAATCATACCAGAATACTTTTGCTAGAATAGATATACATCAGTGAAGGTTAGTTAATTTGTTTGTTGAATTTGAAAGGTACAAAAGTTTCAAAGTACCTGTAAACCTGTGCCTTCAGCTAATTTGAACATAAGTTGAAGGCGGCCGGTAGCACCCAGATCAACTCCAGCACGGTCTAGTTCATCAGCATCAAACCGTGTGCTTGAACCACCATCTGCACGCTCAGTCACATTTCCAACCTTCATTGGTCTACCTGCAAGCTCAAATCCATTCAACTGCTCCATTGCTTTCTTTGCATCTGTTGCGTGATGGAACTAGAAAAAAATTAGGTTTTAATGAAATGATACCAAATAAAATATTTATCAATTCAATGTTAGAACAGTGGAATACTTACTGTCAGAAAACCATAGCCTTTACTCTTCCCAGTATCAGGATCGGTCATTAGTTGTATATGATCTATTTTACCAAATGGTTCAAAGATTCCTCTAAGCATATCTTCTGTAATATTAAAATGAAGTGAGCCAACATACAATCTAGTAGGACCATTGCTAGTTTTTGGTGCTAAGTTGGGCAATGTGTTTCCAACCCTGTTTTTCTCAGCTTGGGTATGCTGAACTATAATAGGAACACCCAGTAATTTTTGACCAGTTAAGCCCAAAGCCTGAAAATGTATTAAAATTATTATTGACAATAAAACATAGACATTATATATATTTGTATGCATCAATAGAATATATAATCAATAGAATATATAATAATTACCAAGGGGACAGATTCAGCATCTTTAAACTCAATATAAGCTATTCCCTTAAATCTTCTTGTCTTATTGCATGTGATAAGTCTTACATCTCTTACTTTACCAACAGAGGAAAAAAATTCTTCTAAATCTTTTTGCCCTAATACGTTGAGATAATTGCATACAGAATACAGTGCGCAAATCCCTTTCTTCGGGAGGTAGGTCATCTAGCTTGGGTTCAATTCCTCTTGATTTTGATCTATATTCGCTTCTCTCTCTTTCCTTATCGCGACTTTTTTCTCTTTTAGGAGGATGTTGGTCGCGGCTTCTTTCCCTTTCACGACTGCGTTCCTTGACTTTATCTTTACTACGTCTCTTTTCTCTGTCTCTTTCACGTTCCCTGTCCCTCTCCCGATCCCTGTCCTTATCCCTATCCCTGTCTCTATGGTTGCGATCCTTGTCGTGGTCACGACGTTCCCGGTCGCGATTGCGATCTCTGTCTCTATCCTTGTCGCGGTCTCTTTCTCGTTTGTCATCCCTATCCCTCGAACGTCTAGAATCCTTATCGCGCGATCGTCTTCTTTCCCGGTCCTTTGAACGACTCCTCCTGTAATAATACAATATTTTCAAACCTTTTTCTTTTTAACTGTACTCTATAATTTGTACTGTTATAGTCCATCAAAATTTTACCTTCGACTTCCGTCCTTATCTTTGTCTCTGTTTTTTTCGGAATACTTCTCCGGCCGATGCTTTGAAGAGGAAGTGATATCCTGTCACACAAAGCACAAGGTAGAAGCACCGCCACAGCAACACACGCCGAGTGAATAAATAAAAACTGCATTAGTTAATTGAATTAATTGTGGGGAATTGTGTGATTTTCCATCAATGACATGTATGAAACATATCATTCAAGGAAAATACACATGGTTTAATATCCTATACTACAGACGACAGCTTTCACAATCATTATTTGTCCTAGAGGTGGTCTTGAGGTTGGTCCCTGGTCTAAACTTACCATTTGGGAAACCACTGACTAATGATGTACACAGCGCTAACATCACACAGGGATACTTCTGCAAAAGATTTACGACCCATCAGCGTATGGTCCTTTCAAATACTGTCTGCATAATTATATTGTATAATGATCTAGTAAAGTAAAGTTTTTAATATTCATTCAAAATAACTGTATGTATGAAGATAAAAAAATTAAGTATAGTAGTCGATACCTCATCTTGTTCAGGTTGGTGAAGTTTGCTGGACAATAACCACAAAGTTCTATAAATACAAGAAATGATTCTCAAATGTAATTTCATTTCATATTTTTAAACTAAACTGTTCAAAGATGCTCTCAAATATTAAGCCACATATAATAATTCAACAGAGACATCTTTAATCAGTTCAACCTACTCTCTAAATTTTAGTTCCCAGCACCCTTATTCAAATTTTGTATTTTGATTCACAGTTGTATTGTCAATATGTTATTTTCATATTAATTGATAATCATTTTTCATACCTTTAATATATTTGAATGTATGATTGAGTAACACATTAAATTTTGAAACAAAAAAACAATTTTCAATTACAAATATCATATACTTTTAAATATATAATCATAAAAGAGTTAAAAACATGTAATTTTTCATATTTAAACCCATACCTAGATTATCAATACAATCCTAACTAATAGACTAAATCTCAAATATACATTTTATCTATATGTCTAAATACTAAATTGTCTAAACTAAAGTAAGCATGAAATGTTACTCACCGATTTGTTATAAGGTGCTTCTAACATTGCTTCAACATCTAAATCTTCAGCCATCCTGAAACCATTTTTAGAATTTAAATTCATTTTCAAGAGGATCTGAACTAATAGCATCAAATGTATATAGAAAATATGAAATGTAATCACAACCATGACGAATCCATTAATAGGTAATGATATTGTTAAATTAACTAAAAACTGTGAGCACTGAATTAGGTATGATAATAAATAAAGCAATTTGAAAACTAAATTATGAATATAAGAATTCTCATTTCGATATAAACAGTTTTCAAAACGTGCCGCAGCACAAGCATGAAACAGAGTGAATGTTCTTTAAAAACTTTAAAACTTTTTTAAATTTCTACTTCTTTTGAATTCAAGCATTGACAGGATAATCCAAAAATAATAAAACAGTATGAAAATACCTCTATGTGATTGTTTTTAATAAAGCCGCTTGTATTTAATCGTTTGTAAACTGATTCAATATTTTCTTATGCAACCCGATACGAAGCGTTTGCGTGATTTTAATAATAATGAAAATATAAATGTATTCCTCGGCTATTTCTATTTAGTGAACTTTATTGATAGTGCAAAATTTTAAAATTTCACTTAAATGTTTGTGAAGTAATAAGCTTTTGTAAATACAATTTTATATATTTTTAAACAGGATATTCGAAAGCCATGTTGATTTGATTAAAGAACACAAAATGGCGATTAACTAGATAGTTCTACGTCAAATGATTTCTTATGCAACTTTGTTCTTACCTGGGATGTTTACTGCTTTTGAAAGCTTAACTGTCCCTATTAATTATTTTATATGTAGAGTGTAATCAAAAGTATCTGCAAATAAAGTGTTATTCAAATGGAATTCTTGAAGAACTCTTCGAACTCCACAAAAATCACCCAGCACGATGTCAAATAATCAGGAACGTAACATAGATACTCAAATACCGATTAGGGAATTCATGGATGACAGTTGATACAGATAAGAAATGTAACATCTTTTAAAGGTATTTTTTTATTTAAAAAAGAAATAATAGGGTAAAATATGGATTAATATGTGGAGGAAAATAGTAATTATCTTTAATTGATATGAATAATGATGGGAAAAAAAATATAGATAAAATTTTTTATAATATACAAATTTAAAAAAAGTTCGCTTTAGAAATAAATATATATCACATTAGAAAAAATTGTTTACTATACAACTAATATAAATAAAAATTATGAGAAATTATAAAATGTATTTTAAATTCTTTAAAGAGAATAATTTATGTTCTCATTTTTTAGTAATTTGTTGGATGATTTACTATGACGATGAAGTTGTTAGCATTTTTGATATATTTGTACTGTTACCTTTCATAACTCGGCCTATGGTCTTTGATAATATAAATAATTTTACACACGAACTTATTCATTTGAAATTTTAATAAAAAATAATAAATATAAGAATGATTGCTGTCTAACATATTATATATCATATACCTATTTTATATCTGTAGCAAAATATAGGCTTACATTTTGTAATTTTGACATTTAATATGATTGTATGCCTGTATTCAGTATTGTGATATTTGGTGTTTGTAACTGTAATAAAAAGATTAACTAGCGTTTACTGATCTTTACACATTCATAAAGTTTTAACTTATTTAGTGTCTCCTGGTTTCTCTTCATAATGACGACAGCTGCCCGACCGACTTTTGATCCTGCAAGGGGTGGAACAGGACGGGGAGAAAAAGATCTTAGTGCTATATCTCGTCAATATTCTAGTAGGGATCTTCCAGGACATACCAAACTTAAATACAGGTACGTAGTTTGCACGAGTTTAGTATTTATTATTTATATTTTTATATTATTAAAATGAAATAATGTTTAAACTGTTTTTTTTTAGGGAGCAAGGTCAAGGGACCACAGAAGAATTACGAGCACGTGATTTTCGCAAGGAACTTGACGAGAGAGAAAAGGAAATTAAGGGGCCTAGTTCAAGGAAACAAGTTGAACCACCTGTTAAGAGACTTAAAGTTGACCAAGTCCCAGCTGCGAGTCTTGATGCTGACGATCCACTTGAAGGAGATTCATCTGATTCAGATGACTCAGATGATGACACAGCTGCACTTTTGGCCGAACTTAACAAAATTAAAAAGGAGCGAGCCATTGAGCAAGCCAAAAAGGTTGGTTTTATATACTGTGTAAACTATATAACGACACTGAAGGGACCGTGCATTTTAGTGCGTTATAGAGAGTTGCCGTTAAATAGAAAGAAGAAAAATCAGAATTAGAAAAAGACTAAGTTTATTTCAGACTAGTGTTAGTACTTATGTAGGGTCAGGAAGGCAACAGTGACTCACTTTTTTTTTTTCGAAGCTTAAAAAGAATAGATATCACTTTAATATTGGCCTAAAATCTGGTCACATTTTAGATACACTATTGAACTGTGACTGAGCACTCATAATTCTCCATTATTTATAACTTATGTCAAATTAGGAACATAAAACAAAAAAAATATAACTGAGCCACTGTGGACAACTAGGTGTACACACTGACTCACTGTTGTGGTACACAGTGGCTCTAGTGGTACACGGTGTCTCGGCGGTATTTATAAGAAAAGATAATGCCCATTCCACGTAGTTCTTTTTATTAGAAATAATAACAAAACTGTTACAACGTCTAGGGGCTGCAACTTTGCAGATGTGTGAGGATGAAGAGTCAAAATATACACTCCAACATTTTTGGCGCAATCGAGAGCTTCTAGACTTAAATGTGATTCATGGTTATCCATGATTAAAATGCATGGATTTTCTTTCGAAGCATTTGTATGTTTAACGAAATGTTTCATAACCTCTGGAAATATCGACGAATTCATCCATCCGGTAGGTGTAGCCAATCCGACAGTTCCCGGTGGTGTATTTTTAATCATGTGATCTTTAAAATTCTTTCTAGGAAAGACCATGACCGGTGGCAAGAAATTTCCACTGGCACTCACGATACAGGAAGTCGTAACTAATGTCCCTCTTTCTCCGCTAGTCACCTTACCAATGACTTTTCGACCTATTGGGCTAGCACTTTTTGTGGTTTTTGTACCGTCGTCGTAGATGTTTCGTCCAGATTAAATATTCTGGTTCCATCAGAGAAAGCACTGTTTCGTGAAATAAGAAAGATCTTATTTCACGAAACAGTGGCTCATGAGCCACTGTGTACCTGTAAAAATTGAGTCACTGTTTACTTTTACGCCATTTTGAAAATATTTGATCACAACAACCGAGATTTAAAACAAATAAGTCAAAATACGGGTTAAAGACAATTGATACAAGACCTACTATCCGATAAATATAATGGCTATTACCTATAGCAACAAACAAAGATATGAAAACAATCGAAACTCACCTTAGAAAGTAATTTAGTGGGCGCGAAAACAAAAAACACTCCCCCACACTTCCGCGCGGCGCTCGAACGGCGAGCAAAGTGGTTTACACGTGCACGAGTACCAAGGCCTTCGAATCGGTGAAACAGACAAATATATATTCCTATCCCTTCAGGTCGAAACATGACTGAGCCACTGTAGCCGACCGAGTCACTGTTGCCTCCATGACCATACATAAAAAAGAATGTTATTCGAACGCTATTGCGTATAGTCTGTTATTTTTGTTTGACGTCTTTTGCTGCACCAGTACTGTTGTTGTATTTTTTTAGTTATTTTATTAATATCTTGCGATATTGAAGCATCTTGGTGATAAAAGAAATAATTATCCAGTAGTTTAGCTGCTTCAAGAGCTTCTTTAATGCTCAGCGGAGGCTCAGGCTCATCTGTCTCATCTTCTTCATCTCCTTGCTGTTGATCTTCAGTTTTTTTCTCACTGAATCTAAAATTTCTTTGTCTGTGAGTGAAGCCGTTGTAAGGAGGCAGTTATCTACTTCCATGTAGGTTTGAAGATTTACCGTATTTCCTGTGATGTTAAACTGTTGAATCCACTCAGTTAATGGAAGTTCGTCGTCACTATCAAAACTCAGTTTTCCATTTCCACCTCATCACTCGTAGAATTGGTACAAAGTCCAGCATGTTGACGAGAGTGCTGTATAGTTGTGGGTGTCACTTCTTCCCAGGCTTTAGATGAAAAATTAACTGCATGCAGCATATTAACAGTAGTTTTACCCGCAGATTCGACTAGCTCCATCAATAATTTCTTTCTGTAGTGACCCTTGAGGCTTTAGATCACACTCTGGTTATTTTTCCATATTGTATATACGGTAGAGCGACTAAATCCAAAGCGTTTGCCAACATCGCTTATCTTCTCTCCCGTTTTCTATTGCGCGTAACAGTAACACTTTTTCGTCAACACCCAGTGATTTTCTTTTACTAGCCATGTTTACAGTTTGGGATTTTGTGTGCAACTGAGAATATGATAACATATAGGTAATACAAGACTCCTACGTATGGTCAAAAAAACCGTCGACACGTCTAAGCAATTTGTAATTGTAAACAAAAGAACGAATTTCTTAGAAAGTTCGGAACATACACAGCTGCACAGTTTTTACTAATTTTAGCAACTTACTTTTTATTACTTAATTGTTGTCGTTATTGAGAGTGGGTACGCCGCTATGTAGAGTGTATCATTGTATGGTAGACAAGCTAAACCAACCAAGGTCAAATGATTTCGACGCTTTAGAGAGAGTTTTTCGTTAAATCGAGTGTCGTTATACAGGGTGACTGGTGAATTACTATCAATATTTGAGGACGTGCTATTTGACGATCATATATGACAAAATAAAAATTAATATAACATAAATATTAATAAACTTCTAAGTAAAGTTAACCAAAAGTTATGTAATTAATTACGCATCGTGTGAACACCCTACAGATTAGGTATACACTGACACTCACACATACGCATGTCGTGACGTGGTGTTGTATCAACACGTCGGCGCACGCGTCCACACTTGAACACTTGGAACGTGTCAACACTTTACTTATTTATACGGAAATTTTGTCAAAAATTAAGTGCCTATTTTTTTACATAATTCGAATGAGAATCATGTACCGAGTATGCTCCTTAAATATTGATAGTAATTCACCAGTCACCCTGTATAGAGTTTACACTGTAATTATTGTATATATTTTGTGTTTGACATGGATCGGACATTAAAATTCAACTTACATTATAAAAATATCGTGTGTAGACTTATGTTTTCATTTCATTTATATTTCATTAATTCATATAAAAAACTCTTGTGGCTTGTAAATGCAATTCTAAAAAAATTTGTGTGAACCCTTTAAGGGAAAAAAAACATTATTTTATAACTGTTTGGTTGCAACATGTAATGATAAGTGTAGTATTTGCAAGAATATTCAAGTATGGTAATAAAACTTTTCAAGTGTAGAAGAAAAAGATTTTAAGGTCAGATCTGTCATTGATGGAGACATACTGGTTTTATTATTGGCTCGTGAATGTATATATAGATAATTTTTAATAAAACTTTGATATTATTCTGCTGCAATTTAATTTGAGTAATAACTATAATTGTTTTTTTAGGAAGCTGAGAAGAAAACAAGAGGAAGAAAGGATAAGAATGGAAAATATTTTATCTGGAAATCCTTTGTTAAATTACTCCTCAGCAGCACAAAAAAATGACTTAAAGGTAAGGCATAATTGTAGTTAAATGAAACAATGCATATCAGAAAAATAACTATATTTATCTATCTATATGGAATATTATTTAAAAAATGGTTGATTTTTTTGTAATATTGAGGTATATCATGTGTTTTGTTACAGGTTAAGAGAAGGTGGGGATGATGATGTTGTATTTAAAAACTGTGCTAGAACTGAACCAGACAAAAAAGGGAACACATTTATTAATGATTCCTTGAGGTCAGAGTTCCATAAGAAATTTATGGAGAAATATGTCAAATAGTTGTTTCATAAAAGTGTGGTAAGAATAGTTAGTTGTAATTAGAATATTTTTTTAGCTGATAAATACCTGAGACAATTTTTTTAGTACATTTTATATAAAAAAATTATACAATATGTATCCTTTTATTTCAAACAAAATTATGTATGTGCGACTTCAATGTAAGTTGTAAAAGTCAAGTAATTTTTGTTTTATTTGTTATAAATTAGAATTTCACTCATGGGAGATACCCATTGGTAAAGGTTATTTCTGTTTTAAAACCCATTTCTACCACATTACTATATTGAGAAGGAATACAAAGAATCCAATAAATTTTAATTGTATATTTGTATTGTAAAATGTTATGAAAAATGTAAAATATATTGTAAGTACAGTTACAATTATATTTCATAGTAATTAAGTTATTGAAATTACTTCCTTTGATTTATGTATGTCTTATGATAATTAAATATATGTTAAGGTCAATAAAAATGATGTTTTTTTTTTCTGTGATGTCTGTCTAATAAAATAATTTTTGGTATGAATTTATTAATTGCATGTTACTTTCTTCATTAAGATATTTAGTTTATAGTTCTATATGTATATTAAGAACCAGGAAAACTGTAATAATATGTAAATATAAAGCAAATAGAATACTGATCACAAAACTTTACCATAAACTTGGAGGCATACTACTTATGGATTGCTTACAACTTTTTTGTTCAATATTCTTTACACATGATGGTATTAACTTAGTTTCAATATTCTTTTTAATGCTATGGTTTCATTTGCATTGGAATAGATTAATATTTTGGCAATGTGTTACACAAATTAAAAAGTAGAAGCACTCAAAATGTAGTATATGAAGTAAAGTACATTTATAAATTAGGCTAAATATAATAATAATTGTTAATCATGATCTGATTTTTATTTATATTAAAGTAGTAGTTTGTTTCCATAAAAAAAAACAAAGCTACTTTGGGCCCAACAAAATCTTGATTTTCTCCTAATATTATGAAGAATTTTGTTTGTAACTGATTGTAATGTGCAGTTACATAAGGGAAGGCATGAATCAAGAATTATAGATCATTCAAAAATACAAGTTATACACTGTCAAAACACTTCTATTTCATTATAATGATGTTGTAACTTTATGTGTTGTGTATGAACATTGTTTATTTATTTCAAGGAAAATAATTAGCAACGTTTCTATTTGGCTGGAAATTAATAATTATTTAATTCTTTATCAATCTATTTATTGAACAGGATTTAATAGGTATTTACGTCCAGTAACATGTTTTTTTTACATAGGCAAACCTAATATAAATAAATAAAATATTTTTGTGACAAGAAAAAAAAACGACGTTTACCTTAATTCATCAAACTGGTTACAACTTATAAAAGTTTATAAGAAATTCGTTACTTCAATTGTCTGTAACATTACTTACAATTCCATATTTATAAATACACTAAAATCTTGTTACTGTAAAATGTTGTGGAGTCATAATTACATTTTTATGAGGTTTAATATTAAATGAGATATCGCGAGATATTTTATACATATAAAAAAGAGTTCTTAATGAAATGGTATCGATGTCATGTTTAATTGTTTTAGAATATCGGTGTGGAGTTTTTTGTCTTAAAAGAATTGTGGACAATTTATTAGTTTTTAGCACTTAAGTGGGATTTTAATTGGCTGCTTCCTTTGCTTACAGGATGACTAATTGTTCACGACATTTCGTAACTATTATCCGTCTACCTGGCAATTTTTAAGTTTATATGTAAGGCGTAATTAGCACCATAGTAATCTATAGGCCAACGCATAGAATCTTTGTCTTTATGAAAAATTCGAAATCAGGACGTTCATAAAAATTAATTGATATAAAAAGTTGATATGATTTAATAAGAAGCAGAATAACATACATTTTCTCAGATATTATAATACTAGTATATGTACGCATGATTTTAAGCACTTAAATTAACATTTTCTTTAATCACTTATCAGACTTTTAATGAAAGTATAAAGTTAGTCTAAGTTTATTTTATAACGGTATTTTATCCGCTTTTCCTATTCACCATGCAGGTATGTAGAAAAACCTTAGTAACGATTAGGTCCCTGCCACAGTGGTTGAGAATTAGAAAGTAATAACGAACAAAAAATTTAAATCTGATAAAATTATTTTCCCTTTAATTAACTATTAACGTTTACTAATTCGCGGTGAACTTTTTTTTTTTTGCACGGACGACACGATGTCTAGGATAAAAATTAGTAGATAATATTCAGCTCGATGTTATAAAGAAATTGATAAAAGTTAATTTAATTTTAAAAAAATATATGCTTATTAGTGATATGAATATAATAATCCAAAAAACATTAAATTTGTATATAGGATAAACTTATCTTGCTATAAGGTCAGCTAATTTAATATGCCGCATTTTGAGATGGAAATTCCAAGCTGATCGAGACATGCGAATGCGCACAACCGCGGCATCATTGTTTACATTAGTAAATTAATGTATGGTCAGAGAGGGGGGGGCTGCGGCGAGCGCGGCGGTCGGCGGACGGCGGCCTACCTTGAGTGGGCAGGTTCAGTGGCTGTGACTGCGGACTGCGGTTTGCTCTCTGGGCAGTAGTGAATATTCGCTGTCGTCTCACTCGTTAGTCGCCACTTGAGTGGGCGCTTTAAAGGAATCAGTGTACACAATAAGTATTTTTTTACGAACATGGCCGGCACGGAGATGATTTTTTCTTCTCGCATGTTTTTGTGTTATTTGTAACTGAATGTGAATGTGCTCTTTCCGGGTTTGTATATAGATAATGGTGTGGATCAGACAGTGATACACCATTCTATGACGCGACATGAAAGGCAAGTAGTTGAACATGAAATCAACTGGAGCTTTTAGGGCTCGGTGAGATGAGGCCAAGACGTACTCAAGCGCCGCCACTGGATCGATCAGCACCTAGTTTTTTATTAGATGTTTTACAAACAAACTTGCCGAAAAGAACATGACACAAGCTCGTCCCAACCACGTAGTTCCGAAATGGCTCTTTTTCTGGTGAAAAGAGCAAGAAGGAAATGCAATTGACGAGAGGGTAGCGATCTTATTATGACATTCCAGAGCAAGAGTAAGTCATAATTGTTAAGAATTATACAGTGTCTTCTTTGTTTTGTTTTTGATAGTATTCATTAAAATACCAATCGTATGTAACAAAATACGTAACGAGTGTTTTCTCAGAAAAGTTATTTATGTTCAGCTTTATCAGTTACAAAGTGTAGTACAGCAAATAGTAAATGAACTGCTTTTAATTTATAATCTGGGTAATAAAATATTAAATAATATTAAAAGGAGCCTAAAAAATTAACTTAAAATAAAACAACGTAATACTAATGTTCTCGTCCTAGTGCTATTTGAATTGAAAACATTTTATCTTATTTACACTTTTTTATCTTGTTTGTAAAATATTTGCTAAATAACAATTGAAAAACATTTTAGGAAAATATCTATATTTCACTAACTTAGACGGGCAGGCAGTCCGTTTGCCTAATAAAAAAAAAATTAAGTTATATATACATTTTTTCGGGGGAATTTGGTAAAAAATGCTTAAAAAATATTTCAAAACGGATTAAAAATCATTCCATGAAAAACTACTTAACCCTAAGTGGGTTATTTGGAAAAAAAAAGGACAAAACTAGAAACTTACATTATTGATAAGTCCGCGGCAGAAAAAAAAAAAAAAAAAAAAAAAAATGAATCAGTCCCTCTAAGCAACATCGGCTGTAGTAAATCATTACTTAGAACGACGGCGCCAGCAGGGTAGAATCAAAGACCTCGTTACAATATAATGGACTAGACCATAATAAAGACCTTTTTATGTCTTTTTGTAGTCATTAGCCGTTTTTTCTACCTGTGCAATCTTTTAACAAGAGTTTTAGTTATTATATAGTTAGTAGTTACTAAATGTTTGTATTTAACGGTACAAAATTCTAAAACCTTTAGAATGACTAATTCATTTTTAGTTTGTTAAATAAAATTTAAGAGAAATTGAGGGAATTTTTAAGATAGCGCTAAATATCATTGGTACATATCATTCCTTTGATCAAGCATATACCTATCAATTTTAAAATATACGCTAATGATATAATGTACACGTGCATTGTGGTGTTTTGTATTACACAAAGCTCGTCTGACCGCTCGGCACCTGTTCTTTACCATTTACTAAAAAACGCCATTATGAATACCAATATCCCACAGACGCTATACTTTGAATGGTTAATATGTTGTCAATATTAATTATATTAAGTATCGATATAACTTTATATGAGTCAAGACTCAAAGAAAATAACCGGTGGTTTGGGGGGGGAAAAAAAATTTTCAAGGAAGAAACATCACATGGGGGGTCACTACGTCACGGACACGGCCGGCATGTGTGGTTTGATGTTGCCAGCGCGCCTGGTGACGCTTCATCTCTCCTGGCTGCTGAGCTTTCGTCTACATCAAGCCGCCACTCACTCAGATGAATCCAACAGCTTTATACACTGTTGTTGCACATCGGGTCGTTAGTGTGGATAACTTAGGGTACCTATCGCTTTTATTATAAAATTTATCCAGAAAGAAAAAAAAAAAAACCTCCTCAAGGTTCTCGACAAATCGTCTCCATAGTCCGTTTAGCATTTATCATAATATTTTAGTATTACTATCCTATTTGTAGATTCTATAAAAATCAGCATGTTCTTTAAAATTTTTTTTATTTAGTTTTATATTCATTTTTTTTTTGTAAGAACTGTTTATTTTGATTTCAGAGGTCTTCAAATGGAAAAAGTAGCTGCGGTGAATACAAGTGCTGCATCTGAAGGATGGCTGGAATTTAATGTAACGAGTGCTTTGGCTACATGGCTTGGAGCTCCGGCAGATAAAACAATGGATTTTTCATTACTCTTCACCCACATACGCAACCAGGTGAATAAACGAAGATAGTTTATCGATAAATAATGTTTAAGCGACTGTTTGGATAAAGAATAGACTAGGAGCGTGCAATTCATAATATAAAATGTTAATATTTTACAGAACGACACGTCAAAACCAGAAGACATCGGTATACAGGAGACCCATGGTAATAATACTGAAGCAAAACAACCATTCATGGTAGCTTTTTTCAAGAACGGTCCTAAGCTCGGTAGCGCTGATTCTGGTGCGAGAAAGAAACGTGAAGCAAAGACGGCTGGCGGAATCATGGTTTACTCGGAAAATTATTTGAGAAACCCCCTCACGGGTAATTTAAAGGTTTTTATGTATGGACTGGAAGATATAAAAAAGAAATTGTATTTTTAATACTCTATTTATTTCATCGCTTAGAGATGAATTATTATTTATAAAATCCATATAAAACATTTGAGTTTTTAAATTGATATCACAAAAAAATCACAAAAAATTGAAAAACGTTCCGAATGTTTTTGTTTGTTATGACTCTAAAACTACAGACGTAATAAAGAAGATTTATTGTTCAAAAGTTTTAAATAAAACGCTTGGAAATATGTAGATGTTGTTTTTTCTAAATAAACTCTTGTATCGAGACTGCTTATAATGAGATAAGAATAAGGTGAATGCTAGCATGTTTATTAGAAATAGTTTTATTGTAAGTTTTTGTTGCATGGAATAAAATTAATAGAAAATACAAAAAACACCCACAAATAGAGTTTCACCTCAGTTTATTTTGTCTAGATACGTCACATTGGACTAGCCGAAGCTGTGAAATTCAAAAAAACGCTCTACGTTAGTTTTAAAGATTTGGAATGGGCAGTGTGGAGTAAAAAACACAGATATAGACTTTTGAAGACTGATACGAAAATATTCTCATTCTAAGAAGAAATCTCAAAAAAAACATTATTATATATTTCAAAAAAAAGATATAGAAAAATATACAATTTCTTAAAAAAAATAATTTATGATATTATAATTGATTTTGCCAGTATGGAATTCATTATTGATTGTTTTATAAATTTTCATTGCAATTTAAAGCATTTAAGGTGAGGACATATTTACAAAAATATTTATACAAAACATATAGTCAAAAAAATATAAGTAGGTCATAATGATAGTAAAAATATTTGAATGTATAAACTTATAAAATGATGTAAACTTGTTTAAAGGATTGGATCATAGCACCCGATTTGGATATGGTGCATTCTTTTACTGCAGCTGGGTGAATGTAACTTCCCTCTCAACGCACACACAAGAACGCAAAAACTAATCACGCCCCATCGTGCAGACTTTAGTTCACCTTTGAATCCACACACAGGTTGACAGTTATTTTTACGTTCTCTAGTTTTACACTAAGGCTCAAAAAATTTTTCATAATAAGTATTTTGAGAATGATAACTTTTGAGTTATATAAGTTTCTTCTGTTGTACAAAAAAATTTTTCTTTTCCTACTGGGAAGGCCATTTCCTGACTATGAATAAATTTACTAAACTTCATGGTCATTCAATCAGTTATGCTCAAATAATTGAAACAACCCACGTCTGTTCTTAATATTTCTTAATTTTATTTATTATTTTTTCTTACTGTCATTTATTTTTTCAAGGTGCCGAAGCCCTAAGATGTGCTCCCATAAAAAACTCTCTCCGATATCAGTCTTTTGTACTTACACAGGGACGATTCTAATGTTGATATTGAGAAAATACAAACCAAAAACATGGTCGTTAAGAGCTGTGGATTGGCCATTAATAAGTCTTTAAATATAAAACAGTATTAGTTTTTGACAATCAAAACTAGTCGTGCATGAATATTAGGTAGGCTGTCCATAAATTTAACATTCTTTATGAACCCGAATTATGTGTTATAAGTAATTAATAACTAACATTTATCGTTGACTTAATATTTAAATCTAGATGTAGCTTTCACCTTTATTAATATAAAATTATTACTCATTTCTTATAAGGAATTTAATGTTGTGTTTTTGTAAAAAAAAAATAGCGTGTTGTATACGTCGATGCTTGTCTAGTTTTTACTTAATGTCTAGGTAGGATGTTAGTTGCGTACAAATTTTACATAATTAATTAGAATGAGTGATTTATGTAAATTTAGTGATACGTGTAAATGTACTCACAATTGTATTGTATTTCTTGTAAATGATTGCCAACAAATGTGCCAAATTTCCGAGTCAAGACTATGTATATTATGCGACTGTGTAAATAAAATATTGTATTTGAAAAATAAAAAAAGTACTTGAGTTTTTAAACATTGTTATCCTAAAATATTGTAAAACTAAAAATAATAAAATTTTAAAAGACACGAGATTCATGTTTTCACAATTATCTAAACATACTTTTGGTAAGTTACGTAACCGTGATTTTTCACTTATATTCTCTGTCTTTTACAGGATTTAACACAAGTTTTAATAAAATTCTGTTAAAAAGTATTTTGGAAGTGTATACTTGTTCCGCTTTTATCTATGTATATCAATATAAATAAACTGTACTAAATGCATTATAACAAAAAGTTGAACCACTTTATGTTATAGGTAATATAAAAAACCTTAGGTGAATTTTATTCGAATCATATAATTAATATTTTTGAAATCGTTTAAGTGTCAGATAGATTTTTTAGTCTTTATTTTCGTCAAATGCCTTAATTATTCTTTTTTACAAAACAAATCAGTTAGAACCGACCATTTATGTACAAAATATAAAGAAAAAAGTTAAACATAATTAATTTTTATTATTCTTTAAAAACTTACAGAAAAGGTTGAATTAATTAATCCGTATTAAAATAATCGAAATCAATGTTTAATACTAACAATATATTATCTCTAAGAAAGACTCTATTTCTTATGTTTTAGAACCACAAAAACATAGGGACCAAGATGTCTATTTTATCTTTGAAATAATTAATTTAATAAAAAATGCACATTACTGAGTTAAAAAAAAAAGTTTGGTTTGAAATCGCAATTGTCGACTTAATAATAAAAAAATCTGAGATTAGATTCTATAAAAGGATGTACAGAAAATTAATTAGGGTTTATAAACGTAAAGTTTATATCACTTTGAAAACGAACATTAGATTAAATCCAAAAACCAATCACTTCATTACGTCTGTGTAACGTATTTTTTAATTGAATAAAAATTATATATAAAATTTATGTTATTGTGACACCTTTTTAACCTTCTTAAGAAATCGACCGTCTGATTGATGTTGGTTATCGGCGTATTCCAGCGATAAGGCCCTAGGAATAACAATATTTGTCACTTGATATCTTACGTTTGATTTTGAAAGGGCATGAGCGTTATACTTTCAGTTTGATTAAATATCTTATGTGCGTTTACACTTCGTTTAAAAACACACCAGAACATTTCGTGTCTACATTTTATGAGCACTAACTTCGAATAGGTGAATAATTTGTCAGAGTGAATATAAAAGTTCCGGGAACGCTTTTTCAGTTGGGAGGTGTGTAATATAGTGGCGTCAACGACTTCAAGGGCGCTGCAGCTCCCGCTACGAGGGTCCGTTGTGCAATCCATTAGCCGTTCTATTTTTTAGTCCGGCTTCATTCAGCCGTCGTTGGCGATTTTACAGCGCACTGTATCATACAAAATCGTCAAAACAATCATGCAGTTCGGAATTCTTCCGAAGTATATCCACCAGGTTATAAACTGAACTTGTTTCCGGGGGGGGGAAATAAGTACCAGGATATGTATCAACAATGCCGGTTATTATATTATTAAGTGCATTATTTTTCTCAGCAAAAACTAGTGCAGACTTTTCTAACGATCTAAGTGATGTAGATAATGTTTTTCGAAAATGTTGCCCCACGAGGTCAAAATTGGTTTTAAAGTGTTGGATTTTTAATGAAACTATAAGTGAATATTTTGAATGTGTTGATAGGGGTGTTTTTCAATAAATTCGTTTAAAATTAATAGTGAACCACTGTATGTGAGGCGAAAGTGTAAGGTAAATCACGGAATTCCATTAGATTGTCGTGATTTACAAATGACGACAATAGTTGCTGGAGACGAATTAGTTCCGTTGGCAGATAACTGTTTATGATCGTCTTGTTGCTGAAATTGTAAATGGAACCTTGGGTACAAAGCGTCCCCTAAGTCAGTAGTTTTAGTTTTGCAATCGAACTGATGTATCAGTAAAATACCAAATTCACAGTTTAACAATACAACAAGTAAGGAAATGCTGTCCCAGAGGACAAAAATTTGATGTGAAGCATCATGAGTGTAGGAATAAGCGAAGATGCAATTGATGACATCCCGGTCACCTTTTTTGAAGTCAGACCGATCCAAAGGAAGTATTTATGAAAATAAGTGTCGTGGACTTCCCTGTAAAGTTAATGAATATTGCTGTAGAGCTGACCGAAGAAAAATTTAATTTTTCTATCGAAGGCAGTACTTTAAATGTATTCAGTAAAGAAGGATTTAACGAACGAAACTTTTATGCCGGCGAATGGTGCCTGGAGGAGAAATATGGAGGGAAAGAAAATTATTGGCTCAAGTATGCACTCATAACTGTGATAGTTTTTAATGCTTATTGTGTGAGAAAATGTTGCCCACCAGGGACAACACTTTAGGCCGCGGCACTGTGGCACTTTAGCTAGTGCCTGCGTGCCTAAACGAGGATCCGGATGTCATGTACAATATATCTTCTTATTTGGACCCCCTAGAAGAAAAGTTTACCGATTTATTTGCGGAGTTGAAATTATATCTTAAAATTTTTTGATCTAAAAAGTTTTTGGTCAAAAAACTTATTTACTGATATCAATATCGTATGATTTATATTATTTTAAATAATCTTAACTCTCCTAAATACTATGTTATGTTATCTAAAAGCTTAAATTATATCTCAATAACAAATGACGTGATTATCTGAGTCTAAAATAATTGTTAACTTGTAAATTTTGAATGTTTATAAAAAAAATATATAGGTATATGACATGTATCTTCAATGGATTTTTTAAAAATAATTCTGTAACAGGGTGATTGAGATTTTTGTGAATGTTGACGTGTTTATTGTTACTAAAACTACTGAATCATTTAAAGTCAGCAGAATCAAATAATTATTTATATTTCCTAATATATTGTTCACATGAAAAAAAAATTCATAACTTTCTGATAATATTATACAAGATTTGGAATTAAGTTTAATATTGTTTTTTTATTATTCTCAAAATGTTTTTTCATTGTAAACAATTTAATAATGGGAAATTACAAGTCACTTAACTCATATTTAAAGTTATTTATTATATCTACATAAAGGAAAAATAGTACGATAAAATCTCATACCAGTAAGCATTTTTTCTAATCCTCAATGAATTCCGGTTTTTCCCTAACATACACGTCTTTTATAATTTTTTATTAATCATATAAAAAAATGTTACATTTTAAGCAAATAATCTTGAAAGAGCCATGGATATTTTAAAATTAAAACCCTATTGAACAAATTTAACAGATTATAAATCAAATTTATACTAAAATAACGATTGATTAAAAAAACTAAATGAGTAACTAAATACATAATGTTGCTAAGTATTAAAATGTCCTTTTTCTTTGCTTCGCAAGTAATAGGTATTGTTCGATCAACTCTTTCAAAATAAGAAAGGGTTGCAGTAAGTTTCTTGAGGTGTGTTTAGGTTTCTTCGGGATGCCACCCCGGATGTCTTCTAATATCATCTAGCCAGGGTCTGCCTTATATGCTATGAAAAGTTTTGGCTAATTGTTTTTTACGGACCGGCCGCCTGCCTCACATCAAACCTGCTTTGGGAATGCATTAATTAGTGATGTCTAAATACTTTTATACTTAGAAAGTACATATGACTCTCGGAAAAAATCACATTGGTACTTGCCAGGATCGAACCCGCGCCCTTATGCTTGAGGAGACGGGCTTTTTAACCACCAGGCCACAACTGACTTATATATATGCTTATAATACAATTCTTATTTTTTTTTATAATTATACCTTCAGATTTTAGGTACATATCATTTTTCTTGCAATATGAGTTACTTGAATATTTTCTCATTCTATAGTTTTGTTATTGATTTTGCAGTTGGCGTTTTTTGTGCCTATGCATAAAACATTTATTTAAAGGAAAATTTAAATAGACCCAATTAGGAAATATAAAGAGAATGTGTAATTTTATAATTAATATATTAATATTTGTAAACCGTTTTAAAAGTAAAATCTTTACAAAAGTTTTGATAAAACAGCAGATACTATATTCCTTAGTAATAGTGTCATATTAGATAACAAATAACTACAAACATAATACTACAAAATCATTCTGACAAGTTCCGATTTATCAAGATCTTTTTGGACCTTATATGTATGATTTTTACGGTAATATAAAATACAGTTATTTTAAACAGTTAATAATGTAAAGTTTGATTGAATTCTAAAGAGACTGATTTTGTCTACCTTAAGTTAAGATGTCTAACCCTACTTTACTTAATGTATAAAAATTAAAAACTGTATTTTTTTATAGATGTCATGGGGTGTAAGAGTTGGGTTGACTTGCGTCCACAAGAGGTAACGCCTTAAATACATCAGTTCCTCAAGACGTGCACTGGATGACGAGGGACGCTCACCTGGAGACCCGGGGACTCTCCTCACAAACCAATACTGCCTCGAGATGTTCGATCGTCGAGACTGTCCTACTAAAGACGTCCTCGTCACTGCCGTACTTTGCTTCATACCAGCCAACCCCCCCGAAACCAAAAAGATTTCCGCATATCGTTTTATAGTAAGTAAGCTTATAAATAACAGTAGTTAATTCTATTTACTGTAGATTTCTTGAAGTACGATTTATTTAAAAAAATAATAATTTTTGAAACGTACTTCGATGAAATAAACAGTTATCTCGAAACCAACGATAGATTTCTAGATACTTAAAACGTTACATTTCATCAAACATCATTAATAATGTTTATTTCTTTCTAGTTCAATATAGAAAAAGAAATTGCGTGGTAATATTATTTATATTCAGAAAAAATTGTATCATAGATTACTTGTAAATCGTGAGAGAAAGATGCGCTTAAATAATAAATCTGTGATTTATTTTGTTCTATGATATATAAAAATTAAAAGGGAAAATAAAAACAAAGATTTTAAAACTATAAAAAGAATTTTATTAGCTTAACAAAATTATTTTAAACACTTTGTGTTCGCATTATTGATTTAGTGCATGAATATATACCCTATATAAAATAAGTTAAAATAAATACGGAAGAATTTGTTTTTGCAAATATATATGATTTTGTTAAAGATAAATCTATACAGAGCATTAATTTTGTTTGTGAGCGAAAATTATCATGATGTTTCCACTATATATGTAAATTGAATTTTATAAAAGGATCTGCGAAGTATTGTTTTATAAATAAATATATTTATATATAATGTTCTTTATTTATAAGGATATAAAATACATTTGGTTTGTGCCAATAGATTGAAATTACTAAGGAGTATTTAGTGATAGATTGATTGATCTATGTAAATAAAAATACTCATATGAGAATTTCGCTTAATATAATTAATATTTAATAACCTTTTATTTCACGATCTAAGATATTTGTGTGTGTTTTTTATAATTCTATGACTACGAATTTTTTATCTTTCGGTAATAGAAGTAAACAAAAATAAAGTGTATTGAAATCTAAGATTTTCGTGAGTACTCATTTAAATGAAACTAATATTTTTCAGCAACCGTGATCATGGTTGCTGAAAAGTAAGCCGAAACGTCGGGAGTAAGTAGTTTATAATCAAAAAATAAAAACGCGAAGTAAAATCCGAAAATATTAGTTTCATTTAAAAAATAAAGTGTATAACTAATAAAAAAAAAAAAAAATATTCAACGAAAAAACTTAAATTTCATCACCTTGATACAATTGTAATATTTAACTAGTTCAAAGACTGTATTAGACCAGAACTTTTACATATTTAGTATTTTTCATTATAAAGCGGCAAATAAGCTGGACACAGTACATTTAGTAGTACTGGGACAGGCCCCCATTTATAAATGTATCTAGGCCTAAACGTCGCTTCAGTCCTAATATATTGGTATGTAACAAAAAAAAGAAGAACGAAGCAAGAATAACATTGAGAAAACATATAAACTAAATTTTAATAAAATAACTTTATGATAAAGTTCTTATGAGTACAATAGTTTTCTCATAATAATAGGAAGACAGTCATAAATAATTCATAAACAAGCAGTTGGCTTTAAGCATAACATAAATCTAATTAATACATATTCAATGTTCTTAATATATTTATTTTTTATCTATTAACAGATTATAAACCATTTCAAGCGTATGTTTTGGCGCTTACATTGCTGGTATACATCCTGTTGCCAGAGTTAAGAAATTTACATGGACAAACTCTTATTTGTCAATGTCAGCCATGATGCTGCTAGCTTTCACCTGCCTCGCAAGGGTTCAACACAGCGTTGTTCCTGATACGATATATGTACAATGCTAGGTTAATTATAAAATCTGACTCGTCAATGTTAAATCTTTTTTGTGCCATCATATTTTTTGCCTAAATATTTCTATACAAAAATAATATCTGTGATGACGTAACTGGTAAAACATCACTTGTGAGTTAGATTAGTTTACACGTCGTTATTGTTTGAATAACACAACGTCTGCTTTGTCTGTTTTCAAACATTATGTTAAATATTGACCAGAAAAATATTGAGGCACAGATTTTAACTAATATTAGCACTTATTGGTCATCGATGGAATTAAAAAAATGCGATATATCTTTCAGAATTACTAAAAATTTTGAATAAATAGAGGTTCATATATGTAGGTTTGCTTACCAACATACTAAACATGCTTATATAAGGATGTTCTTGAATAAATTGATCTCTCATTAATATGAAAAAAAATACAAACATGATATTGTTTACTTGGTGAAGTTTTATTGTTATTTTGGGCACACGCTCGTGTCGCCATTGTAATTTCTATTGTCAAAATTAGGGCCAAATGACTATCTGTGATAAGATTTAAGTGTTTTGTTTATAATAATACATAATTTGATTAAATTACTGTTCAGGTTATGGGTATATATTTTGGATTTGTAGCGGCATTTGCTTGGCTCAAACGTCATGTGCTTCGACATCTGTGTGGACATTTGGGTGAGATTTTATTTTGTTTAATATAAAATTAAGCTTAAATTCAGAATAATATGATTTTAAAATAGATACAAGCAATATAATTATACTTACTTATAAAATTTAAAATGTGTAGTCATGGAAACATTTTTATTATTTTATCTATGTATTACTGGATCATAGCTGATGATCCCCGTTGTTTGATTTATTGATAAAGTTTTCAATAAGTACGAGAAAACGCGCACATCACCGAACGCTTATATTATATATTGTACATAAATATTGTAAAGATCGTTTTTTTTCACGAATTTTTAATAAACTTTTATTTTTTATGATACTTAATATTGTTTTTTGGATAAGCTCAACGGAATATAATATCGAAAATTTTTAAAATTTCGATGTTATATTCCTTTAAACTTATAATTGAAAACCAATCATTTTGCTGAAATGAAATTGGTAATGTAGACAATCGTTAAAATTTATAACATTATTATTAATTCTTAATTTGACTTACATTTTAAAATAATAAAATAATTTAGAGTTTTTTTAAAAATTTAAAACCGCTTAATTTCCAGGGCCCGTGTTTACATTAAGAGCCGCTTATTATTATACATTTTATGATTTATGACACTTACTGGAAAACATATGTTTTGATTAGATCGTCTATAAATATGTACAACGCAGGACGTGATTTCGGAAGCGTAAATTAGTAGTAAAGCTGTTGTAATTTTTTAGCCCATTTCTTTCTAGTTGTGCCGCGGGTTTATGTTTATATTAACAATTTGTCGGAACAGTTTCAGAGAAAAGTTACTGTACTTCTAATATGTTTGAGATGAATACGCACTAGAATTATTGCTTCATATATTTAAATCGTTTTCTTTTCAGAATCATAACATGTATAGTATATATTCAGAAAATTCGTTATGATTTTTCTTCTGACAAAATATCACAATGGTTGTTTTGATATTGAAAACATTATTCGATTAATTGGAGGTAATGAAAGACTAGGGCGTGGAAGATTTCTTGATAATATAATATTTTCAATCATCGCCTGTCACCTGTTAGATACTCGTATGTTCTAAGAATTTTCTTATGGCTAGCTGGCGTTAATAGTCGGTGTGACCACTGCTAAAGCTAGACTAGAAGTATTGATGTAGGTAATATGTAACATACGGTAATGACTTTGAGGAAATCTCATCAGAATTATTTACATTATATTATGTAATAACGAAATTATTACTACTATTTGAATGTTTTATAATTAAAGTAGCCTTTTATTTTTTTAATTAATAGTTTTGGTCAAATAAAATGAAGTATAAACATTTCAATTACTATTATTAAAGCTATCCAGATAAATTATAATGTAATTTGTTATATAATGATAAAAAAAAATATATATTACTCTACGCTGTAGAGTGTACAGTCACAGCGAATAAGAGAGTTTCTAATTTAACTTATATAAATTTCAATTCCGTATTGTTAATGACAAAAAATATTTTCAATTTATTTAATATCACGTTTCAATTAAATGACAAATTAATTGTAGGATTGGCAGATCACAATTAAGCAATGACAATCACTTTATATATTAGGCCATAAAGTGGGGAGTGACGGTAATTAACATTCACGTCAGTTAGGGAGTTTTCAAGGCGTAATGTTTATTGTATAATTGAAACAAAAAAAACGCAAATCCAAATATAGCAGATGATCTATACTGTAACATAAAATCAGCGTTTTAAAGTCGGCGTCCAAGTGTTTATAATACCGACGTCTTAAACACGGAGCAGGTTAATCCGCGGGTTTTTATTATAAGTATGCTATGTGTGTATTCGTACAAGCGGTTATAATTATCCAATAACCGCCCACGGCTTCATTACTTCCTTATCTGTCGTTATCGAATTATTATCACGGAGCTTTTCCTATCGTTAAATAGTCAATTGCCGTGAGCTGTGGGCGGGTGATAGTAAAAATTGATGTCAACACTATAATAACAGCTAATTGTGGTCTAGAAAAACTGGATAGATTTGTTAAAATATTTTTATTAAAACTAATTCTATTTGAGAAATTACACACTAAAGTACGTTCAGTACTTAGTTTAAGGCTAAGTTTGTCTGTGCACTTATTTTATAATTATTACTTGATGGATGCCGAAAAATATTTAGACAAGGTTTATTTTTTAATTCATTGTTTGTATAATATATTTTTATAGGCATATATTATATCATTATCACTGCAGTATGATGACATACAGGGAAGTTATTGGGATAAAAAAACGATTAGAAAAATGGTATAATGATAACAATTAAAACAAAAAATCTCTGACATTCCATACGCCTTAATAATATTCTATCTTTTTGTTCATTGGTAATCACTGATACAAATAGTATATAACAGTTCCCGTTGACTGACGTGGATTTTTTATCCTGTATCTCTTGCTGATACTTCAACATACGGTCAAGGTCGTAACACTTTTTAAATAACAATGAACACATTCAGTGTACGGACAAGATGTGAGTTGACGATTGTGTGCTCATTCATCAAATAGCTCTGATCTTCATGAAATCTTCTAGAGGAAATAAAGAAGAAAATACAATACAAACAGATAATCAAAAAATTTTACTCGGCTTTAAGCAATTCCAAAATTAATACACAGACTTTAGTGGCGCTAAATAAAAGCTACATATTTAACCAATTATATTTGACTGTTTTATATTGTTTCTTATTTTGTCTGATTATAAGTATTGATAACTTTTTTCAGAAGAGGTTTCAAAGAAAACTTTATTTAAAATAAATATTCACCTTAATCATTACATTTGCTTTGGGATTTAATTGCTATATAAAACGCCTACACTATTTGAAGTATTTATGGTTTATATTTAAAACAATAAACACAACCATTATTAAATGTGTTGTTAATATTGTCCTTCGAAATGTTTCTTTACGTTAACGCTTTAAACATGATCGTTTTACTCATAACTCGTTATGTTAAGTAATATTAGTATTACTGTATTTAGTATCTGCATACAAAGCTGTATATGTTTTTCTAGACGTGGTTCAAATATTAAGGAAATAAAATAATATAACGACAATCTTAGATTCATATAATTCAAGTTATAAGGTGGTGATTAAAGTGTGAAATTGGCTACCATTTAATCTATCAATAATGTTCTCTAATGTACTATTAAGACTTTTTTAATTGGTTGATATATGTACTATTAATATTAAGTTTATTGACTTATCAATCATAAAATTGCGTTTGTTTTATTTTACCAGGAGTATTCGTTCAGTAAAGCCGCTTAGAAAAATCTCATTCGGAACGCCGGCGGTTTTTGTGGTATTCTTTGTACGCTTGGAGCGTAAACAATATTGCTTACGGTGACAATGTATCTGTTGGATAAATATCCTGTGTCTGATCTCCTTGATGCTGAAATTGGAACAATGTCGTGTTGGTTTGGATCAGGTGGGATGTATACATTATAAAGGGTAATATACAAATTTAGGTCTTTCTTCATAAGTGATTTCATAACTGCAATAAGCAGGTCATTGATGCCTTGAAATCAATTGTTTGTAGCGAAATAAATTTAATGCTAAACTATTGAATTGAAAAAGTAACCGTTTTCATTGTATCCGTTTTAAATTGATAAGATTAGTAGAATTATCAAAAAGACATTTGTTTTATTTGTAAACATTTATCATGAAAACGATAAATTGGTCATAATGATATTGTAATATCGTGTCATGTTTAAAAATATACTTCACTATAACCATATGGTTTCACATTTGTATGTTTATGTTTTCGGGTTTTCAAAGTCTCTGACAAATAATTTTAACACCTTTGCTATTCCAAAGATCTTTATGTATTGTTGTGTATCTTCCTAACATATTTTTGTTATGGTGTTTATAGCACAGAATACGGAATCGGATTGGCCACACTACATATTCTTCGTGGTGCCAATGGGGTGTGGTGACTTGCACTAATTTCATCCTTTGGCTGCTCACTGCTCGGCATTGTGCTCAAGTGAAGTCAGAGGTTCATCGCCTCCAGGCCGGGTCGGTTGGTGACCGAGCGATAAAAAAAAAGATTCCGAATTGATAGAGCAAAGTGAGTTTAATTTTTTTTTGAATATTAAATTTTTACTATTTATTGATAGTACGGAAGAATGGACAAAGAGAATTCCTAAAAGATTTTTTTTAAAACTGCATGACGTAGCTTATATATCAGAATTATACAAAGACTAACGATAATAGACATTGTTTAATGTAGCCATAGCATCTGCGTGCTCTTGTTAGGCCGTGGGAAGCAGTTTATATTTATATAAATAACAAAATCTTTGACTGTGAGGCTAAATGGCTGGACAGTTATTTTCATACTGTGATTGCTTAATAGGGAAGTAAATAAAGATTTGTATATGTGAATAATTAACGTTATAAAATACATTAAGATTGTCCTCATTAATTTAAATGCTTATATTATCTTGTGCTTGTATTGCATCCTACATATCATTATATTAATAAGAAGCCTTAGGGACCATATTAAATTTACGGCCCATTACTGTTGTTCTGTTTATGGTCGACTTTACTCTTGCAAGCTAATAGCTTAATGTATAATATTTTATTTTAGTAATTTCTAAATGTATATAAACGTATAAAGAAATTTATAATTCTGTATGATATTGTTTTTTTTTTCCATCATTTTGACAATCGACTCGATTGTGTAAGTCTGTGAAAAAAAATATATAGACAATTTTGTTTTAAATGTTTAAATTTTGTTTCCGAAACGAATTTTATAATCTAAATCTAATAACAAAGCTGTGTTCGATTATTGTCTCTATGTATAAAATGGTGCCAAATCGTATATTGTTTCACTTAATATAAAAGGTCACCGTGTTAATTGTTAATTATATAGTGTTACGTATCGTCTGGACCTTTGATAGGTGATATTAAGCTACAATTTTATAGCAATTGTTTCTGTCTAATCGATATCCGTTTTAACCTTCCCAACATGTTACTACAAAGCTAACCTTAGGCATTACGCCGTTTTGTATTTAAGTATTGAAGTATATAAGTATTGGATGAAATTCACACTATACTTCTAATTCTTATAAAACAGAAAAATTACAGTAGTTTTTCGTCGTGTGATAGTAACAAACATCCGGTCATTCACCCATTCGAACATGATTACCAGTTTATAACATTAGAAGAATTCTAACAGAATTAAACAGATTTTTTCAACAACTAGCCAGGAAACGGTAATAACTTTTTAATTTCGGAATTTTTGCTAACAATATCTAAAAAATATCTTTCCAGGTACGTTCTAACTGGGAAGCTGTGGGTGGTAATGGGTGCCAGGTTTGGGGTGTCGGAGCTAGTTTCAACGTTAATCTCACAACCACAATGGCTTTGGAATATAGTGGATCTTATTAATGAGATGCAAGGAGTTTTTATATTTCTTATACTTGTAGTGAAAAACCCGAAGCTATATTACCTTATCCGGAAGAGGCTTGGTAAAGATACATTTTATATTAAATTATTGCATTTTCAACAATGTAATTCATTTTAATTCTTTGTAAAACGAATGAATGATTACTATAGTATTTTTATATATTATAAAAAAAGCGTTATAGTTAGATAAGATAATTTGAAAACAGACATTTTATGTTTAAATAACAATAACGATTACTTCTTATTTAATTTAATTCTTGGAATCAATGAATAATGTATGTCTACGTGATAGGGAATTTCAAAAGCGTTCGGATTGCTATGACGCATCAGGTGTTGCGCTATTTATACTTAATAATATAGATGCTGATTATAGATAGAGTACTTATATCTTATCTCTGAGTTTATTATAAAAAAAGATTTGATTATATTATATTTACCTTAAACTTTATTGCGAAAGTTCCACTAAATTATCGATATTTTTATCTTTCAATATCTATTTTTCGTGACTATTTCCTAGTTAACCCACTGCCACCATTTTAGAATATAAATTTGTGGTCAGACACCTTCTAGCAGGTTGTACTAGAATTCTATTACACTCTGAGTTAAGGTTTAAGTAATCATATAGGAGGATATAATCAAAAAATATTTTTTATTTGAATTATGATTTTATTGAAACGAATCGGTAATGAGGTATGTTTTTACAGGTTCATCTCCGACACCGATTGATACAAGTATATCTTAGCTTAATATTGTCGTTTTTTAACTAATGCTAACTTCCAATACTACAATGGGCGTAGTTATTACTATATTGGTGTTAGAAATTTAATACTTCACTATGTGTAGTAGTGCTTTAAATTAGATGTACTAGAAAAACATCTATCAAGCTTCAACTAATACCACATCGTCTATAACCATATTAATATATTTTGCTGTTTTGCTACATTCTAATAGATATGGGGCACATTATTTTATATTCATTATTGAAATATATCTTAGTACACTTTATTAATTCTAACTAATATAACAGGAATGGAAAAAGCCGAATACTCAGAACAACGCTACTTCATCGTCAGGGAGGACTTCATCAACTTTTCTATCTCGGACTATCAGTTCTGACGAACGTGGTAATTTGAGGATTACACCTAATAATATAAAACAGATTTAGTATTTTGTTTAACTGTATACAGATCTTATAATTATACGCTTAAGGTTTAATTTAGCACGTCTTAGATAAATTTTCTTTGTTAAGTATTTTTGCACTCGCATATATGTATAAATAACTTTATTAAAAGTATTGCTCTTCTCGTGGCTTTAAAATATATTTAAAATATGATTAATGGAATGGGCTGTTTGGAGTAATAACGTAAATACTGAGGTTTTGCTAAATAATCATGTGATGATTCTTTTATTAATATTCATGACAAAAATCTATTTACATTCTTGAAAAATAATTTAAATATATGTATGTTGTAATGTAAATGTCATGACAAATTTTTAAAACATTGTTGCAGTTAATATCCCAAGAGTTATTTAGATAGCTAGAACCGTGCTAGAATTTTATTTTAATTGTAAAATTATATCTATGTTTTTTTATTTGCATATTTAGAATACTAAATATTATTGTCTAGTCATAATGTAAGATATAAAAAAAAAATAAAATACGATTTCCATACGTAAGTTAGTGTTTAGTTGAATAATTTACAACTTTTGAAGGTGAACTTCTTTTATAAACAGCTAAGCGTTCAAATACACAAACGGCACGTTGCCAACTGAAGTCCTCAAAAAAATAGGAACTTCTTTATCAATCAACTATTGACAAAATGTTGTAGAAAGACTACTCTTACTCCATCGATGTATAAAAAATACACTTTAACAGTGATTAGGTCTATTAATGGTAATTTTAACTCACAAAATGTAATGTGTGTATGAGAACTGAATTCAAAATTATTGTATAAAAAGGTAAACCAAAACAAATATTTGTAATTCATTAACAAGAATATGTTAAAGAATTATAGTTTATTAACATTGAAACATCATGTTATTTTTTTTAGATAGCTGTTTATGTTTTAATAGTTACACCAAAATAATGCTTCCTAGCTACGAAATGTTCATTTTGTTATTGTTTTTGAATTGTGCTTACATGTAGGAGTTTAAGAATTAAATGTTAAGTTATATGGATATTGATTATACTTAAATATTATCTTTCATTCCAATGCTGTGTTTTATTAAGATATATTTACTTATTTATAAATACATCGTCAGCCTTTCTAAAAAAATACTCAGCGTATTTATCACGTAAAAGATTTTTAAGTAAATAGAAGATAATACGAGAAAATGTGATTAATTTAATATCTAAACAAACTGGTCCTTTCAATTCGATATCAAGAAATATATCTTTTACAATAATTTAATAACCAACCATTTTTTTTAGCAGTTTTTATACTTGTATTAATGAGAGGAAAAAATGGTACCCATCAAAAAAAATCTGACTTTGATTTTCTTGGTATGTGTATGTTTTATACCAAAGGCGGCAAAACGAGTAGATATCCTACTTGATGGAAGGTAGTTACCTTCGTCCATGAAAATCTGAAAAATTAGGGATGTTGCATATGCGGTACCGACCTTGTTTGATAGAGAGGGAGAGGAGGTGGTGGGAAAAGGGGAAGGGCAATAAAACCTGGAAAGAGAGAAAGGGCAGCCGGTTCTCTCGATAATCGAACGAAATTGATTTTCTGTGAGAGGATGGTACTTCGTAGGTCGAGCCAGCCCATGTTTGAGCTTTTAAAAATTTAATCACAGCTGAGCTCTACTACTTTAGATATCTTTTATGGTATGGTAAAACATTCAATTTATCTGTTCCAAGATCATTGAACATATAAGAGACCTTATATATCGTTACAATATAAAAAAAAAAACTCACTGTATATAGAACAATCCTGTATGAATATTTTTGGAGATTTGTTCCTAGAAGAATAATAATAAATAATACAAAACAAGTGCCTTAGTTGTTAAATAATAAAATAATTGAATTCTACTAAAACTATATTTAAAGAGTACTGCATATTTCATAAAATCTCTTCTTTACACAAATTGAGTCTATGGTATTGCCTGAGGATATAGTACGGTTTTATTCCAAGTATCTTTTCTTACATTGTAACTTTTTGAGAAAGTTTTGCATGGAACGTATAATGTGGTTTAAGGCTATCTTCAACATTGTGTATATTTACAACAGCATTCTTATACTGAAAGATTAGATGGTATATAGCTTTGCATAAAATTTTGGATAACGGCTTGGAGTGGTTTTGGATTAACTCGTTGTATTCTTATACTCATAAAAATATGACGTTGATTTAAGGGAAAATTCATAAAAAAAATCTTTTTGATGGAATAAGTTTTTAAGATTAAAGAGCAATATTTTAATCGGATATAGTTTTTTAGACTGAGTTTGTTTATCATATGGTTTAAAGTATAAAACAGAAATATAAAAGAAACTTGTCTCCAACACTTATAATTATGCTTGCTGTAAGAATTACTTTCAAAATATATCGGCGCTTCATCTCCCCACCTCGTTTTAAGACTTGCCACCCAAACCAGTTTGGGAGGAACTTAGAGTAGATATTGCTCTATACAGGTTAAGGATAATATGCGCTAAAATAAAATAAAATTTTTGTTATGCACTTCACCAACCCACAATTACAAGTATTATGTAATAGCAACATTTAGAGCATGCAAAAGCCCTTCGCTTCATATTGTGTTAGAGTTAGACTATTTGTACACAAGAAATAATTTTTTTAAATATAAATATGCAAACGTGCTTTAGAATTTATAGTAAGATACAAAAAAGATTAGTATGTAGAAATATAGGCAGACAGCTCGGCAATGAATGACTTCGTTTTTTTTTTGGTTTCAACGAATCGAGAGAAATATTTTTTAAATATCTAGAATATTTTTTTATTAAGTAATTTTGAATTCCATTTCGTCCTTTATTTTTTTTTGGTTTTGGGGATGGGAAAAGAATATGCTATATATTCGTTTTTACAAAGTTATTAAATTTTACGAATTTTAAAGACTTTGTGAGTATTAGGTATGGGATAGAAAACAAAAAAAATTAAATGTAACTGTATAAGGAAAACGTTTAAATCAGAAATAGTTTTGCATTTTCTTAGTACTCTATAAGTCTCTTAAACTCGTTTTATTGGTAAGTCAAATAGATACAATTTTATATAAAATCTTCAAAAATAGAAATTTTGGCTAAACTTGAAAACGATTTAGGGAAGGAAAGTAAGTTGTAGGTACTGATAAACAGTCAGTCAAGTCAGTGGTGGCTCAGTGGTTAAAGGGCCCGCCTTTCGGCCTCTCGTCGCCGAGGGCGCGGGTTCGATCCTGGCTCGGGCAAGTACCAATGTGATTTTTCGGAATCATATGTACTTTTCTAAGAGTATTTAGACATCACTGATTAATGTTGATTCCCAAAAGAGGGTTGATATCAGGCAGGCGGGGCGGTCGTAAAAACAAATAGCCAAAAAAAACTATTCATAACATGTAAGGCAGACCCTGGCTATAGCTGGGAAATTACCAGGTAGAAGATGAAGAAGATAAACTATACCTTACAGAGTTGGATATAGATAGCCATACTCTGTATTGAAAACAGACCCGGGATTTAAAACCGACACGGATTAAACATAATGTAGGAAATTTCACAAGAGTTTATCGTCATCATGTATATTGCTTTAAATTGCGTAAAGTACTAGACAAAGTCTTGAAATTATTCAAGCCCACAAGGACCACTGCTCTCTAAGACGTAATCCAGTCTTGATATAGTAACTTATTAGTCATAAAGTCATTGTTAATATTTTATTCAATTTATATTTAACCTACAATTACCATCATATAAGTAAGTAGAAACGTATTATTAGGCTTCATATATCTTTACTTACAATTTCAAATCTATATTCTGAATATACTTGAGCCGGCCGGCAAAAAAACTTAGTAGCAGAATTTATTACGACTTAAATTCCGTCTGTAAGAAACTTTAATATCAGTGTCATAATTTTAAATGGCGAGCTTATAACATAGTTCTGACCGATATCGATAAATATGTGATATAATAAAAATATAAATAAACATGATTTAATATAGTAAAACCTAACTGTAAATATTTTTGAGTTTCTGCAAGTTACAATAAATAAGGATATTACAAAAAGGTAAGTACACCTAAGTCTGTTTTTACACGGTCTTTTTGTACACGGTTTTTGATATGACACGGTTTGAAAATTGAATATTTTTAATTTTTTTACACGATTTTATTCCATTTAGCACGAATTGAAATTTTATGTACTTAAATTTTTTTTGTCAAATTTAATTTTTGCGAAGTATGTTCATATCACAAAAAAGTATTTATGAAAGAAAAAAGTCTGAAAAACCATCGATAGTATCGATAGTTTGCGAACACTAGCTTAAAGATTTAAGTGAATTCCCCTTTAGCGCGTACAAAAAACAATTTTTACTGGTCAAAAGCAAATATGAATAGCACTAATTTAGGGGAATTCCCTTTATGTGCATATGTATATTACTTTTAAGATTAGAGTGCATATCTTTTTTATCATTAATTACTATGCTTGTGAAAATAAGCATTATATATTTGATTTAATAAAATAAACATGAATTCTTGTTCTTTAAAAATTCTTGTTTTTCACAAATTTTAATAGGTTTTAGAGATTAGGAACAAATCACCCATTTTTGTATAAGATCAATGTCTTTTTTTTGCACGGTTTTTTTTTTACAAAACACGGCTTCTTCTGGAACCAATCTACCGTCTTAGGTGTAATACAAAAGAGTAAGTCTTCAAGATTTGAGTTTAATAAAAAATAGTTAGTTAAAGGATGCGCAGAGACTTTGCATTGTATTTAATTTATTTAAACGCACATGAACAGAGCTCCCTGCAATTATTTCCTGTAAAACTTTTTTGATATATATAAATAAAATTATTAGGAAAATATAATTTATCACTTAGTCTCATCAATGTAAAATTTTGATCAGTTCTCAAAAGCATCATGTAGTGTGAAAACAGTGCTTTCAAAAATTCATAGCATTGTTTTTTATGGGATACATATATTTTCTGAATACAACTCGTGATGTAACTATAATTATTCAAGTAAGCAGTCAGTAGTCCTGCTAACGATCACATTAGCTGGAAAGCGGCGCTACTAGTCGCCGGTCAAAACATATTGCTGTTTGCTTTCGATAGATGGCACTTATAGGAATTTTAGCCATAAATCTCATTGAAAATTCGTATTATAGTTAGAATATATAAAATTTTTTCTTCTTTTTTTATATTTAGGTGCCTACTTTGATAACTTGATTGATTACAGCAACTGTTGATGAAAAAAACAAAGTGAAAATTATTTATTAAGGTTCCTTTTCAAAGAGTTTAACTCAAGGAAAAAAAAACAAATAACATTTTGTTGAAAACATTTTATATATTATAGTGAATTTAATAAAGATCTCGCATTCGGTAGCCTGATTTTCCAGGGAGAGCAGAATGTCTTTCTGTTATATTCGGTAACGAAGTAGGTGTGGTCCCTAATTTATTGCTGGTTTCCTGGTCTGATTACGATTGTGTATATGTATATTAAACACTACAGGTTTTCAGAATTTTCCAATTATATGCTCTATTTAATAAATTTTGTTTTTGAATCTTCCAATCAGTGTTTAGAATATTGTGACACATTCGTTTTTACTTTTGTTTGCATAAATTTGTTAACATTTTAGATACACGACAGCAATTTTCATTATTTTTAGAGAAATATATAAAAAAAAAAACTATATCCTAAAATGTTCCAAGTAATGTACACTTTACATCAAAGAGAGATCTCTCTTATCCTGGGTGGGGCAAGAGGGTGTGTCAGACTCCTACTGACTAAAAAAAACCTCCGATCCTGGCCGCGGTACATCATTTCGCTTACACCCCCGACTAAGGAATGTACCCTAAAGCTACGACTTCGTTTAGATTTCGTTAAGAAAAGCAAGTTCACAATTGGCGCGCACTTATCTTAAATAAAAAAGTGGACTTTTTTGGCTCTACTACAACAATGTCATCTAGCAAATCCCAGAGACTTGACAAGTCATGATATCCATTTGAGTTTTTATTTAGATGTAGTCTATCTATAAATCGTATTTATCTTAACTCATATTAATCTCATACAAAAACATAAGTGATAACAGTTTATATCTATGTTAATAATGTTAATCTTTTAGCCATCTGTCCATCATTTTGTTTTTCCTCTGTGTTAAAAAAAACTTTTTCGAGAAAATTAATGAAACTATCAACACATATTCTCAGGTGACATTATATGGGAGCAGAAAAAAAAAAATTTGTTATTGTATAATAATAAATAGTGAAAAAAAATTGTTGCGTGATATTTTATTTCTAATATAATACATTTTCTGCTGTTTAGCACCACTCCTATATGAAATTAAGCGTTCGTCTTACAGGTTTTCAAACATCTTACATTAAGTGGTCCCATTCAAAAACAAAAAGGTAAGTACAACAATGTCGAGTGCCTTATTCGGAGTAAGTATGACTTCAATATGATCGAAATAAATATAAAAATATATAATTACATTATTTCAACGATTCTGTCTTTTATTAAAAATATATTGTAATATGAACAATTTATAGGTCAAGTTATTTCAATATTTACTTTTGTTACAAATAACTTGCACTCTGTAATATATAATTTTTAACTATACGAAGTAAATTTTTTATTTACTACTTATTTTTGTACCTTAAAGAAATACATAACAACTTAATCATAAATAGTATATAATCACAATACTGTTTTTTTCTTAAATCTATAGAATAAAATTAAATTATACAATTACATTTTTCCACATAATTAATTGAATTCAAATAATACAGTATGTGGTAACACTACCTCATCTACATCTATATATTTTGTATAAATATGTTTAATGTTACAATCTAATACGAACGCCATTATTTACATCATTATATGCGAAACTTATATTCCTATTCATAACCTTCGAAAAAAGCTCTTAACAATTGGTGAAAAAATATATATATTAAGAATATAGATTCATTATACATATACAACGTCTCACAACACTTTAAATTTAAAACAAAATGTGACTACTAAGTACATAGATGAATAAATTTAGCGTCATAAAATAAAAATGATGAAAATCGGACATCATAAAATTTAAAAAGTAATGGACTGTTAGGTTTTAAAACAACCTATGTTCGATGATTTTGGTTGTACGGTGATAGGATTTGGTGTACTGTATGCGTTCGGAGATATCGTTGGTACGGGTGACACTGGGGGTGAATTCGGTGTATCAGCATCTGCCTCTGCATCCCTTTCAGCTACCTCTTCCTCAATCTATGATGGATATATCACGAATCGATGGCCTGTGGGAACGTCTCCAGCCTAGAACAGAAAGAATAAAATAAGGTTAATCACAGAATTTTTTTACCGTTTTTTGTAGAATATTTTAGTTTAAAGTATAGTAATAAATTAAAAAAAATGTAAATTTATCCACTAACTAAATTTTAAAGGTAAAAGCATTTAAATGGTTAGAAACATATTCCAACGATTATTGGATATATGAATTAATCTGTTTTAGGGGGAAAAAATATTGTCACTATAACATGAGAACAATGTGTAGCTAATACAGCTAGAATTGCAGAGAATTTTTTTAACACGCACATATATCTTGAAGTACATATGTACATCGAAAGTTTAGACATTTTTTCTATTAGTTACAGTCATATATTTATTAAATTTGAGTATATTTAGAATATCTTTCATAATGGATATATCTTTATAAAGATATTATCTTTATTTCAATCATAACTTCAAGTCGTAACAAGATATAATTAAAACTTTATAAAATAAATTAAAGTTATAACAATTAAGTACAAATACTTCTTACATATAAACTTTTTTCATTACAGCGCTGAATATAGTTATGGAAAAATGTTTGAATTTATAATTTGAGGCCAAAGTGGAAAAAATATATTTGAACTAACCTACTAAAATGAGAAGGATCGTATGGAAAGCTTATAATGATTTTCGTTTTATTTTCGAAACAAGAATTAAAATAGACATACCTTCTAGTACAGGCGGCCTTAGTTTGTCTTAGAGAGTAATCTGGGACCGGTGATTGTTATTACAATTGCTCCTAGAGGTGCTGTTTATGACAATTGACATGATGCAGACGTTGATTACAATTTCAGCGTATTTAACCAACTGCTCCATATGTTCCTCACTGCCAGTCATTTTTCGTACTTCGTCAAGCGCAACCGGTGCTAAAGCAGCCTGAAATTATAATTATTTATTTCAAATGTCTCCCTTTTTTAAAAATCTAGACAATGGGAAATATGTTTCAAAGTAAATTATTTACCTGAACTGTAGCTTTAGCCATCCACGCTAGACCGAACGAATATTTTTTCTTTCATATTAAGGTTGCTTCGCACTGCAGTGACGCTGGTTAAGGCAGCACGTAATACTACACAAGTGATGACAATTCCAGCGACTACTAACACTAACTGAGGTTGTAAGTCAGCGATCTAGTGACAAAAACAAATATGCATTTAATAAAATGTTTAATTTTTTTTTTGCAAAATATTAATTAATTGAAATATTTTGTTATCCTATTCCATAAAGCTTATTTTTACTTACGACAATTTGTGCACCCGTAACAGAGAAGAGCATGGGCTCAAAGAACATCCAAAAGATTTCAAAGGCCGTCGCCACAGGATTATCTTCGAGTTCCCAACCTTGATCCACCCACTGCTTACATGCGACGAAACTAAAAGCTATTACAGCCAATGGCCCTGAAAAATTTTATTGTGTTTATATTATCTATAATAATTACAAGCAGTTTTGAAATATTATTTTCCTATATTTTATAAAATGTATTAGCTAAAGAGAAAAACGACGGGAAATATAAGATGCTTTGTTTTGACGCTGTTTTATTGCATATCTCCTTCTATACTTAATAACATTGTATTGTTCGAGGGAAAGCCGTGTAGCGTAATGTGCAAAAACAATCACTAATCGTACTTGAGACTATCAACTCCAAACAATTTTAACGACTACTGCGTAGAATGATACATTTTTTAAAAAGAACCTACCACCGATATAATTACTTTGATAAGTATGTTATAGAAAGAACATAATGTAAATAAAAATCTAGAACCAATTTTAAATATACAAAAAATAACGATTTCTTGTATTGTAATTATATTTTAATGCCAAGTAAAAGTCTTCTTTTCGTGTGTATTAATTTTGTTACATAAAGTAATTTGTATTATAAGATTTATTAGTACAAAATATTTATTAATTACTCACCACTGCCTCCCCAACCAATTTCTTCAGAGCCAAGAACGGATACCAGACCACCAACAAGTAATAGGAGTACTCGGAGGGGAAACTAAAAAACGCATCATTTCTTTCTGGAATGTATTTTAACAAAAAGCCACATAACACAACCAAATGCGATTCCGGCAAAAACAACACTTAGCGGACCCTAAAAAAATTATTATTAAATTTAATATTAAATATTTGTTAAAGTAATCCCGGTTATGGGTTGGTTTGAAATACTCACTTGAATAAGACTTGTTGTAAGAGAAGCATTTGAAAACATAGTTGATGTTATAATGCCGAAAACCGCGACACTGGCTGCATCATCTATACCGGAAACAGCTAACACCAAAGTCGGAATTCCTTTAGACACACCGTAACCTTTCTCACGAAGACGGAATAAACATGGAACGATTACTGCTGGAGATACAGCAGCAAATATGGATCCTAATAGAAAAGCTGCAATAAAATATGTGATTAAAAATATTGAAACATTATTAAGTATATTATTTTTTTTATATTTTTTTATGATTTACCCCAATCCCATGGCAGTCCAAGAAGAAAGTGACACATAACAACGCAAAGTACGCATTCAAATATCCATGGAACCAAGGCCAATTTTATGACAGTAATGAAGAATTTTTTTCATTGCTACGGGATCTAAATCAAGACCAGCTCTTGTTAAAATGATCGTCAACGCGATTTTCCTGAAAAAAGATTTTTTTATTTATATTGGATATTAAGCAGCTTTCAAAGAGAGTATAAATATTTATTTATAGTAAAATGATACCTTATATAAGAGGTCACGTGTTGGTAATCTGAATCAAAGTTGACAAAACCGATATTTTTTAATATTATTCCCACTATGAGCATTCCTATAAGTGCTGGTAGTGTGGTAACTTTTACCATCAGCCAGCCGCCAAAGTGTGCAGCGATGGTAAGTACAGCGAGCATAAATAACTGCCCACCAGGTGCGGCTGTGTCACCTAATATTATCCATACGATAACCCACACCATTATTCCTGAAAATAATTATTTTCATTTTACATATAACTTGTAAGGTTCTCTAGGTAAATTTTTTTTTTCTTAGTATGTCGCAATACTCACCGATTAAAAGAATCGATAGATTTTGAGCAAAATGTCTGTATGATGGGCATAATGGGTAGGGGCATATTTTTTTTTTTGCCAATGTGGAGGTTCCCAGGAAGGAATTCCGGTGTCCTCTTGTGTGACACTTCTGACAACAGGCGTACCACCAAGATCTAAATATATAAACACATATCAGTAATGTTTTTGGTTCTATTTTTATAACTCCCATTCTTTGTAAATATGAAAGTGCTGTGTCCAATTGCACCATAACTAATTAATGCGTGTGCAGTAATACCCACGGCGATGTATGAATACTAAATTTTTTAAATACGATTATATAAGGTCACGTAATTATAATAATGGTGTATACCTTTACCTTTCGATATGCTCGCTTTGATGAGATAGAGCCTTCTTCGAATAAACGGATGATGTAGTTGAGTACTTCTTATATCTGCCCTCGATGTGTGTTGGTCGTTCTGGAAACGAAAATGTAAAGGACGTCCGTTAATAGTTCAATTCCATTGATCAATGTTGTCAAGCATGTGAAATAACAAATGTTTTGTTACAGCTGTCTTTCTCACGAGTGAAGACTGAGAGTTTCAGTACTCGTTTATTTTTTAGTGATATTAAAATTTACTTATGTCAATTCTTTGTAAAAAAAAAAATATTATAACAACAGTTCGATCACTACATTTAGTTTTCTTAATTAATTGTTAATTTTAATTTAATTGTTATGTTCAATGTATATCTTACAAAATATGAATGAAGTATCACATAGTGAGCTCACTCCTTTTATGGCTGTCACATATAAAATTTTAAACAGATTTAATTATTTCTACTATTTAATAACCTCGAGTGAACTGTCGATTTGAAATTTAGTTGAAATCAGTTACATTTTTTAATTTCTACTAAGCTTTTCTGCATCTTAAAGATATGTCAATTTTTTTTTTACCCCATGATGTGTCCATCTCAGCTGCCATGGCGTTATGAAGATTACTTTTGCGGCGCGATGGCCCTTCTGCTTGAGCTGATACGCGGCCATTCCTGGAAATAAAATTGTTTTCTTTACTTCTGAAAAATATAAGTCTAGGAGCTAATGATCGACTATTTTCTAACTGGCTATTAATTAGAGAATTCAAACACAATCGACCCGTGACCGTGTTTAAACTAGTTTTTGCTCTAGTTACAGAGACATAACAAGACTAAGATATATTTATATTGAAAATAAAACAGTTGGACGCCAAAAAATATTTTTAAATCATACTTTGCGTAAAAAGTACTCATTACCGTACCTTAGGTATTTATACCAAATAAGTTCTGGATTCATAAAAAATCTTACTAGAATAGAACATGCATAAGCTTAAAATAAAACAATTAATATGGTTTGTTCTATTTTAATTTATACGAAAAACAGCTATAAAACATAATTGTTTACATTACTTACTTTTCCGCTGGACGCGTGCATGCAAATTTAACATTATTAGTAATAGTAAATTATTTCTGCAATGACTTATATTTTTCTCGATAAGATGACGTAATTGTATTTTCAAGGGTAGGTGAATAATTTGTATTTAGTTTAAAGTTGACAGACCATGCAAGTGCATGGTGATACTGCATGGTATGTAAGTACATAAGGTCAGACTTCGCGGCCATAAAAGCGAGCATGTGACTGCGAAGGTTTGAAAAGGTCGATCCTGCCCATGATATATAACCTTCTTGAAACTATTAATGTGAATGAAGTAAATAAATAATACTACGAATTTTATACTTATAAAGTAATACATTATCATAATAAAAATATCGCTATAGGTGTTTTTATTATACCGTTGATAAAGCATATTTCTATAAATAAAATTATAATCTCATGCTCCCTACATAAGCGAAATACTCATTGAAGTGAATTGAGTTGAGTGAGGGCAGTTTTAAACGTCGAAATTGTGTTAATTTTAAAACAACGGTGAAATTTTTTTTTTTTAAAGAACAGCTGTTATATTAGTGTTCCTTAGTTTTTGATTTTCTCTATTCGATTGAGAGGACTTTTTATGGTAATGGGAAACTAAAATACTTTCAATGAATAATTGTGAATTATCGGTAATTAAAGGTCATATTGGTTATAATAAATATCAACTGTATAAAAATAAGGTCGAATACGTGTAGGTAAGTGTATTTATTGTACACTAACGAACTTTAAAATAGTGAAATAATCACAATATACATTAAAATTATAAAAAAGCAATTATAAATAGGTTTATCACTGTTTAAATAATCTGTATTTTTGTGGTAATAGATGCATTCTAAAAAAAAGTATAAAAGGATTTTTTAAATTATAAATATCTTAGCCATTGAATTATTCGTCTAGCATCCGGACTGTCAGTTGGTAAATGTTAAAATCATTTAAAAACTGAAGAAACAAAACATTAATTTTTCAAGCAATATCTTGAAGACATTTTTGTTACACTATTAACTTAATCAGGTTTAGAAAGAGTGGTTGAAAGAAAAAGAAATATCAATATCTAGATACTATGATATAATCAACAGTTGTATTAAAAATGCAATTGGTTTGTTTTTGCGGTAACTTTTTAAGTGATCAGTTTAAAGTTTGAGGTCTTTGTTCATAGTTAATATAAACTAAATAATTATTAAAAGGACAGTTCTGTTTCGATTTTATATTCTAAAGTTTCCTAGTGATTCGTTTCCAAATTCAGAGGAGTTCTTATGAGAGTCCCTTCATACAATATTTCAATGAAATAGTTACTATGTGATAGTTGAACAGATGCATAACCGTACATACACCTACAAGTTATCCCAATTATAATATTAGTGTGTTTAAAGATGATTATTATTTACCTATTTTTTTAATGAAGATATATATTGTAGTCATTATTAAATATTTATGCTCGAATTAAATGCATAGAGATATGAAACGGTAACGATTTCTAGTATTATGAAATAAAATTTTACGGTTAATCTTGCAATGTTAGTCTCTTTACGAATTATCTTTTCACGCGGTCAATGTTATACTGCAAACGTAATTGATCCGTGTTTAATACAAGGTAAATTATAACGAAAACTTATGGTTAAAAACTCGGGTATGTAATTATAGTGGGTCAATGTTGATAATGTTTGATAGTGAAAGTTATGAATGGTTGAGTAGTTACGGCAATGGTTTGTATTTCGGTGCCATGCCGTTGATGTGATGTCATAGCGGGGGTTCGCTAATCTTATGTGGATTACAATACAGGAGTGCTTAGTTTTTATAACAGTGTGGCGTTTGGAGGTGGATTTTAAATGCCACGAGCTGAAATGTCTGTTTTATTTATACTTTATGAGTGGATATTTTAGCAAATAATTAATTGGATCATTCATAACTGATATTTTCCTTAAAAAATATTGCCGTAATCTGTCTTTATAAAAATTTGCAACGTATGCATTTTTATTATTCCTTACTGAAAATCATAAGGTAAACAAACCGTATTTACAATTATGTGATGGAGTTGATATATTAATTTTTAACATGATCAAAATCTTTGCACAATATATTTTTACGTTAATAATTTTTTTTTGTGAAAATAAATTGAAACGTGGACAAATTAAATGTCAACAATTGTAACAGTTATTAAATTACATTATTTATTTAGGGGAAGGTACTCACCAATGTTTGTTTGTTAATGCGTCGGTTTCAAGAGATGAATCTGATTGAAGATAGCTGTCGTAATGACAACTAAGGCTGCTGTGAGACATTCTACATGGCATCCGGGGACTTTTATTAACTAGAAGTACAATACTAGCGTGTATGTGCGTGTCTGCGCGAGGGCATGCCGTTCAAGTGAGCACGCTCCACACTTATGCCGCGGCGAGTGTGCATCTTATAAGAGAAGGTTCGGCTGCGAGTCGAGCCGCCCGCCGCGTCTCACCCCGGACACGTGACTACCTCAATGAGTCCAGTTTTCGCCGGCCGGCTGATCGGTCATTGGCCGTGTAAAAATTGTCTAAACCACCACGTCTCACATATAGGAAAACACAGTAAGGGAAGCCATGGCAGTCGCAAGAGCCGGTGTAGTGATGAGATCGCGCTAACAACTGAATGCGTTCAGCAGTCCGCGGCGGAGCTGACTGTTTAAAATTCAGTTTTAAATATTACAAACATGTCTCGGGTGTCACCCCGCACAACCCGCGCCCTCCGCTTATCAGTTTACACACGTGTTTTTTAGACAGAACAATTGATTTGTTAATAAATGTTATTTAACATTACTTCTATGAAACTAATTCTTCACGCCCGTAAATATTTTTCATAAATTAATACATATAATATATTTCCATGTAACTGCTGAATCTGTTATGTCTATAAGGTGAGCGTATGCGCAGGCGACAGCATAAATATTAAGTAGGTACTAACTTGCCATGTTCGACGTTAAGCCATGTCTAATACAAAATAAATAAAGGAAATGTACGGTTTAAAAACCTTGGTGTTCTAACAATGAATAATTTAAATTTACCTCAAAATTTTAAATATAGAAAGTTATCTAGTTTTTTGAACCATAGCAACTGAAAATATATAACACATTTATGAAAAAAGAAATATTGTATTAACAAACAGTATGAACATTTTTTAATTAAAATATTGTTAGGGTTTTCATCAAAATTTCTTGGAATACGTCTTTCTGCAAAATGCTTATCTCTATTATTCATGAAGGTTATGAGTTCTGGGTTAAGACAGCCTAGTGTAAATTATACATAAATGAAACTAGCTTCAATTGCTTTTAAAGCAGATTGAACAATATGTATAAAATGAATTTTGTTTTAGCTATAAATATGTAGAAATGTAACTTAAGATGTATGCTAAAAGTGTTATATTTGAATCACTGAGGCCAAATGAATATTGAAAATAATTTAAGCTTTGTATTCAATATAAGTAAAAGTTGTGATAATTCACTAATAAGGCATTTGTTAATCTCCCAAAGAAGAAAGAAACATCATACTGTGAATATTCGAGTGAGCAATATTATTAATGGAGATTTAAATATTTATCAATTATTTTATTACACTATGATAGTAGATATATTGAAAAGACGAAACGTTAGTGTCGTCAATGCTATGGCTATATGGCTATGCTTTAAAATAAAACAACGATAACATAAAATGAGATTAAGTAACAGGTTCCATCGACACTCTACTTTTAATTAATCATGTGATCACATGATTCAGGTTTTTAGTCGTTCTTTTGTTGGGGCCTAGCCTTGAGGTTGAGGTTTTGTTTTAAGTTACATCTAAATCTTCCAACCGTAATTACGTAAAAGGAATAATAAAATGGATAAGTTCTTATGATAGTATTCTCGATAACATAACTCCAAGAATAAACTGGTAAGAAAATACTAATTTTATATTAATTATATATACATTTGCGTATTTGACAGTAATATTTTAAAAGTTTAGATCATCTTTCTCTTTCCCTTGTTAAAAGTCAGCACAATACGTCTTTGGCTTCCATACAACTCTGCCATTTGTTAACCTAACAATAATCGGACCTCTTTCACTGATATACCAGCTACTACACTCCGGTTGCCTGTTTTCTTTGGCCCTCTTCTATCTGCCAACATCCAAACTTTCTTACTTACATGCTTATCTCCTCTTTTCATTACTCACTCGTGCCCTTACATCTTACATGCACTTTGACAATCGGGTCTGTCCATCTCGTCACTATATAAATACATATATCTATCTTCTTATTCTCCTAATAAATCAATAATAAAGTTCATATTCTAAGAAAGGTTTTATATGAGTATGTACACCCTTTTATTATAAGCGTTATCCTAGGATCTCACAGACTGGTTGAAAACTGTGCCAATTACTCCACCTTAAGACGATTTTCAAGCCGTTTGAATAGCCAGATTTAAAATAATAGATAGAAAATACTAAAACATCATTTATCAATAACAACTACCTTAAGGTTGCGGCACCTTGCAGCCGGTTTGTTTTTTACAAGAGTGCAGTTTAGTTCCAATGATTTATGTAATTATTATTTTATTTCCTATATTACACTTAACAAATGCAATTTTATATATTTTTTTTAAACTTGATGGCTATATTTATAAAATATGTTATTTTTTTTATTAAATAAAGTGTAATATTTGACTAGCAGTCGAAAAAACATAGTATATTTCTCAGTGTACACAAAATTTTATGGTACTGCATTTTCTGTCACTTAACTAATTTAAGAACTTTTTGATTAATCCGAGGTTGATAACATTATTAGCATGTTGCTAAATCACTAGATGACAGTTGATGTAATATTAATAAAATCGGTAACTGCTAGCAAAAGGTCTAAAACAACATTATAAACGTTCTATCATTAAGTACGGCAATAATAAATACTCTTTTATTGTTCATGTTAAGCATAACGTCATCGGTTACTTTGATGAATGCTGTAAATCTGTTCTGACTACAATCAGATTGACAAGGACCACGAATAGTACTACTTGATATGAAAAATTTTTCATAGACTACTCGCTCGAGAACTTTGGACCCATAAAAAGTTGGAAATCAGTCTATAGTGAGAAACAGGAATATATTGGAAGAATTTACAACATACTAAGTTATTTAACTGATCAACTTATATAAAAATTATAGTTTAAAGTACAGTTAGTACAGGCCATAAGAATTTTAATTTTAATTTCAGTGCTTGTATAGTTTTGAGTATGTGTTTATAATAAAACTATTAATAATAACCTTTTCAATCCATAGAGGCTAAATATGAAGTACATGTGTGTTTTTAATGTTATTCAACTTATTAATAAATTACTTTTTTTAGGAAAAAAATAAACTTATAATATTAATAGTATGTATACCTATATGTTATTCAATATGAATTGGAATTTAAATTTGAATTGGAATATAAGTGTGTAACGGCAAAAATATATTTTAAATTTTAATGTAACTTTCTCAATAAGGTAAGCCAATTCATAAAACAATTTTGCCGAGCACGTGATTTAAGTGTTCCTTTATTTCGACAGCCTTGTTTGGTGAGTCATAGCGCTTTGTATGTACGATCGCATTGGGCACGTCCAAATCCGAATGATCTTTCGTTGTTCATATTGAGATGTAAAAAGTTTATTGCACTTGGGGTTCTTATTACAATGGACATATCTAAGTACCTTCTACAAGCTGCGGTCACGTGATCACGTGACTTTTATAAGTGAGGTCTTCTACGAAAGTTGTGTAGAAAAGATACCGTGGGTTGTAAAATGACACACATTAACAGGTATAGTTAATATTGATAAAGTAGTTTTAATAAAGTTGGTTATAAAATTATTTGAATATATTGAACCATTCGCTATTATTAGTAATATAAATCCTAATTGCGAGGAAGAGATAATGTGATTTGGATGTTTCTTTGTACCAGAATATCTAGAGACTAAGACTGCAGTAAGCCTTGTTATCGTTAGCTCACTAATAGCTCATTTCTTGCATATTTTTATCATAAATAATTTAATATCTTGTAATTTAAGAGTTTTTAAGAAACACAATATTTACCTTTCTGATGGTAGATTTTCTCTATCTTTGCTGCCTTCGTTGGCCATGATGGATACTTTTCGTTTTCCGTCGGGGGTGGTTGAGACGGGTAACGTGTTAGTCACGTTTCCCACTGTTGGCCGTGATTCTGTCTGGTTATTCAGATCACTGAGATCGAAAGGGTATTCTTTTATTGCAGTCATTCGAAGGCTTGTTTTGCGAACCTGAAAACAATTAAGTTAATTTTATATAAATCTAAAAAAAACTTAGTTTTACATTCACATCATTTTATTTATTACGCCATGTTTAATAAATAATAAAATGCAAAAATTTTCATCGGATCCAAAATGTAACTGGAACTCGAAGTCATTATTAAGCAGTTTGATAAACTGGAAATAATATGAAGAGGTAAAATATATTGAAAGTTAAAAAACAAAAAAATACTATTTAGCTATTAATATTTGTACATACATATTTATGGGAGTAAATTATACTTTTTTTCTATGATTGTTTTAGCTCTAGTTTAGGTACATTCTTTCTGTTTGGTAAAATTAAAATTGACTATACTATCAGGATCATAAAAAGCCATTAAAATTACTTTGTCCTTTTTATTATTTAAAAAAGAAGTCAGGAATTAAAATGAATCGTTAGACGATATTTTCTTTATGTGTTTAGTCATAACGCTTTCAAATATATATATTTATTCGCACTTTTCTAACATAAAAAAGGCAAAATACTGTATAATCCCCAAAAATTGTATATAATATTAAAAGAAAAATACACGTGTTTCCGTTGAACTTTCATTTGCATTATAAATCATTATTTCAGAAAGTGCCTTATCAATTTAAATGGCAATACCGAACTGCTAACATTAATATAATTTTATATCAGGAGTTACAATTATATTTATGATTATCGTTACATAATCGTATACACTTGTTTGCATTAGTATATATGTATGTATATAAACGAAATTGAAGGATCTGTTCAAGATTTTAAAACAATTATACATTTTATAGCCTATATTTGTTTTTAATTTTATGTTGTTTACAAGAAAATTCGTAATTCTATTAGATGGAAAAATATAAATCCTTTGAATGTTTTTATAGAAACAATTTTTAAAAGATATAAAATATATCTCGTCTGCCCATAATAGCGGTTATTCAAAGTCACCAAAACGTCGGGAGTTTGTAGTTTTTAAATCAATAAAATACGCGTTCTAATCCGAATAATATTAGTTTTATTTAGATATAAAATATTGAGTTATTGATTTATACAGAAAATTATTAACAAGGAGATCAATCATGCAAATAAAAATTTCAAGTAGTTATTCCCGTGCTCAGAGAAGTGGCCATTAAAACTAGTAAAGTTACATTTCCTTTGGCATCAAAAATAATCGGGAAAAAATTAGGTCTTCATTAAAAAGTGATTTTATTGTCCTCATTAATTCCTTATATTCCATTTTTATTAGTATAGCTTTAACTTCACAAGTTTTTAATTAAAACGTTATAATTACATACATTTAATGATTTAATTCAAATAATTAAATAAAAAAAATATTTGTAAAATATATGTAGCTGGACACTAAAATATTAAATGGAGACTGTAGCTCTGATTTCCAAAATGAACCCGAAGAAAAATAAAACAAATTAAAAAATGCCTTTCCATTTTGTATTAAGGAAATGAAGATTTTTTTTATTTGTGTATTATAGTCTTCATATTCTAGTCAGTGGTGGCCTAGTGGTTAAGAGGCCCCGCCTCTCAAGCTCGAGAGCGCGGGTTCGATCCTAGCCCGGGCAAGTACTAATGTGATTTTTCTGAGTCATATGTACTTTTCTAAGAGTATTTAGACATCACTGATTAATGTTGATTCCCAAAGAGGGTTGATGTCAGGCAGGCGGCCGGTCGTAAAAACAAATAGTCAAAACTATTCACAAAATGTAAGGCAGACCCTGGCTAAAGCTGGGAAATTGCCAGGTAGAAGATGTCTTCATATTAAAAAGAAGGAGAAAAGATTTCAATAAAGTAGAAGGCTGATAATTGTTCATCTGATTATACCTTCATAGGTTACAAAAAAAAAAAAAACTATATAAACATTGAAAAAGTATAGATAAATAAACCCCTTGTTAAAAGAAGACAAATAACACGACAGTTGACAAATATTAACAATAGAATTTTTAAATCCCAAAATATAGTGTTCAATTTTAATCTAAAACTAAAGTTTTGACTAATTGCCCCTGGTGACATTTTATTTTATTGCATTTCCAAAGTTATAAGGCCACAAATTTGAGAGGTGTTGATTAAGAAAATTAATTTGCATACCTTTTTCGGCACCTATATGGATCCGATCTAAAAACGCCTTCACATTTGGAGGTTCTTATATGTTTAAAATTATCTCATGTTTTTAATGTCATTGAATAGTTATACTAAAAATATATTATAGACAAGATGACTTTCCATTATAAGGTATTTTTTATTATACCAAAGTTATTTTTATTATACCAAAGACGTTTGTAATTGCGTTTTTTCTTAGATTAATAATTTATTGTTTTTTTTTTAATAAAAAAAATTAGAGATAAAACTTTTGCTTCACAAATAATAGCTGTGTAACGAATAAACTATAAAATTAAAACTGCATTTGTATATATTGTTACAGAAGTATTTTGAAGCCTCCAAGATTTTATGTACATACTTAATTTAGAAAACAACTCGTCGTATTTTCAACGTTAAAAGGATTTCTGTTGTAAGTAAATTTAAATTAAAGTACAATCGATTTCATGATATCGGAGAAGATAAAGAAAATTACGCCGCCAGTGGCAGTAGAAACCACAGTAATAATAAAAAATATGTATTACCTATAGATCTTAAGAAAAACAATTCTATTTTATTTTATCTATCAAACATGTATTTTTATTCATAGTAACATTTTTATAATTTTAAAACCCACTTAATTGCTGAGATAAAGTGAAGAATATTACAATAACGAAATTATATCAATAATCTTAATAGCTAAAAACTCATTCTATTATTTTTCTGAGAAGAATCATCTGTTTAATAGAAATTTAAATTAAATATAGTGTTTATCTAGCCTAAAAAATCTGTAACATGAAAACCGTAATTTTTTGGAGATTATAAAAAGCCTATCTCTATAGATATTAAGAGGCATTGTGATATTACGCTATAATTTAGTCACAAGCATTTATCATTTAAATTTAAGAAATGATAATATAAGAGATTCATGTAATTATGACTGTATAAAGAAAGTACTATAAAGAAAGTACTATAAAGAAAGTACTATAAAGAAAGTACTATAAGTATGTATAAAGAAAGTATTATAATGTAACACACACAAGAATAAGGAAGAAATATTTCTGGTTTTACGAAAATATGCTTAGGTAAATTACGTTAATAATTTTAAGAAAATTTGTAAATGCAAAATTCGATAATATTTTTTTTTCGATGAACGTAAGTAGAACATTATCTTTTAGCTTATACTTCGGTAGAAGTAATAATATTACATATTTTTATTTTATATGAAAATAATCAACTTAATTCACATTTTTTTTTATAATAATCTGTGTTGTTGCATTGTTGAATGATGTAACTTAACAAATCAAACACATATATTTTGATGTTAATAAATTCAGTACAAAAAATATTTACCTCAATTATTCACTAGCTTGAATAAAAACAATTTTATTTTACATCTTTCATATAGTTTGCTAGTATGAAAGTCGTTCGTAAAATGTGTGCACTTAAAACTAACTCAAAGCGCTCGCGACTGAAGACAAACATATACTGAAATTCAGTAGTACGTCTCCAATACTTTAAGCAAGCCGATCAACTAGTTCAACTGACGTATGTTTGCAAGGAGTCAGCATCTCAAATGCGTTAATATGTTGTTTAAATCAATGTAAATTATATTACATTGCATAATTTAAAACGTACACATTTTATATCTTATACGTATTTATAATGCTAATTTGAATATAATGCTTTACTTCGTGGATAAAGTAAATTTATTTAGGTTTTATATGAGCTTTAAAATAAATTGATAACAAACTGAAAAAAAAACATATTGACTGTCTAAGTTCATTGAAAAAATAAACAGTATTAAAATAAGGTATATTTTTGTTTGAAAATAATTTGTGTTTAAGTAAAACATTTTATAAAATATTAATAGGTACTGTAAGTGGGAACTGAATTGGGAACATAAGTAAGTGTTACTGGACTTTAATATTTTACAAACTTTGGTTACGTACCATACTCATATTGAGAACTTTTTGCGCCTGCATGTGCCTGTGCCTGCCTGTGCGATTTTAATATTTCACTATTTCACAAATAATGTGAAAACATTTATATTCGAAATTATAAGTCCATGTCTGCCACTTTAATCTTTTGCTAATCAATGAAATATTAAGACAAATCCGATTTTTAATTAGAAAGCAACATAATTAAAATTATAGTATGTAGATATAGGAAGTATACTTAATACTATTAATTAAAATATAACATTATAATACCAGTTGTTTGAATTGGTATATAGTAATTGAAACTGGATATATTTACGGATTCAATAAATAGAAAAAAATATTTCGGATTAAATTGACTCTCAAACATAAAATATCGTTAAAAAGAATAAGTAAACTTTCAAAAGTATCAATTTTTTTTTTTTGTTGTTAAAAGATGAATACTTACGTATGTTTGGTATTGATATTGATATATTGTAAGTGTAACTACAAAAATGCCATATCTATAGAGTTTTATTCTTCATTATCACTTAGAACAATCTTACCCCATTATACAGTTTTGACAAAGAAACAATCAGGCCACTCAACGCGTTCGAAATTTCATGTATAATTTTCTTATGATTCAAAACTATAAAAATGTATTCGAATATTGTAAATAGTAATGGCACTTTTTGTGACTTAAAACGTTATTTTAGTTCTCATAATATAATAATAAATTTCTTCGCAACATCAAGGTTTTCCTTATGCTTCCTAATGCTCAAAGAAATACTCTATTAAATCAAGTATAAAATATTGTCATTATTCATTTTTAATTTTGTAAAAGTCGTTGTTATTTTTTTTGTCATTCTCACAACTTCTTCTATTCTGTGAATTATAAGCGATTTTTTTAGGGCTTCTTTTAAGTTTACTCATCTTTTAGTAAAACTAAATATACTAAAAGATGAGTAAATTTACTTTTAAATTTACTCATCCTTTTACCTTATTATTTCAACAAGAGAAAAGTCTTAAAATAACTAGTCTCAAATTTATAGAAATCTATTGTACCCAAACTATAATAACAAAACATACTATATGTGCCGAAAAGTGTGCACGCTTATCCTTTTAAAACCATTAGATTCTCGTTTAAACTCACTTCTCGGAGCCACATCTAAAACAACTTAAATAATAATAATTATTATTAGTTGTCTTGTATTCTTAATTGTATTTAACATTATCGCCTCTTTAAAATTGTATTAGAGAAAATAATAATTCTTGATTTATTGGGTAAAAATATCCTCAATATTATAATCGTCCGCATTTAGTTCTATTGTATTTTTTAAGAGTAACATGTTACTCTTGGCGAATGGATTACTAAACAGTAAAAATTTTATTTGTATATAAAAGATAGATAAAGGAATTGTAGACATACAATTTAATAACATATCAATATGCGGACGTAGCCAGCTTAAACTAAAGCAAAGGCGTAATATTTTTTAACGTGTATGTTACAACTTTCATTATTTATTTATTTCGATGCCCAAAAACTAGAAAATAATCATATTTATAATAATTCTTAGAAATAAGTTTAAAGAGAAATAATCAATAATCGTTGTTACTATTTTTAAAACTATAAAAAAAATTATACATATATTATATCCAATGGATTTTAGTTCAACCAACTCTCACAGTTTACGAAATACAATGCATTTATAAGAAAATGTGTTTTTACACCAATATTTCCTTTTATTAAACAATTTACCTATAAAGTAAAGTAATTTGTTAAAAAAAATGATTTAATATCCTGTTAATTCGAGTAATGGAAAGATCCGAATAATGTAAAATCATGTCAATCCAAGGTATATAATTGTATCATTAATACTCTATAAAACAGTCTGTGTATTATTTGCTATACATATATGTGATACATTTTTGTAACAGAAAACACTACGAAGAGAAATGCATTATTCATATGTCAATGGAATTTTTACAAGCTGTGGAATTTAATATTAACGCCTGACATTATCAATTGTCATGTAACTGTTTGTTCTAATTTATATAAAATTAATATTATTTACATTCCGTCTCGATGTGATTTCATACAATTATACTACACAACACATATTAGCAGGGATATACGAATTGTTTTCACACCTCCGGAGATCACGCATCCTCGATATAAAACATTAAACTGTAACGCTGGCATAAGAATCGTAAACACACAGATTGTTGACAATCAGTCGGTATTTATTTATTTTAAGTGGACTCATAGCAATCACATGATCTCTCACGAGGACCGGGCCACGAGATGTTAATTATTGACTGAGTTCGGTCACTGGCGACTTACATGCTTTCCGCCCGCTTGCCATGTTTCTAAATAATTAATTTAATTTATTTGAATCAATCGAATTGTTTAACATCAATTGAATGAGATAAAAAACGTTGGAATGAAGGTATTTCGACTATTCTTCTAGCAATAGCTTATACATATTGAGCAATACAGTAGGTATTATAATTCAACCTTTATCATGGTCGTTATACGGAAAAATCTATTGTTAAACTATGTATTTGTAACGGAAAATCTGACAGAAGACGTTCAAGATTGTGAAGCGGATAAAAAATTGTTTATACATATATTAATATTATTTATAATCTTCCTGCTTGTACATCAGAATTTATAATCTGTGTCATATGACATCTATGAATATAAAAACGGTCTGTGGTTCATTAATATAAATTGGTAACAATTAAATAAATCTCTTGGCTTAGAAAAATTATGTAGAAATTATTTAAAGTTGATGATGTAGTAAAAGTTTTTTAATAAAAATTTGTTTAGTTATGAGAACGTTTGGAATTTACTTCATTATCAAAAAATACTAATAATCAAGAAAACTTCTAGAAGATATGCATATATATGTACATATCTTCTTTATATGTACTTGGGCTCAGGTATTGTAAAATTTCCTTACTCAATTTTTTTATTAGTTACAGACAAACGATTCTACATATATAAAAATATATTAAATAGACAGTGGTGTGTTAGTTTTATCATTTTAAATGGAAGATAGCTCAAGCCAGCTCAAGAATTATATATTTTTGTGCACTCATATGCTTTTCGAATTAATCAAGTTGTTGAAAATGACTACAGTAATTTCAAGCGGTAATGATAAAAAAATCTTTATGGAAAAGTACAAGACGGAAGACGGGTAACTAAAATATTATTTACGAGTATATTTCAATGGTTAATAAATTTATTTAACAAGTTTATAAAATAGATAGTTTTATTATAAGATCAACCTTTTAATATAAATGTATTTTATTTTCTTAACATTTTTACAAAATTTTCTCTATTATTTTTTTATTTCGGTTAAAATAATAGTGTAAAATGATGTGTTTTATGTAAGTTATTCCGTATTCTTATTATTTTTTTGAAAGAAAGTTGTTTTTATAACTTCCTCAAATTTAATAAGGCTACAAGTATTAATATAACAATAAGTTTTTGAAGGCTTTTCAGATTTATTAAGTACAAATTATTGTCCGCTAGATCATACGAGTGTTCTTCGGAATTTGGTTCAGAGAAATAAAAATGAATATGTTATACATATATGTACATATATGTATAATTATATCAACTATTGATGTTTTCTGCATAATGTTATTGTTGTTATCTGTGAGATATATTACTGTAAAGTTTAATCAAAATCGATCTGCGTAACAGAGGAATACTCTTTCAATGATAAAAATAATAGGACTTTAATTCATAGCAGAAATATTTGTGTAAATGTCCTATACGGTGTCATCTTGGGCGAGATTTGAAGGAGCATGGCGAGCGTGTCTCGTGACCAATTCTGTTAATTAAATAATATTGTCCGGTCTAAACAAGACGAGAGATGACAATTATTATGAGGTTAATGGAATTCAGACGGTACAAAAATCGTAAACGTGGTTTATATCTTTGTTGTTTACATGTGATGTTTGTAGGAAATGTGTTGGCATATAGCTTACTAACGATTCGCCTATTAGCGCTATGTCATATTATCAAATTATAGTGATAATTTGTGTAAAATATCGCAATGACATTTACATTAAACGTGTAATTCTATGCTAAATAATAGTTCACAAGATTTTATCTTCTCTTTATATAATGTCCTCAACAATAAAGACCACAGTTTTCGCACTTTGTGGGGTTTTTCTGTTGATTTTATAAACTTGTTGGCGCAAAAGTAATAAAAAGTATTGTTTCAACGTTTAAATTACATTTACTGAATATTTCATCAGGTCGGTAATTTTTGGGCAAATAAGCTGACATACAAAAATCTCTTTATTTCAAAAACGCAAAAGTTTTATCAAACTTTTACGTATGGTAATATTGAAAAAGAGTCATTAAAGTACTTTTTTTCATGACAAAGTATGAACGTTAAGTACCGGCACAATATCTTTATAACCACTAATTAAACGTTTAAACTAAGTAAAAACAAAGTAATCATGTTATTATTATTAAAAAAAAAACAACGAACCATCTTGCACACATTCAGGAACACTCAACTTTGATTTTAACACAAATATTTCCACTGGGTTCAAATCTATCGTCTACTGTTCAGACTGAGGGATGTTCCCTCGTTGTGATCTCGTCGTATACTTACATATAAGACTACGCGATGTGCCTCTATTATAAATGCTCAATGCTGTTATTCTCGCCTTGGCCCTGTCCGATGCTCAAATTGATATGTTAGTAGTAATAAATGATTTTTTATGTAAAGTTTGCGCAAAAATTACAATTATTTATCTATAAATTATTTATCATTGGTTCGTCCTTATAATTTATAGTTTTTATTGTTAATTTACACTTAATAAATAAACATAAACTAAGATCTTCTTTATTGTTTGATCTTGAGAATTAGAAGATTGATAAAGTTACCGTTTTTTCAAATGTGACATCAAGAGATAATATTTTCATCGGTTTAATTTCGTATCAAGATATCGAGTAAAATAAAAACTTAAAAAAATATATTATTTTATGGAGAAAATAATCATAAATAAATTTAGCAGTTTACGACAAACAAAAGTGTATGGAATATTGCAATGATACCGTTATTTAATTAATGCTTATAATTAACATGATACCGTTTTCATATAAAGTGTCGGAAAAAGTATTATACTTGAATATATCCATCTTTGTTTAGAACTAATAGTAATGCCGTGGAAAAAAGACTATTTTTCATTGTTTCATTTGTCCGTAATTAATATTCCAATGTTGTTCTTAGCACATTCTTGAGTGTCAAACCATTGAAAGTATTGAGTCATGATATCCTCCAAAGAGGAATTAAGGTTGAAAATAGTGTAGCAGCCAAAAGTATCTCTCGTATATATAGCTGTTACAATATAAAGGTTAATAGAGGCAAAGAATCGTGCTAAGATGTTAAAAAGGATATTAAAAAACAATTAAATTAAAGTCATTCATTAAGAAAAGTAAATGTTCCTTTAAATGGAGTACCTACCTACTAGATAAGATTTATTGTAGGTGTCTCTCTATAGTTTGAAATATACTAATATAAATACTTAATAGTAAAACATTATTGCCGAAATTTTCTTTCCGAAAAAATTCAATCAGAGTAGTAAGAAACAGGGTAATCAATCATGTCATAGAAATTATCTACGATTTGATTCACAGGTACTTTAGGAAGAATTTGATTTTTAAGAGTGTACTTGAGTCTAATAGATTTGAAGTACGTTGTCCAATTTTCCAGATATGGCAAGTCTCAAAAACTTAGTCTCTAGGAAATGGTCACGTAAACAGATGTTAAGGTGATTAAAGAAAATTTATAGTTGAACTGCCCTGCATGACCTTAAGATTAAAATATATAAATATATGTATATAATGAAATGTTGGCAGTAAAAAGTTTATTTTTCATTCATTTTTCGGAAGCATATGTTCTGGTATAAATATAATAATAAATAACAGCATAAATGTACCTACTATGATTTAAAAAAAATTCAATATATTTTACGTATATGGACTTATCAATAAAAATGTTTAAATGTCATGATAAGCAGGAGCAACACTCACAGAAATCATAGTAGTAGCTTTTGATAAAGATTGTATGTTAATATTTGTTTGAAGATTATGACGGGCACTTCAATCAGTTTGACGCAAGCCTGTTTTATTGATAT